TGGTCATATGTTCGAATGAAAGTAACTCAGTTGGTCCATGTAGCAAATTCAACAAGAATTTACCACAATGACTTCAAGGGGGATTGGTGTGGGAGTGGACCTGACAATGATCCCTTTCCTTCGGTACATATCTGTCCTTCGTCTTAAATAATATACTTCAATAATCCCTTCAAAACATAAGTCGGCCTGTCCATATATCTTGTCATTTTATTTACAATTTGATATTTGTATTAAATATGAATGTACAATAAAGCTTTGTACACTTTATACTATATTTAAAATAAAGGTATGAAAATTAGTTATTTGTTACAAGTTAACGCCTTAACGACCCTATCAATCGTCATGAGATTTGGTATAAAAAGACATATCTACTATCGAGCTTGGAGAACGGAAGAACTTGGGCTTCTTTTTATTCCGGTCAATCAATAATAATATTTATCCCGGTCACGTAGACGAAGCAGTGGGAACAGTTGATGTGATCATATAAATGACCAAAGATCATCTTCATATGTGGTTTTTCGATCTTTCAGAAATTATTAAATCTTGCTAATGGTGTCGAAAATGTTTATATCTATTTTGCTACGCGTTTATTTAATATACACAAAATAAATAGTCCAGTTACTATTTTATTGAAAAATTATTAAAGTTATATTTTATTGATAATTAGCAGAATATGATTTAAAAAAAAATATTTATTTCTTTTATTGAATTCATGTACATAATATAGAGTTGTTACAATGTTCTTGTGAAGAGTAAGTACATGAGCCCTGTTTGGGTATAGCAAAATTTAATCAACAGGTAACTAATATACATGCATTTATGTCAATTTAGATTATATTTAATTACTTTTACAAATAATTGCATGTTTTTATACAGATTTGTTACGCAAGAATTCCGATTTACAATGAATAAATTAATAAAAATTGGTAATATCATATTAATCATACAAAAATTAATTGACATCAGTTCGGTTATTTATGTATACAATATTTCTGTCAATCACTCAATTATTAAATTTCATTTGATATAGGGTATACCAAAACTAAATCGTAAAACTGTAAGCCGAATCTTTTTGTAATATGGATAAAAACATATAACGCCGGCCCCAAATAATAATTGGAATAAGGGTAGGAAGATGTTGATGATAAGGTATACTACTAGCAATAGGTAAGGTGATAGTATACAAGTCTACATTCACGCGATCCCCCTGTAAACCGTCGTAGTTGATTCTTAGTAAATTCATCACGATGGGCTAACTGGTGCTGCTAGTGCGGGCGAGGTTCTCATTCCATTTTCATCCCGTAAAAAAGACTGGGTACCCTTAAATTTCTACTACGCTTTTATAATAAAAGTTTAAAAACTTGCCATGTGAAGCGATCGCATGTATGCTACAGGGTTAAGGATTATCAGGTCAGTTGCATGAGGTAAGTCCTGCTTTATATAGAATCAGTACCTATCGATGAAACTCATTCAGCTGTAATATTTAGCTGTCGAGCTGAGACATAACCTGAGTTAATTATAACCGTAACACTTACACGGATGCTTGATTTTTAATTCTTTTTCAAATTTCCCTATAACAATTCCGATAACGACAATTTGGTCGTTAAACTAAACAATCAAATGTAACCACAAAGCAAATAAAAGTAAACCTCCTAATCGATTCACAGGTATCTCTAATCTCTGCAATAAAGTGACTTTCAGTAAATGAACTGCGCTATAAAAGTGTCTGGAGATAAGCGAGTACGGACTTTTCTCTTCTTACTAATACAGTACTTATTTGAACGTGGTACCATATAGTACGTTGACTTTAGAACTAAATTGAATGTAGAACACTAATATATTCAAAGATTCTGGGATCTACATCAATAAATCTTTTATCTTTGTAGATGGTTCTTTGATCACACAAAACTCTACTTACTCCATTAGGAATAACATAAATTCTATATTATAGAATAAGAAAGTTTCTTTCTTATATGTATGATACCTCTACATCATAGACAGATGTCTTTAGAAGTATTTATAGAAATGGCCGGCAAGGTTTTGATCATTACAGGCAGTAGTTATTGATGATTTATCGGTAAAAGCTAACAGGCGAATGCAGCTTATTCATTCACGTTTTGTATTCAAACCACGAAATATTTCCTTTCATCCTATCAATAATGTTTCCATTCAAACATTTATATTGAACACTTTCATTCTTCACTGTGAATAGGAGTTGTCGTAATTTATCCCAATTTATATTTTCTATTTCACAAACTGGCATCCATAAATAATAAATACAAGTACATTTCCTAAACTACTATTACTTGAATAGATTGTATGAACAAATTCGTCATTTTTGAAACCTCTCGTTCAAGATAATATTTATCAAATAAAATAACTTACAAACAGTATATGCATACAAAAATTCATGAATACGCTCAAAAATTTACATACTTTTAGTCATCTTACAGCTAAAAAAAGCTAACTAACGAAAACTTTTCCGTAAGGTAGTTAGATATATAAAATATTTGATCAAAATATTATAATTATAATTGTATTTACGAAGAGCAACATTTAAAATTCAATACCTATTCTTATTTGTAAGTCTTCTATAAGAAGCTAACCATTATATTAACTATGTATTGAAATCTACGATTTCAACCATCTAGTTGAAGTTAACTAAACTTAATTCGATTCTATGTTAAATCACGTACACAAAGCTACGAAATATAGCTAGTAGTGTAGCTAGCAATATTGTAAACGTAAAAGTTTAGAATGTTTGTACGTTTGTTACCCAATCTGCTACTCAATGATTGAACAAATCTATTGTTTGTTTGGGACAAAGTTGGAACATATCCTGAACTAAGAGTATATGTTCATAGAGTAATTTTTATCCTAATTCACGTATATAAAGCCACAGCAAGAACACAGCTAGTACTGCAACATATGTTATTATTAAAATATAAATATATTTTTATTATAATTAAAATAATATTCAAATACGCTGTTTACAGATTCTATAAATTAATAACGAAAACAAATTACAAAATATCATTAAATAAATTATCTAATTCAACTAACTGGAAGTTTTTTCACCAAAATAAAATAGTTTAAGTAGTTACTATTAGACAAGTATGTACTTACGAAGTCCGTTGGAGTAAAATTTTTACATGTAGTTATAGAGTTTACGGGCAGTCGGTCACTTAATTCTTCCCTAGGCGATCCATTCTCATAAAAATGAATGTGAATTCAGTGTTAAGTGCTTCAATCGGCCGAAGATTATTTTGCTAGGACAGCAGTATAAATAAAATACTTATTGCATCCCATGCCCAACTCTTAGTGATTTGAAAATATAAAAATAAAGCATCAATCATCATTCAATATTTTAATAGATGCAAAAACAAATAGGTACTTCAATCGAACTCAATTGTTAACAAAAATGTTTACAAATAATTGCAAAGTAATGACTTGACACTGATGTGAATAAAACAAAACTAAATAAAATTCCAGCAGGCTATAAACCTGCAAAATTTAGTTTATTAATTATATTTGGCACGTTAAAATTTTTTTCTCATCACAAAATTTATTTTATGTAATGTGAAAAAATTGCCATTAGGTGCATAATGTGTATGCTTGTAAATTTTACAGATTACAATTAAAAAAAAATGAGTAATAAAAAAATATTTCGTCATTTTGTATGTATTTTGAAAATGAAAAATATAAAGTAATACCGTATTTTTACTTTACAGTATCTTATACAACTTTTAATATTAAAAACATTATATACATAAAATATTTATTACGTAACTTAATTCACCTTTTTAATAACATGAGGAGTATTTATTTAAGGCAGTTCTGAATAAGCTCATATACATAGAACCTGCTACTAAAAGGAAAACTACAGAAAAAGTAGAGAGTTAACATACCTATCTACGATCCAAGGGAATATTCCACTGAATATTTTCCTCGTCTTGTTTATTATTAAGGAACATATATATATATATATATATATATATATATATATATATACTTGTTCATTATATATATATATATATATATATATATATATATATATATATATATATATATATATATATATATATATATATATATATATATATATATATACAATAGACATATCTCTATCCTACACTTTATTCAGTAGATAAAGTTGCAGAAGCTGCAGAATACAGTTATTATACTTCAAGAATTTTTATCCAATCAGATTAAAGTCTCTTTTACAAGTTCTTCTTTTATTCTCTACCAGTTTTCATTTCTCATTTTCCCTTTATACTTATCCTATCTGGTTACTATGTTTTATGATTCAAATAGAGATTCATCAAACAGATTATTCTCCTTACTTTTTTAATGCAGTCAATTATTTGATGTAATAATATTTTATGTATTTGTTGTATTTGAAGCGAAATAACAAACTTTGATTGGAAACAGATATATCTACCGAAATAAAGAGAAGGTCTTTGCAACCCAACCCAGCAGTGAGACATTAAAAAAAATACTTGATATAAAATCTATATAACCCATTGAACTTCGTATCACCTACAGCGTCATCTATTAAAAGTAATCCGAAGTAGCGATTCCCAAACAACATTACCTATATATGTATTTCAAACTTTTTTAAATTACCTCTGTAATGAACAAAACAAAAAAGAAGTATTCAGCTCGGTTAAGCCGCTTTTGATTTTTTGCAAAACTAACGAACAGCATAGATAGATTATATATTTATATTATGTATTTCGTGTATGTTTATATTTGTCTAAGTATAGGTTTATAATGTATAAATTTATAAAATATTAGTGTATGTTTTCTTAATTCATTAATGCACCGCCTATAGATTTATCTGTTTGCTCACTAGTAGAGAACATAAGCAAATTATACTATACATTAAAATTTAAATAAATAAATTAAACGTTCGAGTCGAACTAATTTCCGTTTTTTTCTCACAATAATAACAAGTAAATTTTAAAACACATAATAATTTTACTTTTCGTTTGTTACAGTTACTGAGAAGGAAATACGACTTTGGTAAGTTCTTACCTAATATGGTATTGAGGTTATATGATGTTAAGGACCTAGTTTACTTAGTTTCCGTCTTCATACCAATTCGATAACAGAGTGGCTAGATAGCATCAAATGTATTTATTAGTCAAGAAATCATCATCATCATATCAACTTTTAACTGTCCACAGCTGAACTAAGCCTCCCCCTTGCGGGTTTTGCCAATAGTTTGGCAGGCGTATTGGCAACCGCAGTTTGTCTTTAGAGATGTTTTGATAGGGACGCTGAGAGCCCATCCCTCGCTCTGCCTTAGTCGTCTCTTACGACGCCCACGGGAAAGGAATAGGTGGCCTATTCTATACTGGGACCATGTAGCAAGAATTATTTGGGATTAATTACAATCAAAAATAATAATAGTAAAGTATTTTTATGGAAAAAATATTAACGTGTAACACAGTTGTTGCAAAGTAAAATAACAAAATTAATAAATTTATATACATAATAACTACTATAATATTGTTCTAGGTTCTAAACTTAGACTATATGTATAGATAGAGTGTCTACATATATGTAAAAATTTTGAAAGAAGTGGGTTAACTTTTTTCTTCAATTATGCGTATAGGGTTACCAGATTAGAAATTATTAGTTTAGATTGAATAAGTAAATAATTGAAGGTAGTAACTTAAAATATTATTAGGATTAAATAATCTTTATAGTATTTAACTTAATTTATATAAAAATAGTGGTCATTTTGATTAATTCTGACACCGGATCCATATTTAAAATGTATACGGATCCTCAAATATCGATTTTGTAAGCAATGGGCCAGATAAAAAAATTATTAAAAATGGCGGTCATTTTAATTATTTTTTACACCGGATCCATATTTGAAATGTATACGGATCCTTAAATATCGATTTTGAAAGCAATCGGTTAAATAACAAAGACCCTTTGGATAAAAATATATATATATTCGAATTTAAAATATTTTTCTTATCTAAGTTATATGAAAATGATGGTTGTTTTATTAATACTTGAAGTCATTGCGTCATATCAATGTAATTTTTAAATAGTCTGCATCATCATCATCATATCAGCCTTCAACTGTCCACTGCTCAACATAAATCTTTCCCTTAGAAGGTTAGCCAGTAGTTGCCACGCTTGGCAGGCGGATTGGCAACCGTAGTTAGACTTTAGAGATGTTTTAAGAGCTGCTGCCCATCCCTCACCCTCCGCTTACGACATCCGCAGGAAAAAAAGAGGCGGCCTATTTTTTGCCGGATTACACGGCCATAATACTTAATAATATACATACCTACATAAATATTTTATTTATATTATGTAAGAAAATAGCATACATATATATACAAATAATTACTAAAAGTAATTCGATTCTTTTTAAAAAAATTCACTACATTTTAGGGATTTTAATTCAATTGTGGGGATTTTTCGAATACTTCTAGCACTACTTGTACAAAGTTAGGAGTGCTCAATAGAGTAAGACAGTATTTCACGCTAGAACACCGCTTGAATTTCTATAAAGCTCATGTCTGGCCACATATGGAATACTGTTCTTACTTATGGGCAGAAGCGCCACAGTGCCAGCTCCTTCCGTTAGACCGTATAAGAAGTCGAGCGACTCAAATTATTGATAATCAGCGCTTTACTGTCCGACTCGATCCAATGAAACTGCGTAGAGGTGTTGCATCTCTGTGCATCTTCCACCGAATTTATCATGGGAAGTGCTCTGAGGAATTGTTCGGATTGATACCTGCTACTGATTTTCACCATCATACAACCCGCCATAAACTAAAATTTTATCCTAACCATCTGGACGAGTGGCGATTTTCCACATTGCGATTTTCGGTGGAATGGTGGTGGTTCTTCCACTCACAAGCACTCTTTGGAATTATCTTCCAACAGCAGTAATTCCGGACCGATACAACGTCATAACCTTCAAGAAAAGAGCATATTGCCTTTTAAAAGACCGGCAGCACACCTGCAATGCCGTTGGTGTTGTAGGTGATCATGGCTGACGGTAATCATTTACCATCAGGTGAGCCGCATGCTCGTTTGCCCCCTAAGTTATAAAAAAATATATAAAAAAAGGCGTGAATACTTTTAAAACAAATGTGAATATATAAATTTAGTATTTATGCTTAAAATTTAAGATACTTATCGGTTATAAGTGATTTCTTTATTAGTTCTATTTTTTATCTTATTATTTTAATGCACAAAAACTAATTTTATTTTTTATTAATATATTTAATATTGATACGTTGAGATACATTGTTGTGCATAAGTATATAGAATACTAATAAAAAAAGGTTAGCTGATTTAACAATTAGCTGACAAAAAGTTGACCCCTTTTTAAAACTTGATGCTCTATCTATATAATCTAAGGTGCTAGATTAATATATAAACTTCTTTTTCCAGAGAAAGTATAGTATTACTGAAACCAATCATATAAATCTCACTTGACCGATAAGGCGCAAAAAATTAGTCATAATAATTTATATAAGGTATTCATAAAACTCGGAAAGGCTCAAACACACGGCGCTATTTTTGGCCGCACCCTCTGCGACCGCAGTAATTCTATTTTCAAATTTCGTGCCAGAATGAAACAGATCGTGAAATCTAACAATATACCTACTCTCTTTTATAGAGGGAGAGAATTATTACTTACAATTTTTTTAACTGACTATCTAACTTAATAAGTCAATGTCAAAACACACATGTTATATAGAAAAAATATTATTTTTACTATGATATTGAGCAGTAGCAGCCTAAAAATTATACGTGCTCATTTATGACATTATAAATCAGTTATTACCCAATTCCATACGTGTAATGCATATATTTTAATAAATAGAACTCTGAAATTTATAAAAAATTTATAATTAAATATAATCTAACAATCTATATTTCGTTGTGTTTGTGTAATTTAAGTAGGTATCTATAAATTTTAATTCTTACGAATTCTTATCACACGTCGGAATTTTTGGCCTGCTTCAATATTATTTATATATAATATTATAATATAACATAGTACTTTATCTGGCCACTCCACATTGCAAAAAAATTACTCTTAGCATTTAATTTAATAATTTTAAACTTATATATTATGAAACAAATTAAATATTGTTAAGATTAAAAAACCTATTTCACATGCAAAATAACACATATAAACAATTTCAATAATATTCAACCTTCCGATCTTCGCCTATATATATGAGTATATCAGTTTCTTGTAGCAATTCATAATTAAAACTGCCAAAGCGTCCGCTTTTTGCAATGGAGTTTACAATTAATTAATATCTAACAGAAATTAATTATTATTTAAGTATTAATATTTTCTTTTTTTCTAGGCACAAAGGATTTCTAAAGGACTGTCCAAACGGACTTCTCACTGAACAGGTGTGTTTTAATACAATCCTTTTTAGCAATAATTAGATACTAATAATAGAAGTCTTATATAGTATCATTTTTTACTGTAGAATAATATTAATAATATATTGAGAAAAAAGTAGTAGCCTTCTATTTCAACTTCGGCCTTTGGCCGGCTTTTGGTCACTTCTTTATCCATTACTATATTTTATTACATATTTACCATATGATTATATTTAGTAATAACATTATACTGAAGACTCTAATCCTAGATTAGTAAATACTCCGTCACTAATGGAATATACAATATATTGACGGATAAGAGGGATAGGATGATAGAGAGAATAAATTAATTTAACAAGCTGTTGGGGTCGGCCAAATTTCAACACAAACACGGTATTGGGGTCTTATTAAAATACCCAGTAAAACGCAATCGCTATCCTCTCAATATATACAAGAACAAAACTTATTACTAACAATGCTCTCGTTGTATTTTCAGTGTAATTAAGTTCGATTTATTTGTACAATACTGTACATACTTAATCTAAGCTATTCTTGACCTAGGTCAAGATGATTGAATACTGATTGACTTCTCTAAGTCTCTACTCCTAGTCTTTATTTAAAATCTGGCCGATGTTAAAAACTTTATATCAATTTAATTTTTAAATTAAATATCATCCGGGTTGTGAAAAACGTTATCAAACCTAATTAATCCCCGAAACAGCTGTAGATAAAGGGGGCGACCCCTTTCAAATTACATTCGAAGATTCTCGGTGAAATGTAGGCATATCGTCAGTTATATTTACCACAACAACAACAGTAAACAAAATGCTTCTTATTTTCCCATCTAGAATTACAGACGTAAATTTATATGTATAAATTTTTTTTCTGTTATATTTTAGACATGTTTGGTAACCGTTTACATCAGAAGTTCCCAGACTTTTTTCTCATAGACCACTTTCAAAATTTACAGCTATATTTCTACCAATTCCCAAAACTCAACAAAAATTAGAAGAAAAGATCTATTTATATATAGATGTAAATTTGCATTGCAGCTGGTATTCCAACCACGAATTAAAGTTTTTGAAAAGAAAGTAAAAATTGATTGGTTAATTAATTAATTGATTGTGCCGTAAGTGGATGTCAAAAAAGTTGGCAAACCAAAAAAGTAATTCCATCTAACTTTTATGACATCTACTCACAGCACAAAGAACCAATTAATTCTCACTTATTTCATTTAAAAAAACTCCTCATTCGGAGTGGTAATATTAAAAAGAAAAATAATATATTTTTTTGTGTAATATTAATTCAAATATATAATTATTATACTATTAATTATTATGATTATTATATTTAATAGTAATATGGTTGAATTTGGTGGACCCCCGCTTACGAATTGTAAACCGCCATTTTTTTGTAACGCCAATGTAAACTCCTGTCGAGTCTTCCGTAGACCCCTGGAGGATCACTTGGACTACTTATAAAACTAAGCATTTACACTATAGAAACTAATCGACACGTATTTGGCAATTGGAAAACCGGCACGTAGCGCGTGTGTGAGACATTTACTATCCGACCCATTATCAGGTCCGATGTCCGTCTTTCAATCTAGTATCCAATCAAAATATGTTAAATCCAGGTTTCAGCTCCTACTTTTGTTAACAGTAACAAAACTGTAATGATAAAAAATATGAACTTGGACTTGTCATCTTTTTCTACCGAGCATACTTGCAATTGTAAAAACATTATATATAGATAATGTTATATTTACTATTGGAAATATGTTTTAATATACATTTACAAAGTTTGTTATTAAATATTTTGACTCAAACTGAATTCTATCTGTAGAATATTAATTTATACTGCATTATAATTATGTGTACAATTTAATAATATGAAAAAAAAAAATATTTGAATGTAATAATCATTTAATTGTATTTTCTTATTCACAGGGATTCATAAAGATCTACAAACAGTTCTTCCCCCAAGGTGACCCCAGCAAGTTTGCGTCACTAGTGTTTCGAGTATTCGACGAAAACAATGTAAGAGAGCTGTTGATTCTAGCTGTTTTTCTCTTAACTTTTAATAGAAGTTGCAGGACTACCTAATTCATATTTAGATATCGTTTACTTACTAGTTGTAAGAGTTTGTATTAGTAATATCGTCTATCTACAAACATAGTTCTTCACTATCAAATTATTATTAACCTATTTACTTATAGTTTAAACTGGCAAGTATATATATGAAACAAAACTGCCAATATCTTTAGAACAGTTACTACATTAACTGATATATAGAGTATCGTGCACTAGTTTTTTGCTCGCTTCTTCGTACGTGTGGATTTCAGAAATAGGAAAACTAATTAAATATATCACTTCTAGATGGCGTATCAAAATGATACATATACAAAATTTAAAGTTAAACCTTTAGGAATACTACTTTGAAAGCTGTATCCAATTTGGTGCGACAGTTTTTGCGTGATGCCGGAACAAATATCGTCTAGTTACAACTTTATTATGTTAATAAAATTAGATACAAGATACATGAGGACTAAGAATTTGTTCATTTGTCTATACATATAAAGACGAATAGATTTTGAAATCTAATTTCCTAGACAGAAAAATCACCGTTTATGATCATTATAAATTTAATAGATGTAAAAGTGGTAATGATAGTATAATGATGCATGTATAAACCTAAATTAGCCTATTTTGATAAATTACACCATGAACTGCATAAAGGAGAAATTAAAAGTTATCGAAACTAGTATGATCTTATGCGATAGTACCATATATTGTACAATAGTATTCATATTAAGAAAGTGGATGAATAAGGACATAGGTAGTTTGCTTTCGGCATTCGGTTTCGTCTGTCGTCACTGGCGGGGCACCAGTGACAAATTCAACATTAACCACGATAGTTCCCAGAGGAAACCGCGTGGAGGTCGAACTGATAGGGTATACTGCTAACAAGGAGCACCCATTACCCAAAATCTCATTACTTACAATACCTTTTCTCCCTCACATTCCACTTAGGTAGTTAGATAATTAGAGGGGCCCTCTTTGTGTATATACTTCAACTTTGCACACGTTGATAACCAATGATAATCTCGCTCTAGCCTAATATAAAGCCTTATTTCCTTTGTTCCTTACTTAATAATAATATAAATACCCTCACAATATTCCTCTAATGTTGACGAACAATGGGCAATGTCATCTAATGAATTATAAATATTTTCAACGTTAATAAATGCTACACACAGGTAATACTTATACCTAACCTATTGCATAACTAAATTATAATTAATGATTGTTAATTAACAGTTTATAAGTGTCGATTTTATTCCATTCGTTAATTACTTGTTCCGAGTATCCACCGCATCACATTGATATTCAATTGCCACTGTACTAGGCTCTACAACTCTTCAATTAACAGCCAAACAAATTGAATATATTTCCAACTAAAATCTACTTCACAAACTTTTCCACGGGTAATTGATTAATTATTATTCTGCTAGGTGTAACCTGCTGCTTTGTTTAACTGTTTAAGTGTTATTGAGTAACAGACATCCGTACAAACTCCGTGACGCAGTCGTAGGTCGATTGCTTTACGTAAGGGCCCGGGTTCGATTATCCGTCTAATTAATATAAGAAACTAACACTTCTAGACTCGTGTTTAGATGTACTGGATTGCATTCACAGATTTTCGTTGCCTATTTTTCAATAACACATATCCATATATATAAATTTAGGACCAGACAATTGGTATGATTTTTGTGGCACTTAATATTAAAATTTTAACTATACTATGTCTATATATTGAAATTATTTAAGAAATATTCATATAAACGGTCTAAATAATATCAACACAGGCTAAAACAATATTTTTTTGTAAATTTTATCTATCTGTCTGTTTATTCCGGCATCACGCAAAAACTACTGCACGAAATCGGATGCCGTTATCATATTTTTGTTCCTGAAAGTTTAACTTAAAATTTGATATATACTCTTTCTTAATAATGCACCTGAAAATAGTAGTAATAGTGGACCATTGCATGCGTGGTTGCAAAAATTCATTAGTTTTCTCACTTCTGCAACCATGCATACGAAGTAGCGAGCAAAAAGCTAGTTACTTAATATAATTTAGAATTTGAACAAGTCAACGCTCTTTATGTCATTTAGTATAAAATAAAGAAAAGTAACTATTTATTTAATTTTATTCTGCACTACACACAGCAATACACATAGTTACATTATAGTCGAGTGTGCTATAAAGAGAACTACCAATTGCCCAATAAAAACTAATACAAACGACTTGAGTATTATTTTTCACGTGCATATTCTTATTGGGCAATATGTCTAACGATAATTTTAACTATAGGTAATGCGCATAAGCTATAATTAGCCTGTACAAAATTACGCTACAACCTTGGCAGTTGTAAATAAATCTATCACGATAACAAATGTTGCATAGAAATTTAAAATGGAGGATAGAAAGGTAGTTTGACAATCTAATATCCGTTGTATATGTACACCAATCAAACCCTTTCTAATACTGCCAGAACAATTTAAAATTATGATAAATAAAACACCTGAAGTCTACATACACACACCGTAGATACATATTACATTTTTTTGTATATACATTCTATTATCTCTGTTTACTGTATATGTCTGTTGTTATTTGTGTGCTGTAAGTAATGCAAATGTATTATCTATCTATCTATCATATTGAATGCAATCTGCGTAATATGTCACATTTTGCACCTGCATCTATGCATCTGCATGCAATATAAATTTTATATACAATTTTACCCAAACTTTATTGCATAAAACGTTTCTGTATGCGCGGAACAATGTACTTAGATTAAACTATATATAAACAGAATACATACGCTATATTTAGGTACATATAACAGCAGACATTTTCATTATGTATATAATCTTTACATAAGGAAACTGTAATACGTTTGTTGTCTATTTTATTCCCAGGACGGTTCCATCGAGTTCGAGGAATTCATACGAGCATTATCGGTGACGTCACGGGGAAATCTTGACGAAAAACTACATTGTAAGTATATTGAAAACCCATTTAAATAACAAACTATACCATTTCTACATACGTCAGAACACTTTTTCCTGGCTTTTTCGTTTGCTGCAAAACTGAATCGATTTGCCGCACTTCGTTGAAAAAGAACGATAGACCGCACGTCTCTTTGTCTCTATTCGTTGATTCTATTAGCCAAACGCAGTTATTAGTCATGTTTATGTTCTATCGTGACCATTATTAAAATTAAATTATTTGTCATTTTTATAACCAACTATAATAAACTAGTAAGTCCATAGATAAATAACTACATATTCAATTCTTTAAACCCATCTCACAGCCTTGCAGACCTAAGAGTTTAGCCGTCTTAGGTGCCATGGGTTACATGGAATAAATACCTCCACGCTATTGGATATTTGCTATTGTTATTTTCACACTTTTTATTACGATATCCTCTGTATTCAAAGGGAACAGCGATTGTATGCAAACCGTCAATTTACAACTTTTCTCTAATACCAACTACAGTTTAGCTTTACTAAGCTAGGCTTTAATGTAGTTTTAAGAGAGACGCTGTTGCCCATCCCTCTACCATTAAATTCCCTTAGTCGGCTCGTACGACACACACAGGCAAGAAGGGGGGAAAGGGGTTGTTAGTAATGGAGACTGAGAATCTCATTGCTAGCAATATACCTAACCAGGTCGACCTCCTCGCAATTCTCCCTGGAAACTATCATGGTTAATTCCTGTTGAATTCATCATGATGGGCTAACTGACCTGTTTTCATTCTCATCTATCACCCTTCGCTGGTGCTCCGCCAGCGTATCCCGTTAGCGCAGGCGGGGTAACCATACCATTTTTACCCATAAAAAAAAAAACAGGCAAGAAAGGGGTAGCCCATTCAATGGCGGGACAACGCGACAATTCGCCTAGGTTATAGTGTATATATACAGTGGGATGTAAACGATTACGTAAAATTATATACGCATAATCACGTTACAGGGGCGTTCCGACTTTACGACGTGGACAACGATGGTTACATTACAAGAGAAGAAATGTATAACATAGTGGACGCAATCTATCAGATGGTGGTATGTACACTTACAACCTCATTAATTTTATTATACAGGAGCCTTAGATACATTCTTCGCTTCTATATTCATATGTAGCGGGAAATTAATGAACCCACTGTGTATTTGTCTTTTCGACAATTGATTAGACTTCATCCGGAAGTCTTCGTCAGGGGCATTTGGCGCTTTGCGTCACAGCGTCTCGCCCCGTACTGCGGTAGTTGAAAACACAATGAGTTCATTAATTTCACGTTACATTTGTATATAAATATAGGATAAAAATTGAACATAAGTTTTAAAAATAAAATCCTTCACCTTTCTAATAAATACAAAAATGAGTAACTAACTACCGCTATTAAAGCACTGCACGTCTTATAGACACTAAGCATAAAGTTCTACTCCAACTGATCTTTTTTTGTTATTGGATTTTATGGTAATAAATTATTAAAATTAAATCTATAAATCTTAATAGAATATTGCAAATGTTTTATAGTCATAGTTATACGCTGTTTCATTTCGTATTAATAAAATATATTCAGATGAATAATTTTGTTATATTACCTAATAAAAAATAGAGGGCTAAAAACAAAATCTATGCATAAATATTCTAAAGGGGTCTCTTAGAAAAAAAAAAACACAAAATATTACATATAAATAAATGACAGAAAAAGGTAAATAGTTATTGTAATCTGACTTGTGTAAATGCACAGACATATTTTCCTGATGAAGTATTTTTCCTGTTTAGAAATTTATTTTTATTTATTCTTCCTATTACTCAAATATACAATATTATTAAAATATGGAATACTAAAGTCAATGGTTAATGATCACCCCCCAAGGTATGTTACCTACTTGTTTGTGTAAATGTGATACTGGGTACAGAAAAAATATTTTCTAAATATATTTGAATTTAAATATTTTCGGTTGACTGTAATGCTTTATCAAAACGCAGTATACTCTAATTTGAAAACAAGCCAACAGGCCACTGCTGTAATGATCAGCCGTAAAAATAGATATGTAAAGGTAGGAAGTTTACAAGACAGAATACCTACGTGTCAAGCCAAAATCCAATTTTAAAATAGTCATCATATCGACTAATCGATGTTCACATCCTATATGGTCCGAATCAAACTAGCTTAGTCTCGATAGAATCACTACAATTTTTATGATATGACATCGATCCATGTATTACACGTAAGTTAAACGAAGTTAATGATGCGCAGACAAGATTTTATATGAAATAACGCTACTGCGCATCATTACCTTTGCTCAACTTACGTGCTGGAGAAGGTACGTTCTACGCATGTATTACCAGTCTCGTAACGTAACGTATTACGTACTACTCATTGACAGTTACAACCACAGAGAACTTTTTATGTTACGACTTTTTCTATCACGTAGAATCGCCAACTTATTAGTCATATGTCTCTAAAAATAAACTAATTTACTTTACAAGTAAAACAAATTTATTTTTATAATTTAACTTAAACATATATATAAAAAAAGTTTATATTGGTTTGTGCAAGAACCAATAAAAAAAACCTTCATCTCTTTTAACAATTACACAATAAACAGACATAATTTATAATGGTACATTAACAAATTGCAGGGTCAGACGCCGCAACCAGAGGACGAGAACACACCGCAGAAACGCGTAGACAAAATTTTCGATCAAATGGACAAAAACCACGACGACCGTCTCACACTGGAGGAATTCCGTGAAGGCAGCAAAGCGGACCCGCGTATCGTTCAAGCATTATCTCTTGGAGGCGATTAATCTATGGTCATCCTCTCGCCGGATTTCACATTTACTTAAGAGAGCTACTAATGACTCCGCCGCGTGTAATTAAGTACTTGATTTACAAAAATATAACAATAACAGTCAAACTATATATATATATATATATATATATATATATATATATATATATATATATATATATATATATATATATATTACTTCTAAATTTGCTTTCACGTGGATATATTTAGAATAAAATTATATTTTTGCTGAAATCTATTCTTCGCCATCGTAAGTGTAATTTAATAAAAATATTTAAGCACATAATAGTTTATTTTACATATATTGATATCGATGATTTTCAATTCAAATTGTGAGAGACTTGATGTGTCTTATTTATATTTATATTTTTAGAAGAAACTCACTTTGAGTTTCTTCTTTACATATAGGATAAGATTTGTCTATTGTAACGTTATAACACACTTCCGCTCACTCTATTATTCTTTGCCATGTATTCATAATACATTTATTTTTTTTTTTATTTTAATTCAATTATCTACTTTTATTTTTCTCACCACTAATTGTGGGATAATTTGCCCACACGCGGCGGATGTTTGATTACAAATAATTGTAACATTTGCCAATAGGAACGGCGGGCAAAGTGCGAGGCTTATTATTTCTATATTACTTATACAAATCTTTCCCCTATGTTAGCTTATTGTGGTGTGCTTTATTGTTACTATCTGTCCTGATTGTACAATCATGGTTTTAATAAGTACTTTGTCTGTAGTCGGTAAACTTTATTTATATTTTACGGAAATGTGCACTTAGAGGAAAAAATATGTGTAACGTAGCGTGTAACAAAATTCAGTGTACATCTATGAACTAACAGAGACAGTAAAGTAGGTACAATATAAAATTTATTGTTTATTCTTGTACCTATACAAATACACTATATCTTATATTCTTTCATCACCTAATAATGATTGGTGAAATAAATACTTACGTCTTATTATTGCTTTCCAACTTACACTGTTCACAACGCTGATATGTCAGTAATTTTGAAAATTTCCTACCCCTTCGCTGAATAGAAACAGCATTTCTCGCTCCACCAGACAGGAGCAGTTGACTGATTCTCTTTCCGACATATTTATTATATATGTAAGAAATATTTTAGGCGTTGAAACATGAATATTTATCACTTGTTCATATGCACTGTTGTTTTCACATTTTAATTCGTAGAAACTAAAAACTGTTCGAACATATACGACAATTTGTTATTGTCAATAGCGATATTTTTGGCAACACATTATTATCGCTAACAATTTCTAAAAATACAATTTGTATAATTAATATAGTGTATCTGTATATGTAAAACATAATAGCTAAGAAGAAATATAGTATAGTAAAACCAGGCTCCAAACCAGAGTATAACTGCACTCATTACTGATGTTTCTATTTCTTAAACTATTTAGATACTTAAGGAGCTTTTTATCATAAAGTTTATTTGATTACTTATTCTTTAATAACTAATATATATTTCGTTGTCAAATTTATTCACCTCTATCCCATGCCATACTTATTTTCATTTCTATTTCATATTTTTATCTTTCGTTACCTTTTCTAGCTTCATTAGTAATGCATGCATTGTATAAGTTTAATTAAAAATGTGTCTGTTATATGTTACCATTGCTAATTAAAACAAAATTATTCCCACTTACAAATTGTTATTACTTATAGTAAAATATTATTTTGACTGATTGACGACTTAAATATACCGATAGAGGCTTTATAACTTTATTTAATACTTACGCTAGCATGTTTTAAGTACTAACGTAAATGTATATAATATTGCATTATCTGTAATCATTTTGGCCATATAAGTAACAGTAACTAATTGATTATAAAACGTTTTAAAACAATAATCTTGCTCTCGATTACCTTAAAATATTAGGTTGAAAAAACCTTCCAAAATTTCAATCCAAAACCTATTGAGCATATCCTTGCTATTCGACCTGAGTACGTCTCCTGTTACATCACGATATTAATACCCATTACGTTGTTTATTTATAACACGGATATACGAGTAGATGACTGTTTAATATGGTACAAGAGGTTTAAAATTCCACCAGTTCATATTCGATCCGTGATGTAATTGGGTGCATACTCGACCCAAATAGATAAGAAAATATATTTGAATACGACCGAACTGTCTGTAATAGGATATGTATTTTAAATTAAAAATTTTAAATGTAATATAACAAAGTACAACTCCCACAGCCCAGCATTGTTTCAGAATTTGTATGTTAATGTCGGTTATAGTTGAGACAATACACATACCTAAGATCAACTCTGAATTTTGAATACATTGTCGATTGTTGGTGTAAATATTACTTATTTATAATTTAATTAATATAATATTACGATAGTTACGGGAAGTATAAGAGACAAAAGTTGTGTACTCTCGCCATTTATTTCGTGTTGGCAAATTGAATGATGCTCTAATTGAAGTAAATGATGAACAAAACCTGTACTGAACTGATTCTCTGGTAATATCAATGATCTAATAGGTGGCATTGAAGGGGGCGCCAAACTAATATCAATATATATTATAATTAAATGTCACAATACCTCTAATATCTTTTTAATCTAAACTAATACACATTTATCATAGACTATATATATTAGTTCAAATTTCCTAATGTTATTTCGTAACACAACGTTATATCTACTTGGTTTAAATTGTCACATTACAAAGTACAACTAAATACAACAAGCTGGTTATCAGTTTATTAAACACAGGTTGTTGAACTGAAGTCGAATAAATTATTGATTTATCGTAGACAAGATAACTTACTATTAATTATAATCTCCAATTGTTAATGCATTAATATAAATAAAGTAATAAATAATTATTTTAAAATATACACATAGAAACAAATTTAAAGGCCCACTTCTGTTTGGTTTATATCTATGTACAATTTTCGTTTTCGATGCGTGGGGAATTGAAAATTATTTTAGATATTCGCTAAAACTAAAATAACAACTACCAGATATATGGATTAAATTGTATTGCAACTTGTCTGTCTACGAAATCACTATGAGGTTAACAATCGATAAAGCCAAAATCGTAATTTCTATCTTCACACTAAGTCAAGTATTAACTTGTTTATTGACATGCTATTAGGGACCCTCTCCTTGATTCTACCAAACCGCAATATTAGCAAAGAGATTTAGGCTCTTACAAGTTACCTCGTTTAAATCAACACAGTATAAAACAAAAACAGCAGATTCAGTACATAATAATATAAAAATAAGTCATTTATTAAAATTTAAACATTAATTGTAAGTGTTTACAATTGTTTAAAATTGTTTAAGGTTTGCATTTTTTAGTCAATCCAGAACGTATAACATTATTTTTCAGCACAATATCAACATAGAGAGCTAATCAGAAAAATAAAAGTTATTTGTAAATGATAAAGCACTCTAAGAAACAAAAAATGAGACATCATAGTTTATTATACTTGACACATGGAGTAACTAATCACAGAGCCATCAGCCAGCAAAATATCTGTAATAGCAAAATAAATTTACTGTTCTGTTTACTATTCACACAATTAACCGTTTAACAGTTTGGTTTGTGGCGATTGACGTATCCCTAAATTTTTATAGTTCTGACTATGACCAGTATTTTTGAAATATTATATAATAAATTTAGATACGAACACAAATTCTCTGTCAGGTAAAAAGGTGACTTACATTGAACCTTGACTACCGACACCGTGACCTGCAGCTGTGCCTTGGTGTGTTACCATCTGCCGATGCCCTTTCAATTGTATATGCACGAAAACGACGTATTATATAAGAAACAGGAAATCAAAACTTAAAAAATATACAGTATACATGTATCTTGTTAATGTACTCATAAGTCCCAACTATAAACCGCAATCGTATAATGACAGTTGACATTTATAACACAACTTACTCGCCCCCTTCATTGATTTTTATAATGCACTCGAATTTAAAGATAAGATTTACTTGCCTGAAAACAAATAATATCCGGGTGAGAGGGAGAGATGATTAGCGTCGCAGGACGCTTTAAAAAATATTTCAAAATTGGTTATACTTACATTGGTAAATTTTATTGAAATCTATATACCTAACTTACATCATAATATTATTAATCCTTAGATTATATAGATAGAACATCGAGTCTCAAAAACGAGTCAACTTTTTGTCAGCTAATTGTCAAATTAGCTGACTCGTTTTTTATCAGTGTTCTATAGATATATAATACATACGCACATAATGTATCTTGATGTATATATATTTAATTATTTAATAAAGAAAATGAGTTTTTACGCATTAAAAAGTTGCAAACAATATAAAACAAAATAAAAATAGAAGTTATAAAGGAAACACTCAACTATTTATTATCACGCAAAATTGTATGACAAAGTTGACCCGCTTTTCTTGAAGCGTCTGTATGGAGACACTATCTATATAATCTAACTATTAATTCTTATGAAAATTATTAAAGTATCAAACAACATCGAAAGTTGAGCGTTTTCAAAAATTTGTTACCCATTTACTTAAGATTAATTTTTTTAAAGTATTTTAGTGTATTTACTGAGCGTTATAATAATTATGGATGTATTATAAGCACGAATTATAAGTAACTTGCTATGAACATTTACGTTAATAAACCTAGTACTTAAGTACAGGAAGAGATCAGTATATCTAAACTTTGAAAACAAATCTTTGGATTGTTAATTTACATAAAATCTTCATCTATAATGACTCTAGCATTTACATTTTCTAAAAAAAATATGTTACTGTTGATAGTTGCAATATATTAAACAATTACTTATGCTCCATTAAAGTTAATATGCATTTAAACTTTATAAAATTTGAGAATTACTTGTTTCGGGTTTTTACAGGCCCCATAGTTAAACAAAAACACAAATATTCTCTTACTAAATATATGTTTAACATGTTGCGAAGTTTACAAAAGTATAAAAATTGCATGTTTACAATTTTTGGAGGCCACATTAAAAAAAAAACAACATTTCTTAATCCTATAAACTGTTATGAGTAAAACGTAAATTTAAGATAATGACGTTGATTCTATGTAAGTGTGTATTTAATAACATTTTGGATATGAAATAAAGAAAAACAATTCGTTAATTATTTAACAAGCGACGTTTTCGATAATGAAATCTAAGTATAGGTAGGTACATAGTAATGGGTGCCTACCCACATATTATATAACTATATGATTAGAGGTAAGCGTATAGCGATGGCCGCTAGTGGATACGACACGACTGTTTCAAAGAACGCTAGCAGCAAGACGCGTACGCGCGTCCTCTGCAGGTTTCAATCAAGTGACAAATAAATTATCTTTAATAACGTACGTACTTTGTTCATAATAATATAAAAAATATCCATGTACTAGAGACGTAGTGTGATGACGTAGTTTATGTAATACTATCTTTCCAATATAGCACTTTTCTCACATGTTCAGAAAGCCGCAGGGTGCGTCATGCCGTATCGGTGGCCTATGTACACTTTATTCGGAGAGCACCATTCTTTATATCGTCTTTGCCAAATTTAGTGTACAAACAACTTTTGAATACCTCTAGGTATCTACATCTCTCTCCATCCTTTTTGGCGAATTCTGAAAGCATATATTTTGGAGGACTTTTGGATATTTCCGTTAGCTACTCTCAACATAATGTAGTATTAACTCTAAGAATCTACTTAATATATAAGTAACTTAACTACAGCTTTATAAGAATTGTTATCTTTTGCTTAAAAACTAAACTTTCTTATGATACTTGTAACGTATTTCTATATAACTGTTTGCTGTTTATAAAACTTCAGCTATTTACTGTGAAAGCGTTGAATGTTTGCTCGAAGTTTTTGAAAAAAATAAGTAAATTAAAATGGTAGTTGCGAATCACAAGTCAATTTGTATCTTTCGACAGTGTTTGTAGGGATTAAGATGCGTTTTTCAAACGAACTAGAGTAGGTATTGTTGCGGGCTGTGCATTTCATATAGATTTAAGTAGCGAACCCTTGTTCTTAAAGCAGACCTTACACCTATGATAAGTTTCAACAATTATTAGCAAGCTCAGCTCATTATCGTCAAAACTAATAATATTACAAGATTTATTGACTCTACTTATCTGGTACGGGGTACTGTGTTTTTCTTATGTTCATATCATTAAGTTACATTGAGTACAACCTATTTAAAAAAAATCTTTATATACACAAATATAGAATGAAAATAAATATGGACTCATTTTGTTTACCATACAAAATAAAGTGGCCTATTAAAACTGCTCGCAGGGCCCTACATTTATCTTGACTTCTGTTCCATAATGACGACGGTTCAATCAAACTGATTCTCTTTAGTTGAAAGACAAAGAAATGAAAAATAATTCTATTTAACTGTGATCGATTTATTTTTATGTGTAAAAAATATGTTTACAAGTCCAAATTGTAAGGAAAAATGAACAGTATAATATCTCCGTAAGGTATGTTTTTGAGAGAGGCTCGTTTATGTGTATATGAGATCACATGTTGTTTACATGACACTTTAAAACAGTTCTAAATCTGTCATCCTAAAAATAAATATAGTAATAATATTATGGAGTGTACAAACTAACATATTCAATTTATTCGTAAACAACAACAAATATTATAAAGTCGCTGTCGGCGTCTATTTCTCCGCTTCTGAATCATGCAACGGATTTAATACTGGTTTCTTCTAGATAATTTACAGAAAGTTGTATGTACAATTTGTACCCGCGCTAAACAGGGATGAGTTGCTAGTACTAAATACAGTAGACAACAGGAAAATTAACAAAAACTGCATTCAAGCCCCTGCAAGCAAAGCGATCGGTAAGCTGCAAGAAAACGTATACATAATCCTTTATTACTAATGGTTTCATTAACATACATATTTAAAAACCAAAATAATATTACGTAAATGGTTCTAAATTAATTTTGATCGTATATAAATCAGATTAAATTATCGCCTTCAGTACGTACAATATAATATAGCCCTCTTTGTCAAACTTAAGTAAATATTTTACTCTTCTTATTAGTACAATATTTGAATTAAACATTTATATTCAATCATGTTTTATATATGTACCTTGTACATAAAGGAACCTCTTAATTTATAATTGCACGTCTACTTACTTGAGTAAAATTGTAAAAAATCAGACCACTGAAAGGGCGCAAGTCCTTTTAATAAGCTTGTTATATTTTGTACGCTTTACATAGCAGCGAACTGAATTTATTTCACACCTAGTATTTAGTGCACCTAGATATAAATGAATACCTAATACTTCATTTGAAGACCGAGGAAAGTCTTTTAAAATCTTCTATTCCCTAAATATATTTTATATATAATAAACACAAGGTGACATAGTTTACTTTAACTATTACTTTTAACAGTTTATTTAGGTACATAACAAATACATACACATCCTACTACTATATTACACAAATACTAAACAAGTAACCAAATTTAGTAATTGTAAAAATATTTTGAACATTCTTCTTATATTTTAAAGATAAATCAATTATATCTACATTGTTTTGTTTCTATATATAAAAGTATAATAGTAAAATGTATTTATACTTACTACAAACACAGAAGAAACCCTCCGCAGATTAGCACTTAGATACATGACTATTTCTTTAGATGTTTATTTACATCAATTAATCATTAATAACATATATATATATATATATATATATATATATATATATATATATATATATATATATATATATATATATATATATATATATATATATATATATATATATATATATATATATATATATATATTTATTTATTACTATAAAAAACTTATTATTTTTATTCCGAATCTTCAATTCGCTGCTAAGCTTAACTTTTTTTAAGAGTGTTCTCGAAATACCTAGATCTCTCTCCTTCTATGTAAATAATAATTATTATTCGCCTACTTTACTAGTTATTATAATATTCACTTTTAATAATAAATGATGATTAATAATAAATGAAGTTGAAATTACATTGTCTTTTTATTTAGTTAATAAAGCAGAAAACCATTACTATTCTCTATATAATGTGTACTGTACGTATAATACTTATATTTATATTTTATATATAATCGCCAACAAATATACTCCGAATCAATGCTATTGAATTGAGTAAATTGAAATCTATTGAGTTGTATTATGGTTTTATTCAATTAACCCTAAAATTTTATACTAATCATCATCATCATACCAGCCGTTAACTGTCCACTGCTGAACATGGGCCTCCCATATAGACTGCCACAAGGAACAGCCCCGAGTCACCTGCATTCACTGACTCCCTACAATGCATTTGAGGTCGTCACTCCACCTAGTCGCTGCTCAGTCAAGTTAGACAAACTGCCATAGCGTATGCATGTGGTCTGTCGGGACTCTCAAAAGGAGTATGTAGGCGCTGGTCAGAAGGAATATATTGCTCTATAGTTTTTCAATAGGATATTGTCACCCTTCTTGAAGAACAGGACTACCACTCTTCTGCTCCATATATCTGGTGTATCATCGTTATTAATGATGACATTAAATAACAATCATACTATGATGCAAAGAAAACTTTGAACGCTTACAGAATAAAAGAACGTTTCGTAGTCATATGATATGATCGGTCGATAATAATTGTTATGTTAGGATTTTTATTACATTATTATTTAATAAAAATCTTAACATATCAAAATACATTCAAAATACTATTAATGTAAATTGACAATAAAGTTACTATGTACTTGTATGACAGATAAAATATAGCAAATCCATATGAAATATGTATATGTATATCTAATCAAAGTTCGTAACTAACAACTTTTTTTTAATTTAAATTTTAAATTAAATCTATTCATCAGTCTTTTAATACCTTATTACATTAGAAATTTGAAAGAAGAATGTTATCGAATTTTGCGAGTTATATTTATACAAAAAGACTAAGAATGTGCAACATCTTCGCCAACTCTGAAATCATTTTTGTTGATTATTTTTTGCAATAGATAGAGTTTGAAAGTACATTTTTACATTCTGCTGTTTAAAAAATTTTAAATTATTAACAAATAAGCCTTTACCATGGGTTACTTGAATGAATAATAGATTTATGTTTATTATTAACTATTTATTTACACACTACTCCAAAATTCGCTATTAAATACAAAGTATTTGTAATATTAATCATAATGTAAAGTAGTTGTATATGTGTACTACAAAAAAACATATCATATTCGATGAATAATTGATCAAAATAATAATATAACATTCCAAATATTAGCATGTTTATGGAAATAAAACAGTTTAATGACAATACGCGCAATAAACCGACTAAACAAATTCAAGGCACTGAATTTTTTTAAACATTAATAAACAGATCATTTATGCTGGACACTGTCGAAGAAACTCTGAATCAAAGTATACTACCGTAACAGTCATGTCATCTCGAAACATCCGGCTCACGTCCGGAGACAAACTCAAAAGATGTGCTAATCTAGAATGATCCACACCGTACTCTGTACCACCAATAGCGTGCCTTATTAAGTGTGTAGCGGCATTTCTATCTTTAGGTTTACTCTTTAAACTCTCTTTTCTATGAAGTAATAACTCATTTATATCTCCCAATTGAATGTTTTTCCTAGGCAATTTAAGGGGATTGAAGAAAACTTTACCCTTCATATGTTCACCGACTAACTTTACTGACTGTAACGGCGTCATCATGTCCCACAAGCCATCTGAGGCGATAATTAAGAATTTATCTTTCGGTGTGAGTCTATGGTAATAAATATCTGGCTTAGCTGTCAAGTAAGGTGGTGTACGATAATTAGGGGGAATAGCATTCTGGCCGACCATTGGAACAGCAATATTCTTCAACAACTCCACAGGCCACTTGTATCGGAAGTCTCCCATACTACGTAATGGAGCTAACTCTCCTAACAGTCTGTCTCTCCTTATCACAGTTTTTCTTTCACTTTCTGGATGCTCATTCCATATTCTCTTCAACTCATCAAAATTTTCAGAATTGTGTTCTTTTGTAATTTTCTTGGCAATCCATGCATTATCCTCATTCATAGTACCCAATACAGCGTTACAATCTCCTACATTAGCTACATACAAATGTGGACCGTCAATGTGGGATACACAGGCCACGGCTCCAGACAAAGCAACTGACAAAGTCTTAGGATCTATATCACCAGTCACTTTATATGGTTCCACAACTTCTCTTGACAAATCATTATCTAATTTCAATATGGCTTGTTCTAATGAAGAACGAACATCTACACCATCTCTAGGTAAGTCTATTAGCTCAATTAAATATTGTTTAAAACTATTTTCGTAAACTAATTTTAAGTCTTCAATAATTTCAACCTGGAATAATAAATAACCTTGTTTGAGTTCATATAATTTAAGGCATTAAGAATCTTCTTACAATATTTTTATACTACAACAAACGACAAAAATTTGGTGGTATATTAATAACCAATAAACCATAAACAATAGGTGACAATCACATAAAATCAGCTATCAATAGTCCACCCATCTATCTTCCCTTTCCTTATCTTAGATTAGGATTGTACGAGTAATTGAACCTACTTGAAGATTTTATTCTGGACTATCCCATACCTGAACCCGGTTTCTAGATACAGATATAATCTGATTGATGTCATAACAAGGTCATTATAATTTGTATATTATACACATATATTAACATATAGACATTTATAAGTACTAATATATTTTTACTCGTTTAGATCCCTCCACTTATTATAATACCATTAAATAATGTTATAATTACTTATTAATAGTTCTAGCAGGAAATGAGCCTACTATTATCTCTTACAATAATTAGATATGTTACCGAATTACTTATCTATGACGAATGAAACTAATTGTTTAGACATAACTAAGATATAAGTAACGACCTGCTTTATGAGCAATAGTAGAACCTAGATATTTTACTTAAGCGAAATATATAAATTTCACTATAATATTTATTTTCAGGTAACACAAATAGTAATTATAATTTTTATGATTTGTAATTAATTATGAAATTTTATATTATATGGACAATTCCATATTCAAAGTATAGTGCAAACATTATTATCAATCAAAAACTGCAAATGTATAAGTACATACAAATACAACTTATTACTTACTCTATCATTATAAGTTTCTATCAGATTCTCTCTTGGATTTTCATGAACATATTTTCTTAGGATATCCAATGGAAGAAGGGACGCAGCTACATAATTCAAAAGCCTCTTGGATAAAACTTGAGCACAAGCAGGACCACCGTGGCCATCAAATACGCCCAATAGTAACCCTGGAATAGACCATTTATTATAATTAAAAAAATGTGTTCAATTAAAGGCATTAAAAAATACAGCATGACCATTTAAATAATTTATATTACACAAGAAGAACCCTAACGGTATTTTTGGCTCAGCAAAGATGTGACCCATCTTTGCGAAGCTAAAAATATCAAAACTATAGGAGCCATGATATCTATGAAGACAAGATATAAGACAGGATTTGCGCATTAAGATTTTAAAATTAATCAATTAAAAAGAAAATGAAAATTTATGTGAAGTTGCATTAAACTTGGAAACTGAATTAATACTTTTGTAAAAGACACATTTTAGTATATTTGAAAAAGTCGTCCTCATACGGAATTATGTGAAAGGTCCATATTTTTTTCTTATCAGTCATTATAAATGATAATGTAAATCAGAATTATTGTTTTGGATAAGATTTTAACGTAACGACTTCCCATATCTAGTTACTTGTACTGCATACAAAAATAACCTCGTCAAAATTTAAAAAGAAATCGATTAAAAACTGTAAAACTTTAACCAAATATACAGGTCTAAATGGCAGAGTTTTTAACAATATTCAATATCAAAATTTAATAACTATAATAAAACTTAAGTCCATTAGCCCGCCACTGTGTATACGAACAGAAGTCTAGTATTGATATTTATATAGATTGATTTCCGCTTTCGTCATGTTTAGCTCACAGTATAGATAGGGAATTATCGATCGTCCATTAATAATATTATCGATAATTAAACTTCTATAAATAGATATTTTTTATATAAACAACATAAGATCTAATCACCCAAAACTAATGAATCCTTTAATGAAAATCAATTACAATAATTATTTTGAAAACTTAGGTAAAATATATAACATATATTTATATCATCAAAATGTTATATGTTTTACCTAAGTTTTTCTAAAATAAACTCTTATATCCAAAGTGTAAGCTGTATTTGACAATGATAAAAATTTGTATCTTTTATTAGAATGGAATGACAAAAAATCTAATAACCCACCAGTTGAAAAATGGTAATTCCCATCTATATAAATAGAACTATGAATATTACAGGATGCATTGCGTCGCCCATAGTTTTTTTTAATGGGTGATAGACTAGTAATACTTCTTGCACTATTGGTATATGCTAGTGGGGACCAGTGACAGATGATAGATGAGGAAAAAAACAGGTCAGTTGGCCCATTATGACAAATTTCACAAGAATTATCAAAAATAGTTTCGAATGGGAAATGTGTGGAGGTCTACTAATATATAAAATATATAAGGTAGACCTATACGTGGCTATTGCTACCAAAGGAACTGTCCCCATTACCATTATTAGCAAACCTTTCCCACTATCTCCCGTAGTAGGTAACAATCAACCAGGCTTCAGTAATAACAATGCCTCATTACTGAAGCCTAAGTTATTGTGTTTTTTTACTTTGTAATTTCATTTGTCAGAGTATTTCTAATTGCATAATTATATACATTAAATTACCTGGTGTCATCTTGCACTGTGCTTCACTTCTTGTGTCCTCAATAGGATCATTTGAAGCCAATTGATTAGAATCATAAGATTTAACTGAACCAGATGTGAATTCTTTATTGAATTCATTTTTTCGTAATATGATGGTGACCTAAAAATTGTTAAGTCCATAATAAAATGTGACATAAATTGCAACAAAAATTCATTTTCATATTATAGAGAAATAAGTCCAATGTAGTCTGTCTATAGCATAGTAGATTTTATGTATGACAGTTTTTGTTTCAACAAAGCTTTTATAACAGTACCAGTTGATTTGATTTTTTTTAAACATTGGTTTGGTTTTTAAATCAAAATAACTGGTTTTGTTTCATTGATTTGATAGAAGTCTTAGGTAACAAACAATAGAACTGAATTGAGAATCTCCTCCTTGTTTGAAATTGATTCAAAAATATTTTCATAAATTCCTCCCCTCAATTTTAAACTTAAAAACTTAAATATTTACGTTAAGTATATCTTCTAACATAAAACATATATTACAGCATTTGTAAAGTTAAGGAATTAACCCCTAAAGTTAAGGAACTACTGTAGCAAGTAAAGTAAAAAAAGTGATCCATCATTCATTTGGAGATATGATTCTTTTATCTTTATATTTCAGTATGAAAAACTATAGAAAGGTGTTTCTAAAAAAATTTGTGTTTTACAGATTAAGAAAAATAGAAATATGCATATTTGTATGAAATTTTTAAAATAATAATTATGTTTTGGAACAGCATCCCGTAATTTAGAAATCCTGCAAATATCTAAATTTAGACTGTAGAACAATCTAAATTGACATATATTCTCAACTACATTTCATTCAGATGATAAGAAAATTGCCTGCCATTAATGACTAAGGAAAATGTTGGTAAGCTTATAAGTTATAATACTGCAAATGCTACATTCATAATAAAGTATGGCAATGACACAATTATAATTGTATCAACTTTCAAAAAGTTGAAAAAATTTTAATAATTACAATTGATTAATTAAGAAATCCACTTCTACAATTTAAAATGTTAATCATAAAATATATTGCATATAAATCTACTACTAAAAACTATGTACTTACCTACCTTTATATTATTTAGAAATCTTCAAATATTTTTTTTCATAAAACCCAAATTTTCAATAACAGTTTAATAAGTATAATATTCTTTATTGTACACAAAAGTTTATTGAAATAGAAAAAAACAAACATAACACACACACACAGTGCACAAAGGCGAGCTTTTCTCCAAAAGAGATTTCTTCCAGCAAATTCAATGTGAGAAAAACTGATAGTTTATTACTAGTTACAGTCATACATGTGTACCAATCTAATTAAATGTTATAGTTAAAAATAAATAAATAAAATGTCTTTACAATTGAAAACACTGATAGGTATAAATAAATTAATAAATATCTAAATAAGTAAATGTATATAAATAGATACATGTGTAATATATTATATATAATATACAAATATAATAAGTATGTACATCAGCATTGTGAGAGGTAATAATTCTTCAGATGCAATTTCAAAATCTCAGTGCTTGGGCTATTTCTAATTTTTATTAATGCATGATTAACATTGTAGTACATAGGCAAAGTACTTTTTAAATACTCAATCAGAATTATTGAAAATTCAATTTCTTTTTGAAATTTGATAAATAAATTATGATGTTGCCACACTTTATCAATCTAATATTATAAACATTCTTGTTTTTCTTTTAAATTTTATTCCTTGCTCAAGTAATCAAAATAATAAATTAATGACATGTACAATGGAATGTATGCTATTCTCTAATATGTGTAATTATGGTGCTAAAAAAGTTACAAAAGTATAAAATTAGTATCTTTTCACTGGTTTTATACTTTTTTTATCTATAAATTTATTATTACAACGATTCCAAACCTAATATAATATAATAGATACAAAGTGAATATAAAATAGTTAAGATGAAACAAGAAATGTATGTAAGGATAGACATATTGGCACTCTGTTCTATCTGTATACTTAAGAGATATCATTAAGCAATTAAGGGAGTTGCTGATGTAAACAGCAGGATGCAACAGTAAAATGTATATATATTTGTAATATATCATGTTCTCAATTTAGTAAAAAACACAGACTTTATAAAAAAAAAACTATCACAAAATAAACTTAAAAAATAATACATGTTTTTAAAACCTGAGTGTCAAGACTCAGTAATAAAACTTAAACCAACAATAGTCAAATCTTTATCAACTAAACTTTAGTTACTACAATACAAAAAGATAGATAGTTCTACAAAGTAAAGAACTTACTTCTTGTGGTGATGGAAGAACTGTGATACCATCTTTTTGAGCCTGTCCAAGAGTATATGATGAATGAAAAAGGCGAGTGTATGTTGATGTACACTCATTAAAATACCGAAAATCTGATTTATGGTGTTTATGCCAATTACCTAGCAATTTGTATCGAAATCCTGACTCTAATTTTAGACATGTACTTAATAATAAATTTGTATTTGAACAATTCATAATTACGTTATATAATAAACAGAAGAACTAGAAATCACAGGCATGTTATGCAATCACATTAATATATATTCAAATCAAATGTATCTTTAAATTTATCAAATTTATTCACCAGGCAATGAATTTTTAATTTAAGTAATAATTTTAAATTTTTCATTCACACGACTCAATAGTCTAACTGTTTGATACTATATCAACGACTCTCCTACTCCTTCAGTGTTGATATTGACATTGACAGCTGGGTCAACAGTTTTAATTGTCAATTTTGTGAAATAAGTATTTACTCTATGAATTTTCTTTCTGCGTCATAGATTAAGGATGATAGACATATAAAATTATATTTTGGTAATTATAAAAATAAATATAACTACTTGTAAAGTATATAAGAGTGCAATAATCAAACAAAAAAGTTTAGGTATACAATATAAGCACAAAAAGGATTTATGGTAAATTTGAATAAATCAAATTCTGATTATATTTAAATTTTCAAGTTTTTAAGTTTCAAATTTATATACTTGGTTAGAATTAAATATACCTGGATACAATATGAGTTAAAAAATAAAAAGACGAAATCGCCCATTTTATACATAAACATTCTTTAAACTTTAACCCTTTTATTCTTAAAAACCTAAATCTCCTACATATTTATTTTAAACTGAAATATTAAAGTATTTTGTTACTTTCTTTAAAATCAAGAATTAATGAAAAGATAAAAGTTAAAACAGTTTAATAGATAAAATAGGTTAGTACACGGTTTTAGTTTTTATAAATAAGGGGATAACTCTTTAAATACAATAGATATTATAGAACTATCAGATTTTTTTGTATTAGAATTTATAGAAAAAAATATCTCCTGATGAAAACGATCACGTTTAAAATTTTTGACGACGCCCAACAATTCCCTTGACGTATAAAAATATTTAAGAATTCTTTTAAATTCTCGGCATGCCTTTAAATCTCGGCGCCATATAATTTATTCATATTTGTGTAATGACTTTCTCTACACACTCAAGCAACTTTAACAAACATAAATATTTACCATTTGTGAGACAAAGAGAATAGAGTAAGATGAAGTATCTTTGTTCTACAATCAACAATACATAGATACGATATTATAATAGCATATACATTATAGCACTGAACAACTTCTTGAGTAATCAATAGCCTATATTTCGAAAATAATTTTAGTGGTATCGTATGAATTGATTCCCATAATATCAAAATCAGTAGGTAGGTGATAGATGATGCTGAGTCGCAGTTGTCATCTGTCGTCTTCACTTTTTACTCTAGTATTTTGTATATCCTAAACAAAAATATTTGATAATTCTTTTTGCAACTCCAATTCTAACATCCAGTTACAGCTAAATGTATACACCACTCTGTAATCCATAATATTGCAAGATATTGTACTCTATTTTTTTTTTTTTTTTTTTATGTTTCCAACCTAATTCAATAGAAGCACGCCGTGTCGCCGTGTCCCTGGCCTGGTTTCAGTAAATGATTTGTAGGTACCTACTGTACCTTTTTTTACTGCGACTATGGCTTATTAATATAAAGATTCTATACCAACAACACTGCGTAGGCGTACATCCTATGAATGCCTTTATAAAAAAAAAGGTAACTCTTAAATTTAATTGATTCTCATAAACTTTATTTTATATAACCTTAATAAAAGAAATGTTCACCTGAGAAGCAGAATAGAACGCATCAACGCATGCGCTATTCATGTATAAAATTACCAACGTTTAGGATTTATTCCGAAATTTCAGGGGAAAAAAGGTCAAGTAATAATAATCAATAAAAAAATGTGCATAGGATACAAGTACTTTAATATAATAAACTTAAAAAAACAATAAACAAATAAACTTAAATGTGTTAGGGTATATAACATGTACCTACAACAAAACTGCAGAAAACTTTCAGAAAAGTATAACATCATTAATATTGTTATTAAAGAAACACAATAATTATATCAAATATTAAATAGGTACATTTATTTTCATGCCAGATCTTTTATTGGATCGATACATAATTAGTGTTATAACTAGAATAACAACTGTTAAAGATTTGTATTAAGCTTATAAAATTCATGCAGTTTTTTGCACATATAATTATTAAAATAGATAATAGTTACCTATGTATATTTCATTTAATTAAAACATAAGTCTTAATACATGGGATATAATTGCTATAAAATTTATTTTATTATTATTAATATCCTTACTTAATGTATAACAAAACTTTCTAATATTATGTTATTCTTTTTTTTTTTAAACTAACATAATCCATTATGATTTATCTTCTTGACAAAACAATATTTTGATGAAAAGAAGGTGGTTAAAATTTGTTCATATTTACAGATGGGCAAAGCACCGGGTTTAAACCCGGTGCTTTGGTAAAAACCCAATAAACACCCATAAACTCCCATAATCACCCAAAAAAATAGGTTTTTACGTATTTTTTTGAAAATATGTAAGTAATACCAATAAATTATTTTTATAAATTGTATTGATCAATTCTACAATATTAAATAAAACGTTAACTAATAATATTTCAGGAAATTTTAAAAATCTATATATAATAAAATGAAAGTAATTAATTTTCAGTGTTTTCATGTTGCAGTTGATCAACATGTTGGCCTTTTGCTTCCCGTAGATACTTTAAAATTTCTTCATAACACCTCGTTCGCACACATGGCCGTATATATTTAAATTCTTGAGCCACTAACAGTCCGAAATACTCATTTCTTTTATCCTCTTCTCCATAAATTAAGCATTTAGAACAGTTTGTTTCTTCTTTCAGTAAATTTTCTTTTACTTTATCCTCGTTTTTTTCTTTGTTGCGACGACGCTGGGTAAATCATCTGGACACTGGGTCTCACTATCGCCAAATATATTTGGAGATCGGCTTCGGCTACGGCTTGGCAGACATTTTTTTCTTTCTACAATTTTAAATTAAATTTATTAGAATAAATGCTTCGAACACACGCGATCTAAGTACCTTTTGTGTTTATTATACCTTACCTACCTAGGTATAAAAAGAGTACTTACGTAGATTTTCTTTTATTAACTGTTTTATACGAAGATCTTGATCTCTCAAATTAGCATCCATTTTACTTCCAGTGATTATCAACTAAATTAATAATCCACAAAGTATTAAATAACGTTTTTATGAAATATTTAGCACAAAAACAATACCCTTTAAATATCGATCGTCAGTAACTGTGGCTGACTTACCTATATTCTAGCAAGCAGGACTGCCAGATGTGAAGGGGAAATCCCCAATAAATTGTTGCATGTGACTGATGATGTGAGCATGTTCGTTTCATAATAAAAATGTTGCCAGGTAACCAAAAAGTCGTATGTTTTTGTGCGAATTACGATCATAATCTTTACGATCGTACATTAAAAAATAGACAAATAATAGTATGAGTACGATTTAAATCGTATATCTGTCAACCCTGCTAGCAAGACAGCGACAAAATCACGTTGCATAACAATGTAGCCCAAGCTTATATCTTATGAAATATACGGAAGAGATACGGACTTAGAAAAAACAGAAATGTTGTTCTTTGTGGAAGTCATTGATGAAATTCTATGTATTTTAGCCCGCAAACTTTCTTCAAACAAAAACAGCGCCATCTAGTATCGAGTTCTGTAATTATCTCTTTGTTTATGGATTTGAAGTAAGACCGCCACGCATGCAATACATTATGACTGGGGATTCCCCTATTCGTCGACGCTGAATATGAGGCGACGACAATCACTGTCAAACGTGTTCACTATTACTCTGACTCTGGTAACGTGACTTCCTGGTAACGTGTTAGGTAGGAAAAGCAGTAAAAAAGTGCATATTAAGGGAGCAGATTTGAAATAATATTTATACTTAACAAGAAATAATTAAAGGTAAGTGGATTTTTGAATGATACAATTATATCATGATCACTTAACAATTTTAACTTAAAATTAGATGTATTATTACAAGCTTTTATTTAGCTTGCGTTATGTAAATAAAAGTATGTAGGTATGTTCGTATGTTGATGCAATTATCCTCAATCCTCAACCGACTGGGATAAAATTTTCCATACAGGTTTATTTTGGATGATAGTGCATAGTTAGCTGAGAGTCGTCATTGGATAATAATGGTGGATAGCCTAAGATGTGTACTAGATATTTATTTTTAACATAATATGCGTAAGTACCTAATCGAATTAAAGAAGTTGCTGAGAAAAATACAGAACAATACGATAATAAACTAGCGTCTGCGTTTAATCCTCCGAGGAGATGTAATTTTACAAAGGTTTTTTGTATTTATTTTATTATTTTTTTAATAAATTTATTGTAAATAACAAGAAATAATCATTGTAAAAAAATAGGCACTCTATTGTTGAATTTTCGTCAGACCAACTAATCATCGTTCATTTTTTTAGGTTCAATGGGGAGACCTAAAGATTTACGCATATGGGAGCACTACCGTACTTTACCAAACAAGTCTGTTTCTTGCAAGCTTTGTAATAAGGTCTACAAATTCAGTAATGCTGCCAAAATGCTTCAACATCTTATCACTTGTCCAAAATCTCCAGAAACATTAAAAGACTCTATGAAACTTATAAAAGATAGCTCGTCCAAAACCAAAATGTCTGGACTGTCAGAGATAGAGACAAATGATTCTTTTATAAGCCCCTCGTCGTCTGCTAACACTACAATAAATGCTGAGTTTCAAGACACCGATGATCATATAAAAACAGAATTAGCGAGAGCTATATTTGTAACAGGGACGCCATTATCGATGGTGCAACATCCTTTATGGATACAATTTTTCGAAAAATTGCAACCAAAATTTAAAATACCTTCACGTAAAGCTTTAGCGACAAAATACTTAGATAAAATATATAGAGAAATGCGTTTTGAGTTAAATGAGGAACTAAATGCTTGTAGTTACTTACACCTTCAGTGCGATGGCTGGTCTAATTTAAGAAATGAAGGAATAATAAACTTTCTTATATCAAAACCTCAACCTGCATACGTTAAAAGTTTGAATACAGAAAGTAATCCTCACACTAGTGAATACCTTAGCCAAGAAGTTGAAAAAGTAATGAAAGTGTATGGAGCAAATAAGTTTCTTGTACTTATTGGCGATAACGCTAGAAATATACAAAAGGCATTCGAATTAACAAAACTCAAATATCCACATGTTGTTCCTCTCGGTTGCTGTGCACATATCCTTAACTTGTTGTGCCAAGATATTGTAAAGATACAAGAAGTAACTGTGTTTATTATGCAAGCCATAAATATAATAAAAACTGTTAAAAGGAGTCAACGATTAAGTTCCTTGTTGATAAAATCAAGGCAGGGTGAAGATTCTACACAAACACTAAAATTGCCTTGTGCTACAAGATGGGGAAGTCATGTTACTTCGTTAAAAAGTTTGAAAGCAAATAAGATAGCTTTGCAAATATTAACAGTTAGAGAAGATGTGGTAATTTCAAGAGATATTAAAGATTTAATTCTAAGTGATGATTTCTGGACGAAGACAGGGGAATGTATAAGTATTTTGGAACCAGTCACTGAAAGCATATTTTACTTAGAGAGCGACCAGAATCGTTTGCATCGCACATACATTACATTTAGAGATGTACAAGCTAAGATACGTTTTGCATTAAATGAGATTTCGACATTGAGCGAAGAAAGCAAACAGCAGATTCTAACATCAGTATCTTCAAGATGCAATATGGCAATGAGGCCAATACATTTTGCAGCATATATTCTAGACCCCAGGACTCTAGGAGTCGAACTTACTCAAGAGGAAGAACTTAAGGGTATGGAGTTTATCTACAATTTAAGCCAACACTTAAGTTTGTCAAATGTAATGGCAGATTTGGCGTGTTATAAAGCTAAAGAAAACTTTTGGGCCAGAGGATTTGTGTGGAGCTCATTAGATAGCATTGAGCCCCTAATATGGTGGAAAGGTATTTGTGGTTCCACTGAGTTAAGCAAAGTAGCGATTCGTATTCTATCAGCTCCCTGTACTTCGGCAGCCACTGAGCGTTCCTTTAGTATCCAAGGCTACATACATAATAACAAAAGAAATCGACTTACAACTGAAAGAACTGAAAAAATTTCATTCATTTGTTATAACTGGAATCTTAAACATAAAGCTGAATGCGAGGACATTCAGTTTAATGAAGAAAATACCTTAGAAGCTTTCATTGAGCAAGTAAATGAACATAACAGTTTAGACGAAATAGAGCCTATCGAACCTATACAATTCATCGCTTGTAATAACTCTGAATCTGACAGTGATTGACTGTAGTTTTACATTTTACTTTCATCTCTTTCTTAATAAACTCAAAATCAAATTAAAAGTTTTTTATTCTGTAGGCTGCATAATAATATTGTCTATGTCCAGTATAGTGGACGTCTTGCGGCTGAGATGACGATGATGAAGTACAAAATCATAAACACCCAAAAATTTGGGTGTTTATGGGGTTTAAACCCAATAAACCCAAAACACCCGGTTTTTACCCACCAGACTTTAAACCCACCCAGGTGGATTGCCCATCTCTATTCATATTGGCAACATTTAACAGTTGGTAACCCTGTGCGCATGTCGTATTCGTTAATCGTCGTCATTCATCGTTCGCTTAGGCCGATATCGCGCAACATTGGTTTTCTTCTATCTACAAATTTTGCCAACGAGATACTGCAGTTATTAATTTAATACAAAATGCCTAATCAGGTGTTAACTATAGAGCCGCAAAATGAACTCAAATTTAAAGGTGAGTTCCTTATTTTTTTGTTACGCATAAGCTGAAAAGCCGCATTGAAAACTTGGGCAGCAGCATACATAAGTCGCGAGCTAGCTAGCTGCTGACAAATGGAGTTTCTATTTCCAGATATTGGCATTTTATTAGGGTGCGGTTTTCCATTTTTTTCTTTTACTTATAGCGTAATTAATAACCAATGCTAAATTATTTAGCTCCATGTAGTTAATATCTCATAATAGAGAAACTGTGGTTGACGAATCCATGTGTAAAAATGTGAACAAATCTACTACTTAGTATGATCTACTTACGATAGACGATGGTTTGGTATTTGCAAACAGTCTTATGCAGGTATTATTGATAATATTGCCTACAGAAACTATTTTTGTGATTTTGTCTTAACAATATGAAAATTCGCCTAAGTATATATTTACAATTACTGATTGACACTAGTAGGTAATATTCGATGATTCATTACAATATTAGTTTGTGCATATACAGAAATACAGTCAGGTAAGATTGGTAATACTATAAAATTAATGATCAAGGTTAACCAATGTGTTTGTTTTTATTTCTTAGTAGTATTTAATTTTGTTATATTTTAATCATGTATATATTTCCTTTTAATCAAATACATAGAGTTTCATTACACATATTAAAATAAAATATAATTGAAAATAATTTAAATATTTTATTACAATGTATTATAGTAAATTGCAATCTAAACATTAAAAGATGTTTATTAAATTATGAAACTAATAATATTGTTTTTATGTTCTGTATTTAAATACACTTTTTAATATTCATTTATGTAAAGGCCTGTGATTCAGTGACATTTGATATTAATTTGTATATATAAATATAATATAGAAATAAAAACATAATGTTTTACAAATAAAATTTCACATTATTTATTGAATCTCCAAGAATAAGAATTATTAAAAATAAACAAAAATGTCTATAAGGATCACCTTCGACAGAAATTGTTGATCAAATAGGTAATTTGCTGTAAATGGCTAAGTTAAATCAACTTGTTAAGTATCTGTAACTACTATGTTTATAGGTGTCAAAAGTAGTCTGTTTGAAATGGAGTTTATGGTGTTTGATTATTTCTGCCTAATTCAGTTGGAAACAGGTGTGATATATGAATCATAAATATATTAAATTTGTATTATTATATTATGCAAATTCAACTTATAATTATATCAAATATTTTACAAATAAATTTTTGGGATTTTTGTTTGTTGTTTGTGTAAAAATTATAGTACACATGCCTTATTTTCTAGTGATTTACTTTAAGAGTGTTCATTACTTTGTAGCTTACCGAAGTGTGGCAATGTCACAATGATCCATAAATTTTCAAAAGCAACTTTAACAATTTTCATTATTTCTAACTGATTATTTAAAAATTCCTTTAGCTAGTGAACTAAAACATTAATCATGCAATAATGCTTATTAAGCTGTCACTAAAAATTTGGATTTTGATGGCAAAATTGTACTCGTATTTAAAAAATTCCAAAAATATAAATGTATGTTTTCGTTATAGATTTATATGCAATGTATTTATATTTAAAGTTTTAGTTTGGTATTAGAGCACTTTATAAATGATCAATCACAAATTTAAAAAAAAATTCTTTTTTATACAACATAGAATGGCAAACAAGCTGACTCACCTGATGTGAAGATGTTTCTCATTCAGGTCTAAATAGAACACCATTACACATTTTAATATATGTTCTTTGTATGTAACTTCGTTATTTCCATAATTTAAACACAGTTTTTATGAGATACCATTTCTTTATAGGCTCTTTGAACTACTATCGTAGTTCACATATTTCTCTGTAACTACATGATAATAGGGTTGGATTGCTTGTTGCTTAGCTTGGTTTGAATGAGGGAATATAGCAGAGAAACATGGTAAAATATATTAAAATTTATAATATATAATTGTTATTTGTTAGTAATATTGTTATTAAATAATTTAAATAATAAAGCATTCAAATTACTTTGCAGATTTATAAGAATGAAATTTGCAACATAATTTTCTAAGCGACTAATTCACCTCTAATTAATTACACATATTCTGTGCTGTATATCACATATCTAAATTTAATAGCTGTGTGTAATTTAGTTCTTTCGTCTACACTAATATTATAAAGAGAAAATATTTGTATTTTTGTGTGTATGTATGTTTGTAATGACTAAACTCAAAAACTACTTTGCCGATTTCAGAAATTCTTTCATCTTTATAAAGCTACATTCACCCTGAGTAACATAGGCAATATTTATTGCTAGAAAACATTAGGGATAAACTTAAACTTTAGTAACGTAACTCAAGATATAAAAAAAATGCTATAAAATATATTTCGTTGCGTGCGCTGCGGAAAACTATTGGTGATAGAACAAAAGTATATTCTACAATATTGAAGAAAAGATCAATAACTACAAAAAACTTTGCGATATTATATATCCAACTATTATCATTATGTCACAATAACCACTTTTTACATTTTAAATGTTAATAGAAATACCAAACAAAATTACACTATAGACTTCTGTTTAAATCCTTATCCAAATAAATATTAAATATTAAAATTTAGTCAATTTGATTTTTGATCTACTTAATTTCATTTTATTTTTACTTGTTCCAATTATCATTTTATTGACAATAGCTGTGGCATGCGCGTGAGCTGCGCGCGGTACTGGACAGTACTTGGACATTGCAACATTACTTTATTTTTCTAAAATAAAAGATTTTTTCTAAAATAAACGTAGCCTAAGTTACTACCTTATACATAAGCTACCTGTCAATAAAAATCTTGTCAAAATCAGTCCAGCCATTTCAGAGATTAGCCGGAACAAACAGACAGACAGAAAAATTGCAAAAAATGTTATTTTGTACACCAAATGCAATTTTTCTCTGTCTGTTATATATTCATATTACCGTACCGTATATATATTCATATACATGTAGTAAACTTCATCTACTTTCATCAACATCTGTTCCCCTCTCGCATATACGTGCCGATAATATTTCCTATATTCCTTGTATCTGTCCTTTCATCGTCCTGAATTTCAAATCTGTAATTACGTTAGAACTACGATCACTTTTTCTGTCTTGTATCGTATTATGGAGAGTGAAATTTTACATAAAAAAAAAACTTGTAGTACGTAGATACATGGAATGCATTTTTTTTAAATAAGGCGATTTTATTGTATTTTTAGATAATCCGTTCAAATTTAAAATTAAATAATTATTTATGGTAATTTTAGATATTTAGGAAACGGAACTAATTGTCGCGTGTTGTAGAACGGAACTGCTTGTCGTGTTCTTCACAAACACAGATTTATCAACGACTAGCCAACAGCGCCATCTTGCTTACTCCGAAATGTTTTTTAATATGTAAATATTATAAAACAAACTCTCTGCCTTTGTTGTTTCTCTGCTTATTCAAAATCACGTAACAGATTTCGATATGAGTTTAATTGTAAATTTGATATTTTTACGAGAGGTTTGTATATACAATTTGCACCCGTTCATTGCCGGGGTGCGTTGATGTGTATATATATATGTACATTTATTATCCAAAAATAACACAAAACCTAAACATAAACAAAATTATATCCGTAACTTTATTTATTGTATGAGATTAATATTAATGCAATACACTATTGAAAATTTTAAATGTATTCACAAAATGACATTTAAATGTGCATTTATTACGAATTCAAAACTAACGGTAGAAAAGATTTTTCCAGAAAGAATTATATTATAATTTGCTATACAAACCTATTCTCAATGGTATAGTCAATATTATTGATTATTTTAGTTGATTTCTCAGGGCTATTCGAGCAGGGATATACCACGTATATGCGACTGATAAATCCTTCGAGCGAAACAGTACTTTTCAAGATAAAAACCACCGCTCCAAAGAAATACTGTGTACGCCCCAATTCTGGAATGTTGGAACCTAACTCGAAGGTCGAAATAGCTAGTGAGTATATAATTTTGCATTTTTACCTCAGTTATCTCACACTATTTAAGTAACAATGAAATAATCGTCTACACATCATAGCAAACTTAGTAATATAAGTTACTAGTAGTTTTAAAAAATGTCCATGTCATACAATGTCCTTGACACTTCAATAGTGTGAGATCACTTTTGGTTATGTATTGTTTGTTAATGTTTATGATGTACACATTTAAATTTAAGGTGCTGTATATATTTTTTGAACAACTTCAAAAAGAAAGTAGTTCTCAATTCTTTTTTTATGTTTGTTTTTTCATACCTAACGTAAATCGATTTGGAAAATTATGTTTTTATTTAAAAGGATATACTTATAGATATAGATTGGTCCCATAGAAATTTTATCAAAATCGGTGCAATATAGTTCAGAGTTTAAATAAAAATTTTGTTTTGTTACAATTGAAGTTTGTTTTATTTTTCGAGAAAAAGAATTTATTTTTTATAGGATTTAGTATATTGTGTAAAAATTACTAATTTTGTATTTATTATTCCAGTTACTCCACAACCGGTGTACGTTGATCCAAATGAAAAGCACAAACATAAGTTTATGGTGCAAAGTGTTATCGCCCCAGAAGGAAAAAATAATAATATAGATCAAGTGGTATGTACTTAGTAAATTAAATTAATTAAAAATAATTTATTCAGTGTAATACGATAAACCAATCTAATTCAAATATTTAATATCTTAAAGACAAATATGTAATTATTACTTTCGAAATTGGAAATTTGAATCTGACTGATAAACAAGCCCATCCCCTGACGATACCTCTTTATTTTACAATCACGACGAAGCAGTAAAATGTGTTTTACTTCAGTTAACAATGTAAATAAGCCATGAGAAATGTAAACAAACAATTGACTTGGCCATAAAAAATGTCCATAGTTTGCCATGCTTATATCCATTTTGACAGTGTTCAACAAACCTTTAGTTGTTTAGTTGTATTAAAACAGAGTATAGTGTTCGAGAGTGTCAAAGTTATTCTTTGCATCACCTCACAACGTTTTATATAGAAAATGGGACTATAAATTTTTCCTATCTACCTCTATTTAAGTATTCACCGTTTCTATTACATTGCGGACATATTACCAACATATTACCCATTGCGGGGCTTCAAGTCACACGAGATGGTAAACACTTCATCCTATGAGACATGGCATACGAGAAAATTATAACAACTCACATTCACAACCTGAAGTAATATTTTATATATATATATATATATATATATATATATATATATATATATATATATATATATGTTTTGTCGTACAATAGATTACGTGTTAATAATTTATATACTTATCTAAATCTTAAATAATTTACTCATGTACTCTGCAGTTGCATATTAAAATTAAATATTTTTTTTCTAACTCTTGGTATTTGGTATTAATTTGATTACTACTGATCTAAGAAGACTAAACTGAATGCACAACGTTTGAACTAAACAAAAAAAATTGGTTGATATTGGTTATATAAATTTAATTACTCTTTCCTCCCAATGCATATTTTGATCATTTTCTGGATAATTTCAGTGGAAGGAGATCAGTCCTGACCAGCTTATGGATTACAAATTGAAATGTGTTTTTGAAACACCACGTGGCACTAATCTCAATGTAAGTATATTATACGTATATATCTTTTTCTATCTTTGTGACAGGTCCCTATGATTATGTACAGACCACGTCTCTTTCTTCAGAAGAAAGGCGTGTCCCGTAATGAGACGATAGTAGATTGTGGTACTCGTAGATAAATGATACATAAATAATAAAATTATGTTATTCTCTGCAAAATATTGAACTCCTTAAATACATTAGTACAAAAAAAGAAAGTAATATGAATAAAATATTTCTATTAATAATTTTCCATCAAACTGGAAAAATTATGACAGATGTAGAGACTAATCGACAAAATTACACACAAACCAATTGTATACAAATCATATACACACGTCAATGCTTTTCTTCGCGTAAATACAAAATAACAATTAGTTACATTATTAGGATACAAATATTATTATTTAAGGTACATAATTTCGATTCTTATCATAATTATTTGTGTTATCGTTTCATGTATTTTGTATAGATTATTTTGTTGTAGATAAAAATTCATAGCTTCCTATTTCTTAGTACTATTTAGATCACAACTGGTTTTAACTATGTCATAAAAATTGATTAATAAATACAATAATATGATATAACGAATAGTTTAATATATCTATGTCATTTAAATTTATCTCACTGTCTATATTACATGGAAAAAAGAGGAGAATGCAAAACCGCTTAATCTAATCCATGCAAGCGCATCTGTAATTGGTAGGCACTTACGAAATAATGACGCAACACAAAAATAATTTTGTGATGAATCATTATAGTAAAGTCTAATGAACAACGATTAATCAGTACGCCTATCTACCTGTATATATATATTTGTTTCAGACTGCGAATATTACCCTTTTTCATTTATTAAATATTTTATTCATGTAAATTTATGTTGTAATATTCTCAATCTATATGGATGATGATGATCAAAGAGGATGCTGAGCGATTGACTGACTGATCCACATATCAACGCACAGCCGAATCCACTGAATGTAGAATCATGTATCTAATAGGGTAAAACTTCCAAAATCCACGTTTACGAAGTCGCATGCATAAGCTAGTATTATTATATATGTATTAACATTAGATTATGGATTTATTGAATACATTTTTTAGGATTCTGGAGACAATGCGGCTCAGAACGAAGTAACGAAGAAGCGGGTAGCAGTTGCAGATGAAGCAAAAGCAACTTTGAAGGTACAATCTGCTTTTATTGTACTCTATCGTAGATAGCTGTTGTTTGTTTATTTCAAGAGTTTCTTACTACCATTCATCGACGTACAACACTGACTCATGACGTATGAAACTGGAGTTTTAATGCACGAAATTTTTTGTCGTTTGTGTAGTGATTGTGAGCTTCTTAAATTTTTATTTGCCCATTGTTCAAATCTATTGTGTATCATTCAGACCATAACGTGTTTATAAAACACAGTAATTGATTATCACATTGTGTATGTATTGATCACAGTCTTAATACATCATATTCATATGAGTATTTTGGCCAAATGCAATCTCGGAATCGGGTTGAAACTAGTCCAAGCTTGGCATGTTCAATTGTCTTACAGGAAGACGTAGAAGGTCTTATCCAGAATGAAGCAAAAAGGAGGAAGGATGATGAGCACACTGGACCTTTAAGCGCTAAAACAACGGTACCCCATCACTATTTACTCTTTTGTTATAGATACATCGCCATTTAGCTCATCCATGCCGTTGCCATCTCTGGCTGCCAATAAAACATTTTTTTTATGCGAATCACATTTGGATTGATTCATTACATTTTTTCCTTTAGGCTTATTTAATGCACTTTTCGATTGAATCAATATAATAAAAGAAATAGTAGCATTTGTTTGAAGGAGCCTTTTAACACAGCGTAGGTAAGCCTCAAGAATATTTTATTATATAATATTTTAAGTTAAAATATGCTTAGACTTTTTTTATTCTTGAATACAAAGTTAAAAAACCTACTTATGCCCTTAACGAATTCGATATACATAGCTACTACAAATTAGAACGGCACTGCTATGTTTAGCACATCTTCAATAGTTATTATGTTGGCAGATGTTTCGCCAATCACATGTGTGAAAGGCTCTTATGGAACATAAGTTATCTCAATGAAATATTGATTAACTTAAATGAAACAAGATATGAAGATACAGTGTAATTAGTACCAACATGGAGATATAATGTATATGCTGTGGAATATAACAAATGTATTGCACATTCCTAATGTTATATGTTTATATATGTATGTATATATTTTTACAAAATAGCATGTTTTATTTTTATTTGCAAAATGTTTATTATACGCGATTCAATATCTAAATGTCGTCGATAGTCATTTTTTTTTAACTATTAATTCTATTTAAAAATTTTATTATTTCTTTCAGACTCTTCCTAAGTCTGAAAATGTTGAAAACGATCTACAAAAAGCATCTTTAGAAGTTATTCATTTGCGAGAGGAGGAGAGCAAATTAAGACAAGAAAATTTGCAGTTAAAAGTAAGTTGCAATTGTGTCCTGTAAGCAATACTAATCTTTATAATGATTTCTTATTATATATTGTGATTGTATGAAGATAACACATGGCGATTTTTTTTTCCTGAATTATAACAACAAAAAAACTACGTGTGCAATTAAATTTTAATGTGCTATACGAATTACTTTTATATGAATTTTGGTGTGCTTACTTTTATCTTATCAGTAATCTGTATAAAAACTCATCTTTTAATGGGTGAAAATGGAATGGTAACCCCGCCTGCGCTATCAGTATACACTAGCGGGACACCAATAAGAGATGTTAGGTGAAGTGAATACAGGTTAGTTGGCCCACCAAGAATTAACCACGATGGTTTTCAGGGGGGTAATGATAAGGTATATTGCTTTTATATTATTATTTAAAAATTTATTTGGGGCTGTTATACCTCATTACTAACCTGTATTTCTGTTTGAAAGGCATAACATCGTAGCCCTCATGAATGGCAATGCGTAATTTTCTATGTCCGTGCTTTTCCGTGGCTGTTCATTTCTACTGTCTGTAACCACTATCAAGTGGACCTTCAGCTTATTTACCATTCTATAATATTAATAAGGATTGTAGTGTATTATATTAAGTACAGAGTAAACTGATTAGACGTTATGTTGGAATAAATTAATATGACACTTTATATAAACACCCAACTGGGAGTCCTTGACACTGATTATCTGAGCACACAATACCAAACACCCGTCTGATTGTGTAAATAATGCTAATTTTACTCTTGTTGAATTGATCTGCCCGCGAATTTGCCACAAATTAACGTACGTTTTGTTAATAAGTGAATTTTATTTGAAAGAACCAATTTCTTTATTTCTTTTGATGCTACTGCGAAATTTATTTGTGCTCTTGCTTTTGCGATGTTTTCAGAATTGTTTTCACATTAAATTACTATATAAAATGAACTAATCGCAATTCTGCAATTTTCTTCATGTTAATGTTATAATATCTATGCGTAATTAGTATTGGTTATTATAACAGACCGCCATGTGGTCCTGGCATAGAATAGGCCACCCCTTCCTATTCCATGGGTGTCGTCAGAGCTGACTAAGGGAGGGCGAGGGATGAGCAGCAGCAGCAGCGTCGCTTTTAAAACATCTCTAAAGCCTGACTGCGGTTGCCAATCTACCTGCCAAGCGTATCAACTACTGGCAAAACCCCTTATGGGGAGGCTTATGTTCAGCAGTTAAAGGCTGATATGTTGATGATTATAACAGACTGTGTGCCGTGTGGTTTCAGCATAGAAAATGAACCGGCCCTTCTTTGCCCGTGAGTGTTGTAAAAGGCGACTAAGGGAACTTAATGGTCGAGGGATAGGCTGACTGCGGTTGTCAACGCGCCTGCCAAGCGTGGCAACTATTGACATAGTTCCCCAATCTGTGGGGGGAAGCCTATGTTCAGCAGTGGACAGATAACGGTTGATATGATGATGATAATGATAACGATGATTATAATTATATAATAGACCATACAAGTGGTACTGCACTTCTTAATACTGACGGTATACGATTACCGTTACCTACGAACACCTGACATGAAGGAACCCTTTCACATGTCACGTATGCGTTGTGTTAAACCCATTAAAACTTCTCTAGGAGCTCTGATATTACTGTGTGAAAGAACTTAGCTTTATAAAGTAATATTATTTAGTCTCTATGCTGATGTTTCAACAGTTAAACGTTTCCAGTTATTGAACGGAGTTTTTATATTGAATTCTATCTAGAATCTGATACAATAAAATTGTAAAAAAATCTGTATGAGGCGTGACAATAAAACCAATAGAGGCCAGATCAAAATTTTTAAACATTTTGTATGACTGTCTATCTTTTTGTATGTTTGTTCCGGCATCATACAAAAACTACTGCACCGATCAAATAGGATGCGGTTTTCACAGTTGTGCTTTCTTAGTTCTGAAACGACACGTACGAAGAAGCGGGCAAAAAGCTACTCTAGAATAAAGACTTACGCGAATTGCAGCTGCGAAGATAGTTCAACTATCTATTTTTATTATATATGAATAAAATAGAATTATCTATTTAATTAAGTTACTATTTAATGAGTGTCAAGTCTGAGCAGATATTTTTTATTTATATTTTACAAAATCATTTTCTTCGTTTGCTGTGAAGTTTAGCTCGGCGATAGAATTTACCACCCTAACATTCTTTTTTTTTATATATATGTTGTAGAATAATATACAATAACAATAACAGAAGCGTTTGTACGTTTAGTAAATAAGACCAAACATCCTGCATTTAAATCACAGGATGTTTAATATAATTATTATTGTATACGTCCGATTTGTAGGAGGAACTACTGCGCTTGCACCAATCAGCCGGCGGAGATGGCCGCGTTGCCCGCCCGCATTCCTATGGGCCCGAGAAACAAGCTCAAGTGCCGTCATTGCCCTTGGTAGCCGCAGCAGTAGTGATGGCCCTTATTGGCATCGTGATTGGCAAGTTCTTCATGTGAATGCTCCCTCAGGCCTCGCGGTGACGCCACCTCACAGACACCGCTGTTACACCACTCCCAATGCCTCCCTCGCGCACAAGGCAGCTTAACCCTACAATGCATCAGTTTTATTATTTCCATTCTCAATAGATACGTGTAATATTTTCAGCCTCAATACTAATTTCTGTGAATGTTACACTAAGCATTGTCTACGACATGATCATCTATGTCATTACTTTTAATCTAGTAATATAAGACAAAGTAATAATTCTTTGTATGTATTTTTCTTAGGTTTTGTAGTCGCACTCATAAGACCTGACGTAAGTCATTCTTATCATTCTTTAGACAAGTGCAATTTTTATTTTATCAAATTTGTGCTGACTGACCAAGAAAAATCGTTTTATAATTAACATGCATATTTGTCATTCCATTGTACTGTATATAGGAACAAACTGAAAACTGTGTTTAGCGAGGTGCAATAATATTATAATGTAACAATAGAAACTAAAAACTGTTGTTTGTACTACATAATAAAAATACAACTCGTCCCCATAATAGTCTCTCACCATTTGTTGCTTGTGCAAATGCTGTATAAAAAACAGTCTCAAGTCTAACTCCCTTATGCTGGGGTGAGTGCATTCTTTTTGATAATGTTGAATTTATTTTACTATTAATTGTTCTTTAAAACCTTATGCTTTTTGTTGCTTGTTTTTAAATGAAACCGCGTAGTTGTGGTATGAAGTTTAGAAATTATTTTTTCTTTTTTCATAACTGAAGTAGTCAATTACATCTTCACTCCCTAAAATAACCTACCAAAGTATTTATTCTTATGAAAACGAAGGATAGGAGACAATGTAGACTATGGCATTTTCATCGCGGGGAATATAATTTTATTATGTATGAAGTATCATCATTATTATATTAAAATAAACATTTGTTTTCGACGTGCAGGACCACGTCTGATTGTTTACATGAATATGTAAATTGTCCTTACGTCTTTGGAGTTATGGTAAAATGGGAGAAATCATTATATTAACGGATGTGATAGAAAATCTTATTAATACAATTTGTTATTAAATTAAGAACTCTATATATAAAAATCTCTCTCACACATGTTGTTTTTTCTTTTCTACTTTGTGCAAATCAAAGAGTTCTTTCAAGTATTAGTAAATCTGTCTGACTGGGTGCGACCAGACAATGTAATCACAGAATTCGTGAAATAGTCTGATATTGATATAGTTTTGTCAAACTATTATTACAGATTAAAATGTAAACATTAGCCCCCTTATTGATAAAAACGTTAAACGTCTAATATATCCATTTAAACTGTGTAGTGTTTTGTTACAAAACACAATACTAAATTGGATTTATTAGTAATTTTATGTTTCTATTAATAATATGGTAGTTGTTTATACCTAATATTAGATATTGCTGTGATGTGGTTACACCACATATCACAAAAGCAATGTAGGGTTAACATAGTTAATTGCGACCTCACCCAATTTTCAATTATGACGCATTTGTGTTCTCCAGTAATAAGCCACTTCCTATGTGTAATATTCGGACTTGAGCTCTATTCACGGTTACGGTTATGGTTAAACTGCAGTCCTTTATATCTGTGATTCCACAGCTATCACCACACATATGTATTCCAACAAAATGTAATGTGACACTATCCACCCTACTTAGGTTCGTTGTGTTAATGAGAATGTTCTTTAACATGCGTATTGAAGACAGAAATCATTGCAATCCTCTGAAGTAATTGTTTAGTCCGTAATAATGTATAATTATAAATATTATACACTATCGATAGCTGTCGTGCCACTCAACATGTGACATGAATAACATGATACATGTCCTAATATGGATAACTTGAGTATTTTTTATTATAAAGATAACAATACCCAAATAAGTGTTCTCATTGGGTATATATGATACAAACTTACATAATTCTTCTATATTTTTAATTCTAACCTCCTTATTCAGACGATTGCAATGAATTCCTCGACACCTGTATAATTCTGTCAATGTTTTCCTATTTTGATGATGATGATCTAATAAAGCAATTATTGTGCGTTTATAAAAAAATACAAGTGCTAATGTTACTAACAAAATCGTATCGTAAGTTTTCCGAAATACATGCATATATAGAATAAAAATTAATGTCAAAGAGTAAATATTTTCATGCAGTACATAGAATATATATTTATATAGCAGATCGGTGTGTACTAATTATTTTTCATGTGACGACCGTGCCTTTACTGTCACCGTTGTTTTATAAAATGTATTAATGAGTATAGCTTGTCAACTTAATCGGTTAGTGCATACTATGCAGGTGCGCGCTCTTCCTGACCCGCTACAGTATATTCCACGCCCCGCAGACGTTTTACCTTTCCACCTGGGCGCCTCGCACGCCTTAGGGAGTGGCATGTACGAAGTTGACTGGTTATAATACTCACTTTTTTACTTGTTTCGTGGCTCTGTAACATTCGAACATGAACTTTTATAAAATTTACTAGTACAAACCACTGTAAGCCATATTGAATAATAGATGATCTCCAACCGAAACTATGTACGGATACCTATTACGAGTTGTATTATTACAGTATTAACTTGGCACGATATCAGATTATTATTTTTAACATCGATACAGCGTTGAGTATAAGATTAATGGGCTTGTGCCTTGAATCGTCAATACCAGCCTTCATGTGATTAGAGCAAATTAGAGCATTACAGCGGGAGTGTCCAACAGCCAGAGAGGCGCTCGCTTCTAAACAAATTAGTTTTCATGCAGCCAGTTGGTCTTTAGCTGAGCTTATGAATATTTCCTAGGTTAAATTTTATAATATACATAAAAACGTTTAGTAATTTTGATGAATAATATTTCGTATAACTACAATAGAAAAAGTGTGTATCTGAAACTAGGTTCTTCTGTAGGACATTTAAGCTCAGCTAGCGTCGAACTTCAAGACACATTTTATGTGGAAACAGACATATTTAATTGTAATTAAGTCGCAGGTGTGTTTTATAACACTTACGATTACTATTTATAATTCTAGGCGTCAACATGTCATGGTTCATAGCACCTTTAATCGTAGATTTGTGTCTGTAAATTTAGATGGATTACATTACGGTTTATTGCATTTTTATTTAATGTTATGTTCATATGGATTCGTTTAAGGTGGAACGGTTTTTGATATGTACCATTAGATTGAACATTTCATATTGCGAAACAATTATTGAAATTTAAAAATCGATGCTTATATGACTTCATTGTTGACTTCGAAATAATGACTAAATACAGTTATTACTTGCTTTTTTTATGTTATTATTTATAAAAACCGTTAATGTCTCCAGATTATAATATGAAAAAACTATCCCCAAAAGCAGTTTTTTTACTATTATAATCAGGACAGGGTATAATCGAACGGATATTTTTTCGTCGGTATAATGTATTACATTATATAGGATATATCGGAGATATATAATCGGAGGATTCATAGCTTAACTATTTAGAACTGAAAAGCCTCTTGCATGATTTGATTCGACATCGCTTTTAACTTTTGTGGTTAAGTTCAAACGTAAGGAATAAACTAAGTTTAGGTTACTTACCATTAAGGGAATTGTCTTAATTTCCATACATTTGGAGAACTTAACCCTAAACGTTATTTATCTTATATTACTTTGAGCACAGAAAATAACTAGCGCCATATAAATAACAAACCATCATCCACTCCCATATTACACATTAAACAATTTAGTAATTGAAATTTTCAATCTTTTGGCATAATTAGTGTAACTCTCTAAGGGCATATAAGATATTTATCGCAAGTGGGGCTTGTAACTAATAAGTTTTCCTGTAGTTTCCTAAATAAAGAAATTATATCTTAAGACCAACAATTATCGGGAGTGTTACCAAAAATTAACGTGTATGTTTGTCCGAATGTTTCATGGTAACTCGTAATACAAACGACGGCACTTTATAGGGCCAATCTGACAGCCGTTTGTATAGCTTATGTATTTATAATTCATTCTTACAGCTTTTAATCTGTATGATTCATATATTATTATTTTTTTGATCAGAAACCGGAATCCGGGGGTACGATTCATTGCTGTAATTAATTTAAATAATGTGATAGAAGTAAACTAGCTGATAAAAGTATAATTGTATAAAAATTTAAAAGGTGGAATAAATATATAAATAATATGAATGTAAGCGGGCGCTGTTTAAAATTGAAATTAATAATATAAATATTCAAATGTAGTCTCAATTGTGTGTATGTAATTCATAAAAAAATTATAAGTATGTCCTCTGTAGTTAAAGTTTAATAAAGCTCATAAACGTTAATGTGAAGTCATTCGCATTATTCCCTTTGCGATAGTGACTTCCTGCCCGCAGCCTCCGATTTCTGATATTTGTAAGATTGTTCGCATATAAAATTGTAGTTTTTTTTTATTAACAATAGTAATTTAAATTTTCCGTACGGTATTGTTGTTGATTAAACTATTATGCTATATTGTATCGTTTTCTGAAATAAAAGACTTAATTTATGACTTGAGTTTCTTAAATATTTACCTACCTACAAGCTATCCATACTGGCAACAAATGTTATAGCCTGCAGTTCAAAATGCATTTCGAAGTTCATGATCTTTAAACATGTACAGTGTCTAATCATTCTGCTGTATATATATATATATATATATATGGCGTTTGGCATTTCTTACATGATTCTATTTAGTTTGAAATATTTAAGAACCAGTGTGGGTGATTCTAAAACCCCATTTCTGTAAACCTCTCTCTAATATATTTTAATAGTTTCGCGAAATTATTGTTCCATGGATCATCATAAATAACATTTATTATTTTTTATTTTTAGCATTAAGTCCAAAATAAATATACCAGAAACCGCAAAAATTTGTCTGGGATGCCATAAATACTTAATCTATTATATATTTGTATTGGTCTTAAGTGTAGTATACAAAGCTTTTTAAAAATACTGGTTTGTTTTTCTATCATTTAAGATTGAGATCTTTCTAACTACTAATGTCTATTATAATACAAATATATCGTTATTTTTAGTTGAATTAAACCAATATTTCTCTATGGTCTATATCGTTTTGTATCAATTAATTCAAGAAATAAAATATAACTAATTATGTCAAGAAATCTGAGATGATACTGTCAACTCCAAGGCCGGCTTCAGCAAGTTTTTTGCGTTACCTACGGCCGGAAATATTTGAGTTAGATGCAAGCTCTACGATGCTGATATAGAATGGACATATTGGATATATACATTTGATAATTTTTTGTCAGAAAGTACTGGTGAGTTTATAGAGGAGCATAAAATTAAAATCTTGATTCAAATTAAAAATATCTTTATTTGTAGGTCTATTACAGATTCTTATGATATGTCAAATCTTTAATCTCTTATCTCCCAGCATTTATGTGTAGGTACATAAAAAAAAATGTAATGATTATGAGTCGGCTATTTCAATTCTGAATAACATTTATATTAAACGAAAAAAATGAAATACATGCGCGTCATATCCTTGGCACCCGAAAGCAGCGCAGTGATGAATCTATAGATCAATACTTGCGCCAACTTAAACTACTTGTTTAAAGATGTTAAAGCTGAACTATATCGATCTGAATATATTAGAGATGCATTTATTGCTAGTATTTCCTCGCCAAAAATTCGTTAACGTTTATTAGAAAATTTTAAACTCTCGCTTGACCAAGCATTCAATCAAACACTCACTCAAGATGGCAGAAATGAATTTCCTAGCTTACAGTGGTAATTGTTTGCCCCTTAATTCTGCTGATGCCGTTATTTCATCTAATTTACAAAAGAAAACTCAAATATGTTCCGCGAACAACAACGATGTCTCTACTGTACGAGATAATTTGCTGAATCTAGCTGCTACTTCAAATAAGATGTTTCTTCTCTGCAGTAATGTAATTCATCAGCGAATAAAATGTCCAACTTTGGATAGTACTTGTCAGATTTCTTCTAAAAAAGAACATTTTGCTAATGTTTGCCAAAATAAACTATGAATGCTACTGTAACGAATGAAAATGGTACTGATTATTCTGCGAAGGTTGCTGTTATATCAGCACTACCTGTCAAAAGTTTGAGACCACTATTAAAAATATAAGAAAACAAAAGTCAACATATTTACAACTTTTTATTTTTATGTTACACACAAGATTTGATATTCAAAATTACATGAAGTCTTGACGAATACAATGTTTTGAAGAAAACCCATACAAGAAAGTTTATAAAGATATTTCATCAAAATATCGTCCTTTGCATTTTATGACTCGTTTTACCAATCTTAGCATCTTGCGAGATATTCCTCAAGCTTTCTTCTAATGCATTCCACATGGCCTGCTATGAAATAGGACATTGTTTAATAGGGTTAAGATGGCGTGGCCATGTCATGTTTTTTAACACTTTCCGACTGTCTTTTGTCTAAATAGACCCTACATAATTTTGAACCGTGCTTTGGATCATTATCTTATTGTAAAATAAATCCTTGTCCGATTAGCTTTAGTCCGGAGACTCCGCATTTCTCTCCAAAATTATGATGCTCCTTTTTCACAATTTCTTTAATTTGGACCAGATTTCCAGTCTCATAGCCTGAGAAACAACCTTACACCATAACAGATCTGCCCCCATGCTTGTCAGTCGGGACTACACACTGTGGCGTCATCTCTTCTTCAGCAAAACGTCGAACGAAAATTCTTCTTTTTGAACCGATTATTTAAAATTTAGATTCCTCACTCCATAGCACATATTTAAAATCTTCTTCGGTCCAGTCTCGATAGGCTAGAGCAACCGTTTTTTCTTATTCTACCATTTTAGAAGAAGTTTCAGAACAGCAACGCGATTAAACAACTTGGCGTTTCGCAATCGTCTTTACCCTGTAGGCACTGACATAGGTTTTTCCCGAGATTTGTTGACTTCAACACGAATTTCTGGGGCTGTTAGGTGTCTATTTTGTTTGCTGGTTACCACAATAAATTTGTTTTCACTAGAAATCGTAGCTTTTGGTGTCCCGAAGCGCGGACGATCTTGATTACTGCCAGTTTGTTTGTACCATACAATAGTGCGATGAACACAAATCTTCGATAATTTGTGATGCAATCTCACGTTTAAATTTACCTTCATTATGGAGAACTACGATAATAGATCATGTTTCAATACTAATTTTGTGAACTTTTCCCATTTTAGAAATGTCTTGATTCTAGGAATCATGAAATCAAACTAATTGCGGACATTCGTAGATAACCCTGAAAATATCGAGTTTAAATAAACATTAGAAATATTTTAAGAATTTAAAACAATTAGGGGAAGGTGAGGAAGTGCCGTTTATCCAAATATAATTACATCCTAACATACTTATAGTTAGCTATTTTTGATTGGACTAAAATATATATATATATATATATATATATATATATATATATATATATATATATATATATATATATATATATATATATATATATATATATATATATATATATATATATACATATATATATTCTCTCCCTTTAGTACTATTTTCCTGTGTTCTCTCCTCGGTTTCCTTTGTCTTTTTCTTGTGTTGTATGTGTGCTATTAAGTATATAATAGTGCGGCACCTACCCTTTGTCTTTTTTCAATGTCCTCTACCCAAAGGTTGTTTGGAAGAGATTGCTTAGCTGTCTTTTTTATCACTTCTCATTAATATTTACTGTATTGTTATTTTTCTTTTTATACAGTGCAATAAAGTGTAAAATATTTCCCTATGGTCTATATCGTTTTGTATCACTAACAAAAGATTTCGCTATGATATCAAATTGAAATTTTAATGTTACAGAAATGCTACTTCTGAGTCGGCCCCAATATTGACGAAACTAGCAAAGAATAAAATTTCCTGTCGTCCATAAGTAAATCTCTTTAACACACAATTAAGTTTATTAATGTATTACTTACATTTTAGGATAAATAACACTATCTAACAAAAACTTTGGCCAAAATCTAATCTACAGTAAAAAATAGAAGTCGTTTTTTGATAAAAAAAAACTTGTTTCTAAAGATAAATTGATAAAATTTTACATGAATGTAAAAGGATAAGGCTCCAAATAAGCAATAATTTAGGGATTTATCTTAATGACTTCTCGTTGCCTTCGGTTATTAAGGAGATGGTGAGCGACGAGAGGTCCTGGACGGCGGTCCTCGATTTTTGTGAGGCCGTCGTAGCTAAAAGAGAGCAGGGCGACTGAGTAGAGGCCCGCTGCAAAAGCGAGCCATCGCCGTCGGGGCCGCGGCAGACTGCTAACGTGCCCCCGTTGGCCCGACATTGGCGCGAGTAAGGAACACCGGGGGGTTTTAGCCGGTAGGAGTCCGGCAGTACCCATATATCTCCCCGAGGTATATGGGTCTGCATGAAGCATTTCCCCTCGTCAAAAAAAAAAGGGATTTATCTTAATAATATATATTAAATAAAAAATAAAAACATAAAAGAATTTTTTTGTACTATTATTTATAATACAAAAAATGACATAATTTATATTGATTTAGTTTTGCGCAGTGGTTTTTGTTATAATAAACATCACATAAATCTTTTACTCTTTTAATAATGGTCAATTATACACGTGTGAACTTAATATTGTACCAAACTAGAGAGAAACGTAAGTTTTTCTAAACCAGAGGCAATATAGACAAAACATATGTCGCAGAATATATAATCACAAAAAGTAATAATTATATTATTTAAAATGACATAAATTAATATAAACAAAAGAACAGCATAAAACAATTAATTAAATAATTATTTAAAAGAAAAGTAATGATCAGCTACATGAAATTTTGACACTTTTTTCTTCCTAATGAAAAAAAAAAATAGTAAAACATTAGTGAGTGAGTACTATCTCCAACACTGTTTCTTCTGCATATCAATGATATGTTACAGATCAGTAATATTCATTGCTATGCAGACGACAGTACAGGAAATGCATTATACACCGGTCATGCAAAGATCTTGCGGGCACATACCGATAAGCTCCGGAACAGACTTGTGTCTGAAATCGAAACTTCACTCGATCAAGTTTCGATCTGGGGCGAACGCAATCTTGTACAATTCATCCCTAAGAAGACAAGTCTGCGTGTTCACCGTAAAAAACACGCCGTTTGTCGTATCTCCTCATTTTCAGGGCACTTCCCTCGATAATAAGTCGAGTCTAGATTCTTGGCGTCAATATATCTAGCGACGTCTAGTTTTGCGGTCATCTGGAGGAAAACGCTAAGATATCTTCCAAAAAGTTAGGGGTGCTCAATAGGGTGAGACAGTATTTCACGCCGGAATACCGCCTGAAACTGTATAAAGCTCAAGTTAGGTTACATATGGAATACTGTTCTTATCTGTGGTAATTGTTGACGATTGGCGCCTTACTGTCCGACTCGACCCACTGAGACTGCGTAGAGATGTTACATTTCTGTGCATCTTCTACCGAATTTATCATGGAGAGTGCTCTGAAGAAATGTTCGGATTGATATCTGCTGCTGATTTTCACCATCGTACAACCGGCCATTAATTAAAATTTCATCCTAATCATCTGGACGAGTGGCGGTCCTCCACCGTGCGTTTTTCAAGGCACTTTCTTCCACGCACAACCACTCTTTGGAATCAACCTCCAGCAGCAGTATTTCAGAACTGATACGACAATATAACCTTCAAGAAAAGATCATATTACCTTTTAAAAGGCCAGCAGCACACCTGCAATGCTATTGGTGTTGTGGGTGATCATGGGTGGCGGTAATCACTTACCATCAGGTGAGCCACATGATCGTTTGCCCCGTGCTGTAAAAAAAAAAACACTATTTAAAATTGCATTTTTATTATTAAACAGATTTCATGATTTTTATATCAATAAGATACTATATTACATAATTATTATTGAAAAGTTAGGGAAATGTGGCGTTTTCAATGCTCAAAGTTATCTTTTTCAATAGGTAAAAATGAAATTCGAATAGATTCTAAATATCACTGCAAGAACTTAAAATAGATAATACTTTATTATATTTGACGAACTTTAGAAGTTTAATTATTTTCATAGATCTAGGGTAGCAAAGCACTTCATACAAGGCACGTAAAATGACTCGGTCAGGAATATCTCACCATTCTACACAAAAAATTTCTTCATTAAATTTCTTATGTTATAATTAATATTTTTCTATATGGTTGTTTAATGCAGATAATGAATGGATTAAAAGTATAAAGATTATGAAAAACATCTTTATTAGCAAGTGGCTGTACTTGAACATTGCCTAACATGACGTAGGTGATTTTTTTTTATAATGCTTATTACGTGATTCTTGCAAATTTGAAAGTTGACTATATAAAATTATTATAGTAGGATTTTATTTTGAAGTAATTTAGCAGAGTATTTATTGTAATATTTAGACACATTATTCATATTTATATATTTATTAATATTTTTAATATTAATAAATATATATACATAGGATTATTATTATAATGCACTACAAAATGTTTTATGACTTTTTCTCTATTATTAAAAATTTTATCAACTAAAGATAGTATGTTACTTACCACCCATAATTACTTAAATATATTCTGGTAGTTTCTGTATCATATTATCCAATTTTTCAGAATGTACCATAACTTTAATAAATTTACCATCTTGTTATATAATATTTTAAAAATATGTGTTATTTCGTTGATTACAATTTCACCACAAAATGTGTGATTAAAAGACAAAACGATCCATATCTATGAATAATTTATATTAAAAAAACTAACAAAAAGACATTTTATTAACATTATTTAAATCCGCTATCTTCTACATTCGCCCGACTTTTATCACATTTTTCTTAATAACTTGGCAAACCGCAAATATCAGCAGCAAATTTTTATAAATGGTATTCATAGATACCTAGGCTACAAACATTAAAGCGTGGGTAACTGTCGATGAATCCAAATAATTATTATTTTTCTCTTATTAAAAATGTTTCATTATTTCATCACAAACTATCAAATAAAATAAAAAAAAAAAGTGGCAGAATATGTGCCTTCGACAAAAACCATTCTTGATCGATATTTCACTTTTATTTTCCATAGTAAGGTGTCAGGGTTTAATAAATAATTAAAAAACAAGACTTCATCGCAATAATTCTTTATTTAAATTGATTTAAAAGTAGTGTGCATTAGTAAGTAAAAGGCTTTTCTTTGGGATTTCATTTAAGAAAAGTATAGTTTTCAGATTTCAAATTACTAATACAATAATTAGGCGTAAATAATAAAAAAATAAATTATATTACACCTATCCATAATTTTTTTGACAGATGTATTTACAGCATGGTTGTATATGTGGACGAAATTAGGTGTAAAAGATTTCTTATACTTTACTGATCACAATAATTAGAAAATCAATTGTAAATAAAATGTCCAATTATTTACAGTATGAATATTTGTGAATTAGTGCTCCTAAAAAGATAAAAAAAAATGAAAGAGATACTTTTAGAACATGTGTAAAAGTAAACATTATCACAGTAGAATCCTAAAGAAAAACATTTTTTACAAGTTTATCACACTAGATCTACAAGATAATAATATTAAATAATACATATTTATAAACATTTGCATATATTATTAAAATAAATCATGAGCAGTGTCATCCAACCGTAACTGTTGCCGAATTTTATTAACATAGAGTACCATTATAATAATTTATAGTTCGGAAAGCTTCATTTTAAAATATCCAAAACTGAGAGAAAAAATAAAATTTTGCGATGTATAAAATCTCTTTATAATTAATGGTGAACTCATTAATATATTTCTTGGTCTTTATTCATGAAAATTAATGGCTCATTCACATCTAAAGTACTATGGCTTGGGAATTAAACATGCCATGTGTTTTTATTTATTCGAATTGCGCTCGAATATAACTAAATAATGGTGTTTGACGTTTTGTATCACAGTAAAAAAATAATTCAATACTTAGATAAAAATGTAAATAAATAATGTAAAGAAATCTGCAATAATAAAAGGGGAACTAAAAATCCATCAGTTACACATCAATTTGAATTTCATAATCAATATCATCGCCGTCAATCAATTTCATCATCATCAATCAACTTAACTTCAATTTGAACAGTTATAAAGACGAACATTAAATAGAACATTACATTTCACTGATGCTATAATGGATTGCAATATATTAAGTCGTAAATAAATATACACAATATTATGTAGATAAATTAACACATGGCTCAGAATTTATCGTATAACAATGGCTGATGCAAACCTGAAAAATAATTACAACGGAATACTGTGCATCACTGAGATCATTTCGAAAAGTCTAACTCTACTTTTTATACAGTATATTAACTTATTTCTAATAAAATTGGCTTAAAATAATTAACAAAATATTTACAGAAATATGGACAGACACAGATCCCCCTATAACACCAAAATAAAACATTAAAGACATTTTATATTAAAGGCCAGCCACTGCACAGTATCTACGAAAAAATCTGCAAATTACAGAATTATCCAAAAAAATAGATAATTAAATATTAAATTATTACAATTTTTTTTAAATTTGTTATTAAACACACGTCACACGTTGAAAACCCGCAATAAATTAAAACTAATTTCTTTGCAATAATTCTGACTATAAATTCATTTTTCTGTATTACATTAACTGTTATTTAATCTGTAAAGGAATTATAAAATAAATAACGTTTGATAGTTAAAGTGACTATATATGATTATTTATGTTTATGTTTATGTTACTGACGGTAATAAAAATTACTATTAAAAAACTTAAGTTTACTTGAATAAAAAAATTCATAATTTTTAGAACAAAAACTAGAATCCTGAATTTACGCCTGAACATAAAAAGCTTCAATTCTTTGTCGTTAAAGCAATACTTGTACACTTAATAAGTACGAAAGTGGAAAGACAACAACAAAGATGATACTACTGAAGAACACTAACTATAACTATATTAAATTTATATATATTAATTAGGCCGAATGCCCAAACATTTAAATATTCCTGATAAATAATTTATTCCCGGTCATATCAGAAAATACTAATATAAAAAGAATATTTGATTGCACATTTTTTTAATTAAAACATTGCACTAAAGTTATTAGTAAATATAAGTTATCATTTCTTATTATAATAAATGCGTGTATTTATGTTAATATATAAAATGTATGAACCAAATGTATAAATATATTTATAAGTTGGATACGACATAGATATATTTTCTTATCGTCGTTATATTAAACTTATTTTTTTTATTTTTTATTTAATACTTTATTGTACACATTAGTTATAAAAATATGACAGAGGTAAACAAAAGTACAAAGGCAAGCTTAACTCTGATAGAGTTTTCTTCCAGCAAACCCAAAGTGGAAAGGAGCATTAATGTCAGCGGATACAGCAGTGTACAATTTTTAAACAGCCAAAATTAAATTAATTACATTTTATCGTACAAATACACTTAAGTCATTTTGTAAGATTCAAAATTTAAAATATATTCTACTTTCTACTGCACAGACGTGACTGTAATTGTTCTTTGACTAAATTTAAATATTATGTATTAATGAGAAATTCATATGAAATAAATAAATAAATTTAAGGATAAATCTATATACAAATGGGTAAAATTAGAGGTGTATATCAATTCTATGTTGATCATATTGCATTACAGCTGTCTATCATCTACACAACGACCAATTAATACTTCATTAACTAATTAAAAAATAGAAACGTCGAATTCCACAAATAGTTAAATCCGTTTATATTATTATTATAATGCAATAGTAACAGACAAGCGGATAGGCATTTACAACTAACCTACACATCAATGCCTAATATAAAATGGCCGCAGCACGCTAGAACCAACCAATGAGCGCCTGTATATACCTGATTATAATAATATATTATTAATAATTTTAATTTAGATATATTCTATAAGACTTAAACACAACAAGCATATAAGAATTGTAGCAATCTAGCGATTTATGTTTTCCATTGTAGTTCCAAAAACATCCAAAAAAAATTCCAAAAAACACAAATCCTTGCAAAGTACAAGGAACATTCTAATACAATAACAATATAACAACGTATAAGATTTATATTCAAATGTGGCGCTAGATTTCTACAATCTTAGTAGAATAAACGATAATTATAATATAACTTAGAATTATAAAATAAATAAGTACAATAAATAACTTACAATTATTATTCTAAAATCACTAGATAAATGTATATTATTGGACAAATTATTATTAAATAATATCAGGTAAACTAATACATGCAATTAATTATACTATAAAAATATATGTGATATAGGTAGGTATATATAACATATGCCTATACCATATATACGTTATATATCTCTAATCAAAATCGAAGCATTTTAAATATATAAGCTATGACAAAACATAAAGGTAAGCTCAGCTTGTTATTTTAAATGATACTAAAATGCCGCTCTTGCTTCCATGTGTATTAGTGTACAGCTATAAACTTATACATATAGACATACAATAGCTTGTCAATATGATGTAATATTAATAAAAGCGAATTCCTTTAGCGCTTTCTACTATTAACTAAATTGATAGACCAGATCTAAGTAATATATTAATATTATACTAAGAATAGTATAAATAACAAATAAAATCTTACTAATATATTAAAATTTTAACTAGACGATATCTGAGTTTGTACATGAGAGATATATAAAAAATATATAATAAGGGCCTTAATAAAGCCAATAAAATATTTGAATAATTTTTTTTTTAATTTTATACGTCTGTCTGTATATTTATGCCGATATAACGCAATATACAGACAAAATATCGAATATTGTTTTGGCTTCTATTGATCTTATTAAAACTTTATATTACTTTTTCTTAAATATTTCTCATGTCTGTAACATTGTCTAGTTACAATTTTATTATATTAGGAGGATGTAATAGAGAGTATAAAGAAATAGAGAAAAAATAGCAATAAATAATAATATAGACCAATAACCTGATTACCTACCAGAAACCATTTTAAATTATATTTAGGCAATAATAAAGAAATAATTACTATAAATCATACTTATCCCTAAAAACGATTAAATCATATGTTTTTTGAAGACAAAACCACCAAGGTTTTGTCTCCAAAAGTAGGTTCATCTTTCAAAAACGTGCCTGAACGATCCATAGTGGGTACAGTTTGCTTTTGTTTAGGATGTTCAACTTTCCCGTTATGTTTTAATATTTTTTCACTTTTTGACGTGTTACCAGAGCTTGTAGATGGCTGTACTACTTGTTTATGAACCATTTTTGCAGTACTAGACTTTGTAGCCATCAAAACCGATGAACCGAATTTGCGCTGACCTTTCGCTGTAGTATCTGTAAATATTTTAATATTTTACATAATCAGCATAATTACTTATATCTATATAGTGATAATAATTCATAAGTTTATTATTATATATTAATTATTATACCTTTATTTTCAGTATTTTTGATGTTTTTGTTAGAAACAGACTTGTTATTTATATACACCGGAATTTTAGTCTTTATTTTATTATTTTCTGTCGGCTCTGTAATAAAAAATAACAAACAAAATTACAGAAATACTTAATAATCTAAATAGGTAGATACCGCAAATTTTCATGCCATCGTTTTCCGCATAAATGAGCATCATAATTATAGAATTTCTACAAAACCGGCAAATTTTTATTACCGGTATGGTAATGAAAATTTGCACGATTTTACCAAACCAAACAAGAGAGATGATAGTCAGAATTGTCGACGACAATAATCGACAAAACGACGTTACGATCTAACGTATATCTACACTAATACGTAATATACCTGATGTATATTCATACTTACTTTCTACATTTGCCTTTTTGCTCTTTGTATATGTGGCATATCTTATGTTTTGCGATTCACTAAGTGAACTAGATGGCTCAGCAGTTCTGGGTCGAGAACCAGTGGCCAAGCTATCTTGCGAAACAGTATGCTCCTTTGCTTCACTAACTTGCCGAGAAGATTCGCTAGATGATTGTACTTTTGCTCCCAATTTATGTTTGGGTTCTAAACGTTTAGGTTTAGTATAATTTTGTACTGAACGGTTACTTTTCGCCATATTATATTTTGCCCTTTCTTCTTGAGCCTTTGTGGTTCTAACAGTGGGTATACTTTTAACAGGATGACTCACTGTCTCTCGCACATTAGTGATATGGGTTGAATAAACCGGTTTACAAGTATATGGTGTAAATCGCGCTCTCATGTCATTTATATCTACATTGCGCGACTGACTACGATCCCTGGAGTGTCTAGAGTCCCTAGAGTCCCTGTTTGTGCTCTTTCTGCGATGTGCTGGGGAATTTGTGATAATAGGGGACTGTATTCCGAACATTATACATCCTAACTTACGAAGACGAACTGCAAGTTCTACGGGTAAGTCCTTGAAAGCCTGTGTGATTACAACTCGTGGTGCGGCCCGTACTAGAGTCCGTTCGCATTGCACTTTCCAAGAGCACGCGTGATTATAAAATATATATTGCCCTTTTTGTTTGAGGACATTAGACAGATACGCGTATAGCAGACATAGTTGCTCGGGGGGAGCACGCTCTATAGCTCCGTTGATGCAATCACCGAGTGCTTGTTCGGCAGCCTGCGGTAGATTAGGCGGCGGAGGTTCTAAAGTGCGAACCACAATATCCACTCTGGGGGCTATGAACTCTGTTGATGCGTTCAATAAACGCCGGCAGAGTCGTTCAACTATATCTGCTCCTCTACCACTCTGTAAAGATATAGCTGAAAAGAAAAAAATACATTTGTAAGTAAAGATAAATAAATTTAAAAGAATAGAAAAATTTACTTATAACCGTCGTTGATATTTCAATTTGACCAAAGTCTGGAACTATTTCTAGAAAACTTAAAAAACAACAAAAATAAAAAAAAAATAACATTATCATCATCTACCAACCCTTATCCCAATTATTTGGGGTGGGTGTAAAATTATATTCAAATTTATTGATTGGCAATCAACTAAATTTCAGTTCGTTCGATATACTATCAATTCGCATTGACACGTTTATTTTTAATATCTGCAACATGGCATACGACAAACTACAGTATCAACGAGTGTGACGATACGTACTTATAATTCCACAACCGTAAACCGTTTCCACCACATTCTCGACGTTCATGTTAGCTATAAGTTGTTGATAGCATCTTTCAGAGAGATCAGCAGGCAGAGCTGCAAAAGCTCTTGTTGGCCAAACTTTGGAAAAATGCTTTGTAATCCAACGCAAACATTTATGACAAAGGTCGTCCAAGCCATACAACGCTGCCAACGGGAAACACTCAAGCACTCCCAAAGTGCAAATTGAACAAGGCTGAAACATACAAATTTTTATACTATTTTCCATATTTTGTTCAAAATCAAGTACTTAATAACAAAATTAATTATTTTAAGTAACTTCCAAGCTGATGGTATTGAGATGCATCTTCAAAAATGTCAAAATTATTTTTCATTAATTTTCTAAAATTGTAGCTAAATATCATCTCGATCACGTCAGCTTTCAAATAAAAAAGCTGCATCATAATCGGTCCATTTGTTTAGTGACTACGATGCTATAGACAGACACACAGACACATCAAATATATAAAACATCTCTTTTTGCGTCGGAGTTTAAAAATATAAACTGCAATAAAAATACTATTTATACAACTATAAAGAAAAATACAAAAAAAATACCCAATGGAAATGGTGGCAATATTTAGATTTTAAGGTGTACATTATAGCTTCCTTCAAACCTTCCAAGCCGAGCATATCAGCTAGAGTAGCTAATTCCACAATACTAATTGAATCAGGTATTGAAGCCACGCCTGAATATATATGACACAAGGCAAAGTGTACTACATTAAATGCAAACCTGTAAAAAATATATGCATTAGACAATCGTCTGTGTCACTCAAGATCAAACATCTTGTGCCTTATTAGGAAACTCCATCTTTTTTATTATTTTTTTATCCAAAACACGATAATTAATTTGTTGTCGTTTGAATACTTACGGGGGTAAAAGTATAACGTTCCCTGCGCTCTCTACCCAGCCACCGCTCAAAATACCTGCGAAATATTGGCACCTGGAAAAAAATAATATTATTACTGTTATAGCAATAGCAACGTTCTTTTTGCGAGCAGTGCCCACAATTGGCACCAAGCGAACTATGATTATGACCCACAATTTATTAATAACAAAAATAGATTTTATTTAAAATATTCCTGCATCGCATCATCTCGTTACAGCTAGTAGAGGCTATAATATGACATAAGCCTGTTATACCTATTTAAAGTGAGCAAAACTCAAACCAAATCCGGTACCAACATACCATGTCAGCACCAGATGACCGCTAGTTGCTGTCAAGGTCGTTGGAATATCGTATTAACACCCGATCATATTAAAATAAAAGAAAAAAATTGGTTTAAAATGCACAGCACAAGTAATAAATAACATATCATGTCAGACACTGGGATTGATTTTGAAATGATATAATAGTTGATTTAAATCAATATTACCTTAATATTGAACATGACGGCCAATAAAAATAAAAAACTTTAAATACATGTAAAATAACACACACAAATTTTAGTTTTTACAGATAAGTGTCTTACTCCCTCACTCAGAGTTCATTATATTAACACTAAAGTGATTTTAGTTAAAGATAATTAAAATCATAAAATTACAATAATGTACTTACTTATGTGCGTAAGGTATAACAAATCGAAAAACTGTAATTGTAAAAATAGAATAGTGCTGCACCATGCACATTCAATCGTTACCTGATTTATCGAAACTAGTAAATAAATCCTAACTCAAAACTTTCAAACAACTTTATTTAACAATTGATAATCTTAAAACTTGACAATAACTTACTCATTTAACTTCAGTACACATGTAATAAACTGTACATATGTAATTATCATTTTGTAGTAATTACAGTTTTAGACTTTATATATGTATAATATTACACATATAATAATAGTGTATTTAATTCTCAATTCAGTTTTTTTTTTTATTTCTTACCTCAGAGCTCGGTCATTTACAAACCAATTAGGAAATTTTTTTTTTATCTGTAAGGATATATAGTTCCATAGTAATTAGTAAAATTGATATAAAATAATTTGATTTATAAATCTAATAACTGGTTTACGACGATCAATATATGAATGTATAATGTAATCGCTCAATGAGCGATGGTAGGAGCTATGCATGGATTATGAATGAAAACCAACATAGCTCAACTAATTTGCAAGCTGAAGTAGCAGTGGATTTGTCATATCTGCCATAATGTAAAAAAGCTGTAACTATTCCGAATAAATAAATAAGTAGAACCGACAACCGTTGGAGCAAACTTATTCAGGAGTGGAGACCACATATCTGTAAGCGTAGTGCGGGCCGCCCCGTGACTAATTGGAGTAACGACATACGTACTGGCTGGCAAAAACTGGCAACGAAGAGCTGAAAATCACGCTCAGTAGCGTACCTTGGGAGTAGTCTATAAATAGCAGTAGACTGTAGTAGGCTGATTGTGATAATAATGATGACGATGAACGTATGAATACATTGCCATTCCTGGTTCAAAATGCTACTTTATGTCGTAATAAAAAAGAGGTCTTTGCTCAGCCGTGTACGATGAATGGGTTGTAATAAAAATAAGATAAAAATTAAAATATTTTATTGCAATAGAATAACGACGATTTTTTTTGCATTAGAGGTCGTTCAAAAAATTCTTTTAATTCATGTATTTATTTTATCTATATAAATTTATATATAATTATTATAGCTGCATATAAAACGGCCTGTCGCCTTTATTAATTTGTTATATCGATATTTTCGATAAGATTCATCGACACAATATCGAAACAACGGCCATCACTATGTTATTTATTTTACATCTAAGTACAACACACTTAAACTAATAAAAATCATCAACAAGTAATTCCGCTTCAAAATATAAAAATAATTAGAAATTGTTTTGATCACACTAACGTCAAATTAGCTTCAGAAATTGTACAAATTAATGTATATAATAATAACTGACGATCATTCCACCCTCAGTTTGTAATATATTAATTTAGTATAACGCTATATATATGATTTGTAAAACCACTTATTATATCTAATTGTTAATCTTTCGTAGAAAATAAGTCTAGTACTATCCTAAATATAATTTTTATAAATATACATGAAGATGAAATTACGAAACAGGTCACCTGTATATAAATAAAATCAATTGCCAAATGTATTCAAACACATCAGTACAAAACACCTGCATCTATTTGGCTAATTCTCTTGTGTTTGTAATTGTCATATGATTTGTATGAAAGAAAATGTTTCAAAAATGTTACGGAAAAGTGAATATGAAAAAATATTTTCATATAAAAAAGTGAAATACACAGAAGACATTATATGCGTATTCTTTAAAAATATTAAAGAATTTTCAGATTGATATTAAATTATGGATATTAAAATTATTTAATTTCATTTCATAGTCGCACTGAAATTTAATCTTAGTAAAGATAATAATCTTTATTTGTAATATCCATGCATGGCCGGGGCGAACAGCTAGTAATATTTATCTATTTATTATTATAATGTATTCATATACATATTAAGGAGTTGTTACAATGTTCTTAAGAAAAGTAAGTACACGAACCCTGTTTGGTTGTAGCAAATTTATATTGATAGGTAGCTAATATATGTACATGCATTAATATCAATTTAGATGTCCGATTATATATAATTATCTTACATATAATTGCTCGTTTTTAAATAGATTTGTTTTGCAATAATTTCGATTTACATTAAATAAATAAACAACAATTTAAAATATCATATTAATCACATAAAAATGAATTGAAGTCAGTCTGGCTATTTAGGTATATAATATTTATGTCAATCTGATTCTTTACTTGTAAGTCATGTGTGATTTGAAGCTTGGCGCATTTCTTCATTTTAACTTGCTAAAAAATCGTCAACTGAATAAAAACAATTGCCTAATAAATATTTTTTAGTATGAAATAATTTATCTGTCTTTTCATTTTTAATGTCTTCTTGAACTTTATTTTGTATCGATCTATACAGTAGGATTTAAATTTAAGATTAATTTAAGATAAAAATTTAATTAAAAATTGACATTTTTTGTTCTGGTAGTTCTATTTTCTTTTTGCGATTAGAGTTTTTTTGAATGATTTAATATTTTGTCTAACGAACATTGCTACTTCAAGAATATTGATGGAGGGAAAAGTTAACATTTTATTTTTGATAAAATGCGGTCTGCAAATATATTTTGGTTTTGTGTTAACCAATATAAAACCAATAGATAGTAGAACAAATAAATTTGATTCTTTGCTATGCCCCACAGTATTATAATATACAGGGTGTACGGGACAGGTTGGCCAAAACAAAAACAGATGATTAAGATCAATGGTCTGGTCAGATAAATTAACGATTCTTAGTTTCGACGCCGCGTAATGTACTTTTAATTCTACCATCTACACGACGCGTGATACATAGGTATAGCATGGTCAATAACGTTTCTACGTAGGTAATTTTCGTACCTATACTTGTAACGTTGACCTTACACAGCTTATCGCTGCTTTTTTGGTATTTCATAGTTTTTCACCATAAAATATTACTAATTCTTTTTGTTACATTATATCATGGATTCCATGATTTTAAATGAAAAAAAAAAAAACAGAGCTTTTTTTAAATTACACTACCTACTGTGGTTCACGCGACGCGGAATATCTAGTACCGCGCAGACAACGAGGCGCGATGACACATCAGAATATTCTTTGTAAAACATTTTAAATACGTGAATTACAGTTAAATCTAACTTGACTGTAGGTATTCTGGTCAGGTATTTTAATAAATTGTATCCAATTGTAAAGTTTGCTGTTATAAGGCGCTACGGTGAATAAGTTAACAACTAAATGTATGTTATGAACCTACGATGAAAGTGTATTAAAAAATTTCTTAAATTAATTGTTAGGAGTGTGAGTTGTAGATATACGACCTAATTATCTGTGTCTATCGATGACAATGTTCGTTGCTAAGCATCTTGTTGATTGTAACATTTTATTCTGCTTATTATACGTATTTTAATATTTTAATATCGCTTTCTGATCTCCACTTTAATATTAATCTTACTTTAGGTTCTTTTGGATCATATGATATACGACTCGAATGTCTACCTTCAAGGTGCTCACAAATTTGTGCTCAACACAGGGTCTCCGCGGTTTTCAATAATGTCGCTTCTTAATTTATTAAATGTTACCCTAATGTAATATTCATATTAGGTAGTTAATAAGAATGAAAGTATAATTGACCAAAATTTTAGGCTTTAATAAACTGAAAATCTTACATAGTTATTTGACATATAAAATCTACGACAATTAATAACTAAAACATTTTTCTAATATTTAATGTCATCACGACACCTAATTTCCTATTTCATCTCTTCAGCTGTATCGCACACAGTCACAAAGACTCTTAGTTTTATGTAAGCCCACAAAAAAAGTCCAATGAAGTTAAGCCAGGGAACCGACCCACAGATGAGGGCCGAATTTTCCAATCCAGCAATCAGGGAAGGTCTCATCTAGATGTTGTCACACCGGCGTACAACAACGCCATCATATTAAAATAAAATCCTCAGTTTTTTTTATGCAACATAGAATAGCAAATAAACTGACGGCTCACCTAATGGAAAGTGGTAACCGCCACCTATAGATATTGAGCACTTTGAGTATGAATTATTTTTTAGCGCATGGGGGCGAATGACGGTTGTCCTGCGCATTATGCTGCGCATTATGTTCGCGCATATTTAAATAGAAGTTATCCAAACAGATGGATCGGACGCCTAGAGCCAATTCTGTGGCCTCCATGTTCACCGGATTTTCCATTTTTTACTAGGGCTGCCTCAAAGAACAAGTGTACCGTAAGCCTATACAGTCTTTGGACGAATTATGCAGTCGTATCAGAGACGCCGCATCGAAAATAAACGAGCGACGGTACACAAGATTGCTCAGAGGAGCATTTATCCGAAGATGCAGGCATAAGAGTGAGAGGAAAACAATTTAAGCATTTATTGTAAATTTATATAAAATAAATTATTTTGAATATTAAATGTTGTTTTTTATTATTCCCCAATAATGAGATACATTTCAATTTAAAAAATGTTCCCATATTACAAATTTTATTATTTAGTCAAATTTTCTCCTTTTCTACATTAATAGCAATAAGTCACTATTCATGATAGATACAGTTATGAATTGCACCATTGTAAAATATACTTGAAATAGACATTATTTTAAAATTATTGGTCACCCATGTATTCATAAATTTTTTTATACCCAGGTTTGAACTTTGCTTAATTTTTTTTATTTGCATATTTTTCAAAAATATATTTTTTTTTAATACGCAAACTAATTTATAGTTTGCGTATTAAAAAAAACTGCAATTACTAGCCATATTTATATTCACTTTCTATCTATCAGCACATTTAGTGTATAATAATAAAACAACAAAAAACTAATAGAATTCATTCATTTCTGGTCATAGTAATCAGGACAGTAAAATAAAATAGAAAAAATTTGACTTTTCTTTAAAATAAAGATAACAAAGGTACTACTTATGATATATTTTGTTTCGTATTTTTTTAAGACGGCCGTATATTGAACTATAAGACGTTATCCATTCATTACCCGACACCCTGTATAAATAACAAAAACATACAGCCAAGTTATCATTCTCTCATACTTCAACATAGGTAATTAGATAGATCACCAAAATGACATTGAGATTACATACCTCGAAGATAAAATGCACTTATGTGCTTTGATACGTCTTCCCGATACTTCAACAATAACATCAGGTGCTATTTCTTCTAAAAACATGCGAAGCAAATCTTGACCGAGTCGGGATTGACAATTGCCAATTAGACTTGAAGTTTGACTAGTTTCTTCTGTTGTACTATTTTCTAGAAAAAAAAAATCAAATTAGCAATTATGGAAAACAATACAATATTATCAACATCAGGAACAAAAATTTAGTTTTCTTACCAACAACAGAACGACACATGCTGCTCTGAACGCTACTAATTTCAGACATATCAGAAGTTGGTTCATCCGCGTCACCAGGGCTCGAAGATGCTCCTAATCGAAGAGGAGACCGTGTCCTTGCCGATAGTGAGCCGGGCATACTTCTGCTAAATTCATTTTGCAAATGTGGAAACAACCTATTTAAACTCAATGCGTTTTCGGAATGAAATGAACTAATAACTTCTATAGATATGGCAGTACTGCCATGATTTTGACCTCCCCAATTATTCTCTGGTATAGATCTTGTCATTCTTACATCTAACACTGCTTCATTGCTTTTGGTAATAGAAGTTTCGACCTTTTGGATTGGTTTGTCTAAATCTGATAATTTCACAAAGAGATCGGTTGATGACTCAACTGTGGTCTCTTCTCGAGACGCAGCTGAATCTGATATTTTACTATCGGAGACTAAATTTGGCTGTATATCGCTCAAATGCTCTTTTTCTTCCTCGACCTTTTGCGTAGAGTTTTCTTCATGATCTTGAGGTAAACTAATAATTTCCGATATACTTATATTCGGATCATTGCATAATGATTCATATTTTTCAAAAGTACAAGTACTATTTGCTTCATTGTTAGTAGAGAAGGAAACAAGATTATTTTCGTTTAAATTCTTCGCACTCTTTCTAGTTTTTTGTACATTTTTGTTCTTCTCATGTTCGACAGTGTTGTTCCTTTTCATACTTAGGGATGAGGATAACCTAGCTGGCATCTCCTTTAAAGTAGACTTTTCACCTAAATCTATATACATAGAAAAAATATTCTTCTTTTCTGTAACATTATCCAAATTATGATTACTGGTTTTAGATACTGGGGAATCTGATAAAGTGGCTAAATCAATATAAAATTTATGGTATGATTTTTCACTATCTTTATCTGAGTCACCAGAACTTCTATTTTTGTTACAGGACTCGAGACTGTTACTTAACTTTGAAGCAACTCTTAAACTTTCGCAGGCTTTATCACCAAGTTTCTTTGGAACAGACGCTACATTTAACTCCTCTGTTTCTACCTTATTATTGGACATATCGACTACCCAAGCAGAAGAACAAGAGGGTTTTGATGATTTGTTAGAGTTATTATTATCCAATGGTGGCGTATAGGCTCCAGAAACTATTGGTATATTTTCTATTTTCCTGCGTGTTAAAGGACTATAGTTGATAACTTGAGGTAAATGATCTTCTACTGAAGCACCTCCTGAGATTATAGGAGAGGATTCATTGCATTTCTTTACCTTTTTAATATCTACATGACCATCAGACAACTTTACTAGAGATGCAGTTTCTTTTATATTCCTACCAGACTCGTATTGTGTCATAGACGAAGCATTAAGAGACATTATAGAGTTATGTGGCGTAGTAGATGTAAATAAAAGGGAAAATGAGCTACCTTTTTTTGCCTCATCATCAAGGCAAGAAGGTTCTTTAATATCACATTTTGTTTCGTTATTTGGATTCTCTTCTACATTAGATTCAAATGTATTTTGACACAAGGAATCCTCAGTAATAGGAGTCATTTCAAAAATAGTAGGTGACAAGTCTTTTTGTATAGAGTCTGGATCTTTATTTTCTGCCTGTTCTAAAGAGTCATCATTTTCATTACCTTCAGACCAATCATTTGGACTCATATCTTGCTTATTTGTGCAACAAGGTACAGGTTGACTTGGTGTGGGTAGTATTTCGGTCTTTATATCATTTTCTACGCCATTTATTTCTGTACTTATTTTTACAGTTTCATCTTCTTCATCAACCAAACTTGCTGCATCAATAAAACAAGAAGTAGATTTAAACGGCGATTTTTGTACCAAACTTGAACATAAAGCTTCGTGACGATCAAGTTCGTTTGTTTTCTTAGGATGTTCGTGAAAATGTTGACGCTCGTTGTTAATAAATTTTTCACAAATATCTTTTTCAGCTAATTTCGGAGGAAATACAGATTCCCAAGAACCTGTTTCAGAAGACAAAGACGATGATTCTAATATTACAATTTCTTCGTTCTGCCTTTGCTTTTCTTCTTTTGAGGATTTACAATTTTCTTTCAATCTAGTTGAACTTGTTTTTAAACAATTAAAATCTTTTTCTGAACAATTAGCACTAAAAACCGTTTGTGGCGATGTACCTGGTTTAATTCTCTGAACTGGATATTTATCTATAAGTGGACTAGACATAGAGTCATGGGAATTGCTTGCATCATCTGTAGTTAAGTCAAGCAAAGTGCTTTCTGTTAGTGATACATCAGCTAATGTTACATCTTTATGACTTGTGAGGCTTTCCAATAAGCCTGTATTTTCCAGTCCCGAATCAGAAGAGGTAAAGATATGATCCATCTTTGCAATATTATCCCCAACATTTAATTGGAAAAGGCAACCAGTTGAGCCAATTCCTGGAGAACAAGTATAGGCGGCAGATAAATAATCAGAAGATGAGCTAGGATCGTCTGTTATTAAACTATCTGGTGAATATGTTGGATCTAGCAACTTTGCTGACAGAGATTCTATTTTCTTTAAATCTTTTGTATTATTATCCTCGTCTTTATTGGATTCAACTTCGTCCCTTAGGTTTGAATTTTGACTAGCGGCCACATAAAATGTTTCAATTTCTGTTAATATATTATCTTTAAGATGAGTACTATTTAAAATATCACAACTGTTGGAATGTTTCACTGTTTTGGATGTTTGACTAGAATGAAGAGACAATGAAGTTGGTTTAGTGCACTGGGAAATCGGAGCCTTAATTAATTCTTGCGTTTGAGATTTGATAATAGATTGAAAAGCATTAGAGAGTACGTCTTGTTCTATAAGTTCTTTCTCTAACAAATTCCCATCAATAGGTACCAATGCGTAATATTCTTTAGTCAATTCAGTACTTGGACTTGGGTTAAGTGTAATTGGGAGTGCTTTTTCTGTATAAGGACTAATACACTTAGGAGTTAAAAATACTTCCGGTTCTTCAACATCTTCTTTACTATTCCAAGATTTGTCGGAAATGCAACTGAGTAGTTTAAATGTATCATTGATATAAGCAATTATTTCTTTTTCCTGATTTTTTATATTGCACTCAGTGTACGTATCGCTGAAAATTAAAAATTACATTCAATGTAGTTTTAAATTATAAAATCATAATATATACAACATATAACAGAAAGTCGACTTAGTCTATTAAAAAAATTACTATTAAAAAAAAACAGTCAATGCATTTAGAGATTTATAAAATAAAGTTATAATAAATGTTTAAAACTATGTCTATTTAAACATGTAAACATACATTTAGAAAAATAACAATATACATAAAAAAATAACATGGTTACAAACTAAACAGAATGAAAATATCAAAATATGCTCATGTCTATGGGCGACGGTTACCACCTTCCATCAGGTGGGCCGTCAGCTTGTTTGCCATTCTAAGTTGTATAAAAAAAACTATTGTTTTTTATTGTTTTTTTTTAAGGTTGCGTCATACTATATTTTTAATCAAAACCCATAAACAAAATAACTTCTTCATATTTAAAAAATAATGATTACATATTAGTAACCACAGTATTTTATCTATCTAAAAGTTAGGTCTCTTCTTAGAAATTAGGTAAAGAACCGAGTATCAAACTCTATTAGGCATGAGTAATATTGGTACTGCTCCAATATCTATATATTGGGTTCTTTTAAACATTGAAGGAAAAAAGTCATCACCTATTTCGATACCGCCCGTACCAGATGGATCTATATTAGTTTCGATCTTCATTTCGACCTTAAATAATAGATAACAGACATGTAACAAATTCGTTATTGGGCCAATATATAAATATTGCTAAATATTACCCACTCCTATTAGCCATATTTTTCTAGAGTACCTACTTTTCATTATTAGGAAACTAAAATATAAAAAATAAAATATACTACCTAAGTTTAAGTAAATGTATGTACACATGTGTGATTAAGGAATAAAAAGTAATAAAAACAATGAACTAAAATATAAAAGCAACATAAAAAGCAATCCACCTATTAATTTACAAAGTGCAAATAATTCACAAGCACGATGATAACAAACATACTATATTCAATAAGATTAATATTATAAATGTGAAAGTGAATTTGTTTGTAACCTTATCGCGCCTTAACCACTCATAAATTTTCGTATACACGTACTACACGGGGAGGTCAAAAAGTTCGCGGAATGAGGGGGAAGGGGGTTGAAATTAAACATGAAACTATTTTTTTCTTTTCAATATATTCTCCATTAACCTTAATACATTTTTTATATCTCTCAAATAATTTGTTTACACCATTGAAAAAAAAAGGTTTATCTTTGCTGTTAAAATAGCCCGAAATTGCAGACTTAACTTCTTCATCGACGCCAAATTTATTTCCACGCAGCTCCTTTTTCATTTATGAGAATAAATAAAAGTCGCTGGGGGCCAAGTCTGGGCTGAAAGGTGGGTGGTTTAATTTTTCAAACCTGCATCGGTGGATGGCAGCCGTCGCAACATGGTACGTGTAGACGGAAGCGTTGTCGTGCAAAAGGAGCACACCTTTTGACAGCTTTCCTCTTCGTTTTTCCTTGATAGTTTCTTTCAATCTGTACAGTAAAGAAGCGTAGTACTGTCCCTTTATAGTCACACCACGATCTTGATAATCTATCAGCAAAATGCCTTCTGTATCCCAAAAGATAGTCGCCATTATCTTTCCGGCCGATTGTGACACTTTAAACTTCTTCGGAGGAGTTGTGCTTTTTTTTATGTCACTGCATCGACTCAGGTTCATTGTGGTGAACCCAGGTTTCATCTCCAGTAACAATCCGGGCCATAACTTCTTTCCTACTCTCTCCACAGAGCTCTAAAAACTGGCGAGAACACTCGACACGCTCATTTTTTTTAAAGTAGCGCGAACTTTCTTGGAACCCATCTCGCACTGACCTTAGTCTTGCCAAGATAATGATGTAGAATATTTAAAATACTTGTTTCGGATACTCCGACCATTGCTGCAAGCTACTTCTTCTTTAGCCTGGGAATCTTCTAATACAAGTTTTTCTACTTTTGCAATCTAATACAAGTTTTTCACAAAAGTATTGCAACGATTTCCGGTGTAGTGGCCTCAATTGGCCATCCGGAGCGGGGGTCATCTTCAATAGACTCTCTTCCTTGTTTGAAAAGACCATGCCACTTGTAAGCCATGGTTTTACCAGGGGCAGAGACCGCGTAAACTGCTAACAGCTCTTGAAAAATCGTCTGAGCGGATTTTCCTTGCTTGGTGAGGAACTTAATAACGGCGCGGTTTTCAATTTTCTCCATACTCGCTGACTTCTTCCCGATTCACTTGTTTGCAGATCGATAACTCAAAAGTCAATAGCCCGATTTGGTTCAAACTTGGTATATATACTCTTAATGAAGTGCTTAACAAGTGACCTGGACAAGTAAACCAACCCCTCCATTCCGAGAACTTTTTGACCTCCCCTCGTATATGAGATGTAGAAGGATATAGGCTACTTTTTGTTCCGGTCAGTAAACATATCCCAGTCACGCGAACGAAGTCGTGGGTAAAAATTAGTTAAATTATAAAGCTTTATACATATGTTTCAGGCAAAATATTTGTGCAAGTTAATATTAGATGCTACATGATTTCGCGCATCCAAAAGTCCCATAAATTAGTGCACAGCATACGAAAAATGCTATTTAAAATATATAGATTGAAATCAAAATTATTGGCATCTTTTCAAGGAAGTGTATCGGAAAACTGATTTTGTTTCCCAAATAAATAATTACTATTCTTTTCCATTTCCTACTCACTCAAATTTATCAGCGTTAACAGCCGCAGTGATAGTACATACATGTTCCATTTGAATTTTTCATGTTTAGAATTCCGTATCAAAGGATAACTTATGGTGCAACTTTATCTGTCCGTCCATATCCGCTGTATCTCAATAAGTGTTAATTTAATCAATTTAAAGTACTAGATATTGTTGGTTGAAATATTATAAAAGAAAAAAAAATTTTCTTTACTAGGGTGTTAAAGTTTCAAAATTAACCTACTCGTCTGAGATATCTGTATTTACTATTGCACATATATATGTGCAATAGTAAATACAATGATAACAAACATCCAAAAGTACAATACACTACCATGAATTTAAAATATATACTAAATAAAATTATTTATATTATTACAACCTACTAAACTATTAATTATGTAGTCATTACAAAGTTATACTACCAAAACTGGCTTAACTTTAAGATAAATACAAATGGCATGAAATCACTATTCTTACCTTATGAATGAATAAATTTCATCAAAAGTACTACGTCCTATATTCAGATGCAAAATTGTTTCAAGTTTATGATAAAATTTCTTGGTACGAGCTTTAAGGATGCAAGAATGGGTTAATATTTTTAATTTACCACATACTACTTCAATGTCTGAATAAATAGATTCATCAAATATTCTGGAACAAATAAGGCAGCAAAATTATGAAGCTATGAACATGTGAAGATAACATGCTAACTGGTGTCTTCCTATAATTCAGATTCATTACTTATCGTTACACTTTTACTGCTCTTCAACATAAGAACAGAAGATTACATTATAAAAACAGCTATATTGAAATTAATAAGAAAACTATACAGAAGTTAGAGATTGCAAAAAGAATCTTTATCAACATGATTCAGATTTAATGAAGGCATCGCGGAGTGTAACGACATTTTGAGACACGACTTAAATTATATCTATTTGTTATTAAATCAAATGAACAGAGAAAAAAACACAAAAATTAATAAAAAAATTAGTATTGTTAAAATTATTTTTTAGTTATTATTAATGTTAAAATTATGAGAATTTATGCAACGACATACGAATACCATGCTAAGAATGTTCCTACTATTACAGGGTTAAGGGTTTTTATTACAAGTCACATTTAATATATTTAAAACAATGTAAAAAAGAAAAAAATATGTACTACCAGTATGCCTTATGGTACAACTAACTCGTGTGTATTAAGTACCAAACATGCAGATTCAATGACGGTCAGTAACTACATAATACGTTACAAAATGACACTTTCTCCGAGTTGTGCAGTATTTAGATCTGCGAGAAAAACAAATGACCTTCAAAAGAAAAAATGCATTAATTAATGTAGCTACTGTTAAAACTGTTATATTTTACTAACTGGTTCCTTTTACAAGAATTTTATCTTTAGTTACCATGGGATTTCAGGACCTCCTGTCTTAAGAATGTTACAGTCCATAAAATTATGTATGATATACATATCTATTTATATTTTTACTCATAAAATAGTAATGCCCCATAATCACATCTCAAAATGTCCAAAATCGAATAAAGAATCATATCTAGAATATCATTTACGCATAACGTCGTGTCTAATAAAAAATAAAACAATAATATTCACATGATCTCAAATTTAGTCTCCGGTATAACGCAAATGACGTAGTGTCGAGTATATCAAACAATAAGTATTTTAAGTAATTAAATCATTTAAGTTGGAAATTCAAAGTATTTGATTCGTTTATTCGTTATTGACATCTTATGTGATTTTGAGTGGTGACCGCATATTTGTATTACTTCTCGCTTTACGTTACTTTTATGCTATAAGCAAAGAACATGTAAATATAAAATATGCATAGTTCCACGCCCTCGCTTCCGTTTGACGTCCCTCAGCATCGACTTATATAAGTACTTGCACGTCTTTAAACGATCTTAAATAACAGATGCACAAATAAAAAATTCATACATACATGTCTTAATGACTTCATTCAATAGAACTTTCATGTAACCCAAACTAAATAATGCATTTATTCTTATACCCAAACCCTATCTGTTTGTTAAAATCTTATCTGAATATTTTTATTACTCAAAAAGTACTATATGCATAAACCAGACTAATATAATAGAATAAGAGTAGTAGTAAAAACAACCAAGTTAAACTACCACTTCAAGTTTCTGTAAATTTATTGAAAATATAAGTATTTGTAAATTATAATACAATTGTTATATACCAAAATTACTACACACATTAATAAATAGGATTCCTGTAATAAATAAAAAAATAATAAAAGGACTTAGTAAAAAAATTTGCCTTTGAAAAAGAATTCAAGATTCGAGAAGTCACAAATAAAAAAAAGAACAAAATTTTTAACAAATAGTTTAAAAATTTTATTATAAAGCAAATTGTAGCTCAAGTAATTCTGCATGTTTTGTACACATTCTAATGAGTAGTAATCGTCTATTATCGTGTAGTATTATTTTCGTTACCTATATAGGATCCAAAGAAAATCAACACCGTTATCATTACCTACAGCAGCTGTAAATAATGTCCACTTAGAACCTTTTAAACAATGAAAAATAATTCATATCTATTAAGTAATGTGTGCAGTAAATGTTACTGAATAATAGCCAGCTTAGCATCCGCCACACTATCATAAATAATAAATAGTCATTAATATATAGGCTTAAGGAAAAAATATATAATTTGGACAGAACAATAGAGTCGATTTTGAGGAGCCTATTCTCTAAACCCATCTTCAACATTAAAAATTCAATTTGATATCACAGCGAATCTTTATTGTAAGGATCAATATAAAATAATTTTCTAGAGGTTTTAGGTAAAAAATATATTTTTAATCTATGATAATTTATGGTATAATAGTAATTAGTTACGTAATATTAAATTAAAATATTAGGTTAAGATATAAATTTAAAGAAATGCGTCCTCAAATTTGGTCTTAACGTCTGCTATTACATCTAGTGTATAAGAAAAATAAGTATGAATATAAGCAAGTATAGCAATTTGTTAAGTATTATAAAACTTTTTATATATTGGCGGCTATCTTTACCTTTAATATACATTATGTGACGTGTTTCCGCCGAGATTACTTTTTTACAACTGGTATAAAAACATTAACATACATACCTAGCAACATCTTCTTCCAATTGTTGCTGGAGTTGTACCTCTAAAAGTAGACCCTCGTCAGAGGCCGATGTCGACGCCGGCGCCGGCCTACGCGACGAGCGAGCGCCCGGCATCAAGCATTTCTGAAAAATACACAAACGATACACAAAAGAGGCACTGGTTATAGGTTAAAAAAAATATAAAACAGATAACTAATAATAAACTTCCAACTAAACCACAGTGACGGTAACAGATTTTTTGGAATCTCATATTTAGCCAAATAGTATAATTCTGAGTAACCGGAACCCATTCATAAACCTAATAATTGTAAAAATGTTTGGATGCTTAGATGTTTGTATGTTAGTTACTCACAATTAAGCGGTTGAACGGATGTCAATTCAATTTGGTAGACAAATAGGTTATATCTAAACTTAACACAGTTTACAGATACACGTGGATAACTCCGCAATAAACAGCTAGTAACATTCCTGAGAAAGTGTTCTAATCCCAACAAAGCTGCGGATTACAATGATAAGGTCTTCAAAGTCAGTATGAGGAGCAATTAAATGAAGTTGTACAATGATCAGTTAATGGAACACTGTCGCTAACAAACGTATACAAGTGTCAAATTTATTGGTGAGCACATCATATATTTATTATAATAATTAATTAATATATAAGTGCACCATAATCAGAATATAATTCTGTTACGTCAATATGCGTTTCTGTTACATGGATCCACTACAATACCTATAGTGCAAACAAAACTAAATCCACGGACCCCTATAATAACAACGCCGTATCTAATATACTACAATGCTTTTGGTATCCATAGTATAATAAATAATAATTTGTTTATTTGTTTGTTACCACTTAAAGCTTTAACGACTCGAACAAACCGCTATAAAATTTGGTAAATATGTACCATTTGGATTGGCCTTTTTTATACCACTGAGATACCAAACAAGCATACGGTCCTCCTGATGGTAAGCGGTTACCGTAGTCTTTAGACTACGACATAGACTATTTTTTATCGCAGTTAATCAACTTATGTCGACAATAATGATAAATCATTTTTTTTCTATTAAGTAATTTGCAAATAGTTACATTACTTATTAGATAATAAGGAACCGTGTGCATTTTCTAACACAATCTTCTGCAAAATTACAATTATGATTATATTTTCATTAGATTCCATTAAAAAAAAAAATCATTTAGTAAATTCTATAAAGTAAATAAGTATAAACCCCTGAGATAACATGTTATATTGAAATGCAAATCATGTTTCTATTGTTTGGCACAACCAATAATGACATCACAAAAGCACTCTTATTGTATTCCTCATTGTAAATGCACATCATTATTTGAATAAGCAACAAGAATATCAAGTTACAAAAATTTTGAAATATTTACTGATGTGCTAGATAATATTAACAATACGCGTAATTGTCGAGTGAAGTATTTTATGGCATCGTATGCAACAGAGATATAGTATAAGTAATATTACATTTAGAATGTTACATTATTTTCGAAAAGTATAATAATATAAAGTATAATATTCTTAAAACTTTATAATGAAACTTCATAATCTCTAAGTTAAATCAAATAATACGCATTTCCTAAATTTCATTAAAATCAATTACCCGGTTTCAGAGATCAGTGTGAATAAACAGATTTGCTTCGCAACAAAACTTTGATCATGAAAAATTAATATCATACAGCAATTTATCGAAATTTTTTTAAGTTTGGTTAGTTGGCCTATGTTGTGTGGCCAAGTTAGTTGGTCTATGTCGTGTGTCATTTTTAAACTCTATCGCTATCCAAGGAATAATCGAAATCGGTCTCGCTTTAACGATAAAATTGGACAAGAAATTCATGTAAATTGAGAACCTTCGCCTTTTAATTGTAGCTTAAAAATATTTCATATTAAGACATTTGAAGAAATGTTCAACAGGATTTATTATATTAAAGCACACACACTCAATTGTTCATTCATGAGATTCATACTATTTATATCTCAGTCACTCATTCAGGTGAGTATATACTCGTATGTGGATAAACAGCAAACTCTAACTGGTCGTTTCTGCCGCGAAACTGCCAACCGTTAGAGCAGACGTATTCTAGAACGTACATCGCGAAACGACAAGTGTAGTTTAAAATGACGAGTGGCTAGAGTGACAAGATACATATATAGAATGATTGTTAAAAACTGTAAACGAAAAACCGAACCTTGTGCTCAGTAGTGTCTGGGGAGCATGTCCAGCAAGGACTGTAATACGCTGATTATGATGACGATGAAACTGACTCACTTTTAAGCATTGGTTAAGACTATTTTACATATAGTATATTTTTAGTAGTACATATACTATTAAGTATTATGAGACTTCCGACCATGAGCAATGGCATAAATAACATGCAAACAATGTATACACACAAAAGGAATGTCTATCTACGTTTAACTGGCCATCTCTAGGCTCCTTTAGGTGCCTCAATGTTTACCATATTTGTAAGAATAACAATTTTAAAATAAAGACAGAAAAACAAAAACTAAGAAATAATAAAACAGTAAATGATTATCGCCGTGTGTCCCGGCATAGAATAGGTCATTCCTTCCTTTTCTGTGGGTATCGTAGGAGGCGACTTAGGGTGGGTAAGATATGGGCAGCAGCGTCCCTCTTAACACATATCTAAAAGCCTAACTGCGGTTGCCAACCCGCCTGCCAAGCGTGGCAAAACTCCCCTTATGGGAAAGGCTTATATTCAGTAATGGACAGTTAACGGCTGAAATAATAATAAAAACTATTATGCTAATACGACATCGAGAGAAATTTAATTGACTTTTGCCGATGCAATGAATATAACTACACATAATATTAATAATGATAGAGGTATTTTATAGATAGGTATTTATTATTATAATAACATTTTATAAAACTAGGTTATTTTGATGGAGTTCTATTATTTTTGGAATTGCGAATTATACAAATCAGTATTTAGCTTTTGTGTAAATGTGCACTCAATCATGATGACTGATAGGAATACGTAGAAAAGAAAAACACATTGCGCTGACTAGGTATTATATCCTATAATTTCACTATCATATCCCATCCTTCAATCCCAAACAGGCAGGCACTGAGACAGAAGAGCTTACTTGATTCTCTACATAGCATTAAACAAAATCACTTCTCGTCTGTATGCTTAGATTTTTTAAACTACACAACGGATTTTAATACGGCTTTCATCCATAGATAGTATTATTTAAGGGGAAGATTTATACGTGTAATTTAATATTGTTTTGTATTAATTTGTTGAAATATGACGATAATTGTTCAAGATGTCAGTCAAGCTCCAGTCGACTGAGCTTTCATCAAAAACGCTGACTAATCCGTTAGAGAGAATGTATGGTGGGATTATTTCTCTTTTATAGGCCTACAAAAAAGTCTCCAATGGTATATGTTATCTAATTCATGTGTGTCAAGTGTAAACATATATATATATATATATATATATATATATATATATATATATATATCCCATGCGTTGCCATTCCTGAGGGCTCAGATGTTATTCCATTGTAGCCTATAAATTCACGCCATATCCCACCCTTCAAACCGAAACACAGCCATGCAAACACATCTACTTCACGATAGAAACACGAATGGGACAGAGGTACCCAAGCAATCGACTTTTGTACAAAGTCTCTCTCTGGTAAGATATATGACTCTGATATATATATATATAACGTTGACCATCTACCCCACAGTGGTTTGTCAGAGTTGGTATACAATAAACAATATTCTGAACAAATGCAGTCATCTCTAGTAATCTATTAATATCTACTATATCAAGTGTCTTTCCTATTTTGGCTGTTATACCCATTTATACAAATTTCTATAAATTAAATGAAAACAAATTATTGCATGGAACGAAATACGTAAAAAAAATTATTAATTATACACACTTAAAATCTACCTGCTAATTTCTAATAAATCAGTCTACTATTCACATCTATACCCGCTTTCATTTAATATTCATTACATCTGACAGTGAAAACACGAAGCTATACAAATACAAATAAACTTCTAGTGGCATTTAATGCAACAAATTTGTAAAAAATTACAAGTGTTTTGTTTAGCTATAATACAAAAATGTGAGCAAAAAGGTTTTAATGTGAGTTTAAATAATCAATGTGAATGAGCCAGTTAGTGTAAAAATGACAGATTTGATACAAGTAATATAAATAGCCACGTACAGGCAGAGCGAAAATGACTAAACACCCATATACACAAAAAAAAAGGTTAATTAATTAAATTATTGAATATTTACTATTCAAAATTTTTTAGGAACTCGCTTAGTGCAACTTAATCCAGCCTGATCCCTATTATCCATTGTCTTCGAAGCAGCCAAAACACTTACTGGCAATATGACCAATACCAGTACTCGGCAATGAATTGATGAGACAATTCACCTCAGTAATTGAGTTTAAACGTCGCCTCTTACCGTCTGGTCTATCGACAGTCACTGATCCATCACTTGGATATACCAAAATGTTTCCGAGCCGCCATAAAAGCAACATGTCTGCCCTTGGTATAGAATTCTGAGAAAGTAATTCTTGAGGCCAGTTTTTGAGAACCAAACTTTGTCCTTGAATTCAACATTGCAGAATTTGACTAAAATTAGCCTGGGCTTCTCACTAGACTTATGTCCCACCCTGTGACTGCCACTGATGAAATCTTCAGTAATGGGTAGTTTGAGTCGCTCAGTAATAATTTTTATCACCTCTGAAGATGTCTTCGCCGCTGTCTTGAGCACCGTGCATAAGAAGAATTGGCGATAACCTAAACCTGTTGTTGTAGGATGTTCAATGTGGCTAAGATGGAGGACTTGAAATCGCTGAAGTCCATTGCTAATGAGGTAAGGATAATCGGCGCAGTACTGGCCTTGTGAAGATCCTCTTGAAAGCCACGATCTTACTTGCGAAATGTTCATTTGATCTAGAGATTCTTGAATTGACTCTATTTCTTTATTAAGGAAAACTAGAGAGTAAATAATGTAACTACTTACAACTTACTGCAAATAATCTGCTACATTTGAACTAAAATTGCTATCCAACACTCGAAGCTGTACAGGAACAGCAGGTCAGGTTAAGCTCTTATTTTTGATTGGTTTTTTAACATACTATTATAATTTTATTATTATTAATTGAAAAAATAGTTGATGTAATGTTAAGTCACTTATATGTATGTATTAAATGTAATGTATCTTGTACCCAAAAATAATTTTGCATGCTTTAGAATATAAGGCGAACATTTGTACTTCACAATAGATCAATATCTATAAAAACAATATTCTGGCAAATAAACAAATCTAATCTAACAAATCTAATCTTAATTTTCCTCTTGCATTTAAGGTATTAAAATAATTAATTCTAATGTACACTATACTATCACATAAAGTGGGTTTATTTGTTTGAACATACTTATAAACAGATTTAAAAAATTCCTTTGCATTTGATAGCTCTTTTGTTGAGGATCACAGAACAGGACTACATTTATCTAATATATAAAATTCTCGTGTCACGGCATTTGTTACCAAACTCCTCCGAAACGGCTTTACCAATATTTATGAAATTTTGTGTACATATTGGGTAGGTCTGAGAATCGGCCAACATCTATTTTTCATACCCGTCAATGATAAGGGTGACCCACCCCCAAAATATATTTTTTTATTTTTTTGACAAAATTTTTTATTTTTATTATATTATAATTTAGCATTGAAAAATACATATTTTTTATATTTTCATAGATAATAATGATAGAAATTTTCATCATTTTACGATCAACCCCTGTATTTTAATCACGATTTTTATATTTCACAATAAGTGGTAAAACAACGTTTACGGGGTCAGCTAGTAATTCAATAAACTTCTTTTTATGACATTTAAATGAAAAGAGAAATAGTATGTTTTTTACATTGACCAACACTAGTAAAAAACTATAATAGTATCATGGGACCCATAATCCAATCCAGGACCAAATTATTTATGCAAATCAACATGCTCATGTAACATGGAGGTCATCACTATGTAGCATAAAGATAAAACGATTTTAGAAATACACATAAAGTAGATTTAGAGATACAAATGAAACACTTTCATATAATACTCTATTTAGAATACTAGGCTAATTTTCAATATCATTTTAGGACTCCTTAGCAGAAAAATAAAAAGAAATTATTTGCTTTGTAATATATGTGATCCAATAATATCTAAAACTAATCCAAATTTTAAATAGATAACATTTAAAGATGCTGAGATGAATACTATATGAATTGCAACAGATGAAACCAAGTCGCATAATAAGGACACCTTTATATTATTTTGGTATGCAATCTGTCTAATCTTTGTTTGCTAAATTACGCACAAGTACAAAATCAATGGATACTGTTAAGGGTGATTTCCTAAATGGTTGATAAATAATAGAATTCTTCATGAGTTTGTTACTTTCTTTACTAATAAATATAAAAGAGTTTGAGACCCTTCAAGGTCAGATGCTATCTTTAAATGTTGATAAATAAATACATCCTTGTCCATTAAATGAATCCTAATATGATACTAATAAATAATATAAAAATTATTATAAACAGACTTGTTATAATTATTATTATAAGAATATATATATTTATAATTATTGGTTCCACAAAAAAATCAGTATTTAGGTGTTATATATGAATGTCTAGATTCCTAGATAACTGAGTGGTGACCATTTTGATAGCAAAATTTCTAATTAGGTATAAGTCTATTTTTATATTTTATATTAAAATAAAATTTATAATTGTTTATGTTTTTGTTGTAACTATTGTAATTGGCATGCACCAAATAAATATTTCTCTTGCTTTCTTTCTTTCTAATTAAATAATATATAGAATCCCATAAACAATACATAATTATGATTACAGAAGCTCAAACATGGAAAGAGGAAACCATACAATACATTAAAATATACAGTATACTTGTATATTTAAATAATGTAGATACCCATATTATGCACTTGCATAATATAGATAACATCGTAAATAACAAAAATTGATGAAATTCCATAAACATAACTACATTCCAGCTAAATAATGGATACTGCACTGGTAAAATATATAATAAAATATATTATTTAAGTGAAAAACAATTATTTAAAGCCAAGATATTTATATATCAATACATACAAACAAATCTGTAATATTTGCAAAAATTTAGATTGAGTTTCTAATTATTTTCCGATTTGACGTAGTTACCCGTTTAAGTATTGGAACAACTAAAATTACGATTCATTTAATATAACTTAATTAAAAATATTATAATAAAGTTTGTTTTGACAAAAAATAGAGTTCAGCAATAAAAACCTGGTCATAAATTATTATAATATATAAAAAGATTTAGGACCTACCTCTATATGTATCCAATTTGTTATTTCTGCAACAATGAAATGTTAAGAGAAAACTTAAAATTATATTAAAATCAAACACACAATTAAAGTCTGAGTAACATACAAAAGCATTAGAGTGAATTATTGAAATTTGATTATTTCTCTATTCGTTCTACAAATAAGATTTTTAGTTTTCAATTCGATCAAAACCCATATATACTATAGATACGTTGTAAGTAGGTATGTCTCATAGATATGGTACACTGTAACTACAGACATATTCAATCTATCATAAAGAACGTAACAGTGAACACATAGATTAAGGAACTTCGATTGTTACAAATAAACAGTTGAATAGAATAAATAACTATTTTCTCTTATATTTTATCACAAATAATTTATTTGAATTAAATGCGACATCTCCTTGATATTTACTTTCAATGTTTTTATAATATAAAGAGCTAAATGTTTAAAAATAGCTTAGGTGTACTTTTATAGACTTTTTAAAATTTATAGTCAAGTATTACTGTCAGACCAATTCCATCCACTGAATCCTAATTGCATATCAAACCACTTCTACAGGGGGGAAAAGGATTGTTAACAATGGAGTTTGACAGCCCCATTGCTAGCAATATGCCCTATTAAGTCGACCTCCACGTGGTTCCCCCTAAAAACCATCGTGAATAATGCTCGTTAAATACGTTACGATTGGCTAATTAACCTACTTCATCGTATATGCTGAGAGCGCGGGTGGGGTTATCATTCCATTATCACATACTAAAAAAAAACATTTCTACAAGTAATAAATTCAGAACTCTTATTGGTTATGAAAAACATGTCTTTCTATTTTCCTCTAACATAGAGTTACAATATTTTTCTCTTTTATATACTAATCTAAACACTAAAATCGCAGTTGTCAGCTATAGATAAAACCAAAATCTATCTATCCCTACTATAGGATAATTGGCACAAAAATTTTGTAAACAAAATTCAAATTTCAAAACTGAATGAGTGGTAGTATTTATAGACCAGTGGAATGATCACAAAAAATAGAGTTCTAGTTCCTAGCTGAGGTTATTTTCATTGTCTGTAAAAACTTTTAGAGATATTTGATTTAAAATATCTCTAAAAGTTTTTATATAAAATTATAAGACGAAAAATATAACTAATTAAGAAATCACTTATAGTTGGTAAATATCTTTAATTTTGAGCATAAATATAATATAGTAAATGTATACATTTTTTAAAGATTTCGCGCCATTTTTGGTGTTGCAAGTATGCAAAAACATTCCTCACAAGTAAATTAAAATTCCCGAAATGAGGTGAATCTTTTTCAATATGAATTAAATTATTATTTGTATTTTATGCTAATTTTTTTACATAATATAAATACAATATTTATATAAATATTTACATAGAGACATTCATCATTATCGTCATATCAGCCCTTAACCGTCCACTGCTGAATATAAGCCTCCTCTTTAGGGGGGTTTAACCAATAGTTGCCACGCTTGGCAGGTGGATTTACAACTGCAGTCAGGCTTTAGAGATGTTTTAAAAGGGACTTCGCTGTTTATTCCTTACCGTCCCTTAGTCGTCTTTTAGGGGTACTTTTAAAGGAAAGGGTGACTTGTTCTATGTCGAAGCCACACGGCCATAGCGATATTATTAAGTAAGTATTATGCAAACTTTGTTATTTGACCGATTGTTTTCAAAATCTAAAGATCTAGTATCAAAATTAATAAAAATGACCGCTTTTTTTATTTTCTTTGTAATTTGACCGATGGCTTTCAAAATCGATATCGGATGGTCCCTATAGTGTGAAGAGTTCGTTGAATAGAACAATAAAATAGAAAATACTGAATAAAAATATATTATATTTTCCTTAGTATAATAATAGACATGTTTAAAAATGACGTGCTCTAATAACAAAATATTCATTGACAGAAAAAGAAAATAAATAAATTATATTTTTAAAAGTAGCATTAATAAAACCTTAACACTATACACTTCAAATATTAATCTGATGTTAGAATTAATAAAAATGGCTGTCATTTTTATCTTCTCTGTTATTTGGCCAATTGCTTTCAAAATTGATATCTGAGGTGCCATACATAAATCAAATATAGATTCGAAAAAGTCGTAAGAACTAATCAAAAAGGCCGCTAAAAGTATTTGTTCGTTACATTTACGTTTCAAATATGGATCCGATATCAGAAATAATAAAAATAGCTGCCATTTTTATTTTCCTTGTTTCCAACTGATTGCTTCCAAAATCGATATCTGAAGACCCGTCTACACTTTTAATATAGATCTGCTGTCCGCCATTTTTTTCTTTTTATTTGACCGATTTTTTCAAATTCGATATCTGACAAGCCGTACACAAATCAAATATAGATTCGAAGAAGTCATCAGAACTAATAAAAATGGCCGCTAAAAGTATTTATTTAGATAAAGATTAACAAAATAGCATTAACAAATTAAACTTGAGATAAAATACTGTTAAATATTTTTTTATATTTAGTCAACCTAATTACAATAAATTAACTCATATTTTTTATTTCCATACGTAGGTATTTTCAAAAACATGCATAAAATTAAAATGCATCCCACTTCGATTAATTCTAACATCAATGCATCTTTCAAATCTATAAAGATTCAGAGATATTCATACTTATAAAAATTGGTTAAGTAAAAAGTATTTAAAATGATCGTTACTTTTAGTGACATTGTCCGTCCATATTTATAGACGGATTCACAAAACTTCACGTCATTTCAAAATTTTACTATTTTTTAAATAATCAATGTAAAAGAATCATAAAGTTCTATCTGCCGCATTCTTATTCTTTATTTACATATTATTTTTAATAAATAAATAAATAATATAATTAAATATATAAATAAAGTTAAATATTAAAAAGTATTATTTAATCCTAATAATATTTTTATAGTTGTGTAATTTTTTTTAACCTTTAGCTATTTGCCTTAATCTAAAGCAGCCTTTCCCAAAGTGGGCGATAACGCCCCCTTGTAGACGCTGCACGTCAAAAGAGGGGCGGTAAGTGACGCAGGAAAAAAAGGGGCATTGTGTAGAGGTTTGGGGGGTGATTTGTTGATCTTAAAGTAATAGTGGTTTTTAAGTAGGTGAAAAAATGGGGGCGCTAAAAAAATAATTTATTCTCAAAGTGGGCAGTAGACAAAATAAGTTTGGGAACCCCTGATCTAAAGTAATAATTTCTATTCTGGTAACACTGTCGCGTACACCGAACATGAAAAAGTTGACTGGATACTAGTATAGTATTATATTATCTGTGATTATGCTGTTTTGGGATAATTCGTGTGGGGATATGCAAACTATAACTGTATCATAAAAAAAAAAACACTCGCTACTCTAGAGATTTTGCCTCAAATTATCTTTAATTACAGAATAATTAAAAAAACCATAAGTCTCGATTCTAACATCACCTAGTATTTCGTGTCCAATTTAGTTTAGTGACCAAATATCTTAAGTTTTAGCGGCATGTATGCTCGAAATATTTTTTTTTTTTTTTTGTTTTCATTAAACTTGTGGTGTTATTTACACACACATGTTATTTACACCACAGATTTAATGAAAAAAAATGTGATTTAGCCACCTTGGCATCGCAAAAAAAAAAATGTATATATACAAGTTTTTGACTGTGCACACTTGCTTTCATGTTGTATACAAAATATAGAGGGCGCAAACAAGACATTCTTGAAGTTCATCAATAGATGAGCTCTCAAAAATTCCCAAACTGAAACTCTGGACCACAGACAATTGACAGATCCTCTACCTTCTATCACATCGACATCGCATTCCTTTCCATCTTAAGTCATAGAGAATTAGAAATAGATCAGTTGAATTGAAACTTCTGGTTTTGAATTTCTTTCTCAAAATTTTTCGAAATATAATGTGATTTTAAGTTAAATTTCAATGTAATCTTCAAGTAAAGTTGTTTAATTATAAATATGGTTTTAACCATACGTAACGTAGGTAATGGTGTAGTATACAATAGAGGTCGATAATGTCTGAACTGATACATCACATCTTGCCTTGCCATACCTAATTCAATCAATAACATAATAAATATTGCTTCCTTTCAATAAAACTAGTACCTGTTAATGTTCTTTTATTAAAAATTATGAAATATGGATGCTGCAACAGAAAATTGGGACCCAGGTATGTGATTTGATAATTTTTTAGAACTCAATATACTTAAATATGCATATTTATATTTATATAAAAAAATTAACACTTCCAAATTAGTAGGTAAATAAATTTAATTATACAATATCACAAAACTTTCCTCAGACTAAATAAAATGTTTTGTTAATTAATTATCTTATTTTTTACTTATAGAGTATTAATTATATTACATATATAAAAATGTTTATGTAAATTAGACAATATTGTCACAAGTACTTCAATTTGTATAACCAAAATTGTAACTTTTGGGGTGGTTTTATTTCCTAAGGATATTTGCACACTAGTGTATGCCTAACCATCCAGATTCTGGATTTTCTGTTCAGATATTTCTTAGCTTATCTTTCTATTGTTCATTATGAAGTTTTCAATAAATAAATCATAATTAGGAACTCCTATAATTTTTTATTGCTTTGGGCTTTGTATGTATGAATGAATAGTGAGTGTAAATCAATGAGAAATGATGTGAAAAAATTAGAAAACTTCATACTTCATGTCATCATTAGCTTTCTGGCCTCATTACTTATGGTTAGCATAGCATGGTTTTTCTTTCCTTTCTGATTGTGATTGCTTTATGATGGTTTTTATTTTGAAATATAATTATAAAAAAAAATACATTCTATACAAGTAATATATTAAATACATTTGTTTACATTAAATTCTTTTGTAACAAACCATACTTATAATACAGGAACATGTATTTTTACATATACATAAATAAATTTATTAACAAGATCAAACACCTTTATAAGTTGTTTTTCTAAATTGCCTCAAGTTTCAGTTTTTCTATACTTCTTGTTCAGTATTTAGTATCTTAGTATAATAGATAAATTACCCTTGTATACAAGTAAAACAATGTAACTCAATTACACTTTTTATTATCTCTCAATAAAATCAAATTAATCCCCTGTCCCCTGACTCTTAACAGGACAGGAATAATGACTCTATACATTATGTTTGTTATTGTTATAAGTGCAGGGGTATTTTAAATATGGCATCAATGAAGACAAACTCTTAAAAATTTTAATATAAAAAAAAAAAAGAAGCTGACAAACATATTTAAGAAAGAAGTAAAAGGAACTAAAAAACTTGTTAAGAATATGACTTTACAACAGCATAAGAGCTTTGGGAAGCATGGAAAAGGTGGTGAGAGAATTGCACCAAACATTGTAGTAATAATTTTTCAGTAAATGCCTAATGCTTTCGAAAATAATGAAAATATTTTCGGTTTATCTGTCCTTTATTATGAAATTGGTGAAAATATATTCCTTGAATATATTATGTATATTGAGATTATATTAATATATAAGTAAAATAGTTGCCTAGACAACATTCTTAGGGCGAGTTACCCAGTTTACAAAGAAATGCCCATATATAAAAAAATTGAAGGTCTGAATTTAGAATCACAAATTGTAAACTCTACTCTTATTTATGTCCAAATTTTTTATTAGCACTTAATTATTTAAATGATCAAATACAAGCTTTTACCCGTGATTTTGTCCATGTGACTGTGATATGTTTACTAAATGGGATATGCCTCTATTATTCTCTATCCTATAAAGTATGTGTATACTAAATTTTATAGTGATTGGTTAAGTTGTTAAGGCTCCAAGGTGTAACAAATTAACAAATTTTCACATGTCTAATATTAGTAAGCATTAATATGAAAGAAAATATTAAATGAGTACAGAAACTTACTATAATACTCGGGATATGCCCAATAAGGTCACCATTACTATCTTAGTCACATTACTGGAAGTACAGAACCTTATATATATATATATATATATATATATGTATGTATGTATGTATGTATAAAGTTGTTTAGCAAATAGTTAAAAAATCGGAATAGATTTAAAAAAAAACTTAGTACAAAACTTATATCAAATTTTAACAAAGTATATGTTTACGTAAGCAACCAGACTAATAGCTTGTAAATTAATTAAATAAGTATATATATTAGTACCAATTGTTACAGCATTGACACGTCTATTATCATCATTAAAAGAAGTCCAACCAGGTGGTGAAGATGTGGCCTTCCTAAGTGAGCTGTTGCAGTCTAAACAGCTTCATGCTCTTGTTCAAGTGCATAATAAAATAGTGGCAAAAGGAAAAGATGACAAATTTTATCCTCTCCTGTCTAATGCAATGCAAGTTACTCTTGAAGTTCTGGAATTATTATCAGATTTGGTTTCTGTATCAAAAGAATATGAAGAGCTACTTAGTCTGTTACAGAAACCTCATTTTCAAGTTAGTTTTTTTTTAATTTTCATAATTTTATTATACATAACTTTTATATTACTACAAACATATAATTTTATATTTTGTATAAAATGTTTACTAAAAATATCCACACCTACAAAGAAATAACTTGTACATATCATTATTAGAAATGTAAAATCTCTATAGTATAATGTCAACACGATGGTTTTCTGCTTACCCCATAACAGAACTGGTGTTAACAATCTCAAATATGTTATATATGTATGTAAACAGATGTGTGTGACTCAGTACTCATCTATGTGATCGTAGACAATTATTACAAGAATAATTATAGTAGTATATAGAACTAATCTAACTGTAGCTTGTTTACCACCTTTGTAGTATAAAAAAATATAAAAGTAATGATTTTTATGTATACCTAAATATTTATGATATGCATTTATTTATGATAAACTCATGCTAACTCAGTCTTAGAAACATGAGTAAATCCAATACAAATAATTTAAATATAGCTTTATACTTTAAATAATTTTGTAAATGGATACTTACTGTTATTGATGTAACTCAGGCTATATTGTGCACACACGACGCCGTAGCCCAAAAGGATTACTACCCACATTTACCTGATATCCCACCAGAAGTTGATGAAGAAGAAGAAACAGTGAAAATTGTCCAACTAGTCAAAAGTGATGAGCCACTGGTAACATTATATTTTTTGTATTTAAATACTAATATGTGTTTGATACATGTGTGTCCATTTAAATGCAGTATGTTTTGTTTCTAAAGCCTTTCATGCCCAAGAGCTACTATAAGATATAAGAATGTTATAAAAGTTCTCATGGCATATCTGGCTGTGTAATTGTCTTAAAGTGTCATTTAGAAATAGCAGCTATATTTTAATATCATAAATAGTGTAAAAATTATAATTCAACAACTGTTATTTGTATAATCATCTAACAAATCTTGCTGTTCTTGTTGGGCACTTGTAATATTCCTATTTACATAACAATATCTATTCTATTTATTACTCATTATATAAATATACTATTCCTATAGAACTGACAAATACTACCAGCATGTATTGAACAATTTTTTTTTACCAAAGGGTGGAGCACAGAATGCAGAGCCAATAGTGGTAAGTATGTAATATATGTTCAATATTTTTGTTGCTACCTATTTGTTTCATTTTACCTATCCGAATATTCTGATTGTCTATCAACCCGCCCATTGTTTGCTGGCGTTATGATCCTGTCATCATTCATCACTGGTCCTTACTTATCTAAAACTTTTAAATTTATTAGCTGCTATCTCTAGATGTTGAATGCAATTTGTATTGTGTTGTGTCTAGCCTCACACTACTATCAGATTTTTATTTTTTATTCCAAGTTGTTTAATATAATCGCTGTACACAATACACATTGCTTGTACACAGTATTGATTATTTTTGTTATATATTCTTAATTTATTGCATTATGGTCTTATTTATAATGTTAGATACCTATCTATTGATTTTGAATAAAGTCCGATTATGCGTCCTTGATATGTTATGGAAGGTATATACCTGTATGTACCTTTCCATTCAATTTGATGTACTAAAATTTAAACCGAATTCCAACTTCCATGTACTGTTTATCCACACAAATGAAAATATATTAAACTAATTCAAAAGTACAGTTGGTATATAATTTTGCCAAAACTCGATATTTTTGCATTCTTGTTTAGCATGCCTATTATGTCTGTAATATCAGATTGTAAATGTCACTGCATTTTATTAAATGTTATTATTGTGACAGTTAACGGTTTTTGATTAAGGCGTAACATATCAATTAATTTGAATGAACTTTAAATATGTACGAATAATATTCCAACAAAATTTTATATCCGACTTGAACGTGAAATTGATGTCATAATGGTTATAGTGTTACTGATGTATCCATGTACAAAAACTTAATAGGTCTTTTTTTTGGCAATGGACATAAAATTTTACAATAATACACGAAAGGAATTATTTGGATCTACCTTTCGATAAAACTGATTACAAATTTTATGATTCAATTACTATATATTCTATGTGTAAGACATAGCCCTGAAATAAAAAATGTTGTTAACAAATTTATAACAGCAACAGTCATATTTCTTTTCTGTTCTTCATGAATCTGATTACAGAAATCTCGGACATTAGGTTAAAAAAATTGTATAAGAGACAAAATTTTTTCATATGAGTGAATTAATTTCTTGACATCTTTGAAAGGATAGAGAAGTTAGTTGCTATCATTGCATAATATATTTACTACACTTATGTATTATTTGTAGATAACCCATTTAAACAATCTTATGAAAATAATAAATTAAAACCCGGACTGAATCAGTAGGACGATCAGTATGTGCAGCATTGGTTATACATATTCTAATATTAGTTAAGTATTAACATCTTATTTTACTGTATGGCATCAAACATTATTCATATACTCGTATATACCATGAACGGTTATATTCTTTCATTTTTTGTGTAATAATGGAAAAATAATGACATTGCCTCATTAAATTCACTGCGTCACTAATTTAGTTGTTATTTTAGATTAGATTGTTCCTAAATTATTTTTATATTTGCATATTTGATTAACATGGATGTAAAAAAATTACATATTTAATATATGTTTTTCTATTATCATTTATTGATATTAGAAAAATTATACAATAATAATACATTTACTAATTGTATATTGCGATTCTGGTATGGATTTGTTTTTAATGTGTCGGAAGGTTAAAATTGCAGGCATAGTGTATGCTATAAGAATAAAATCTACGTAGCAATAAAATTTAATTAATTTATCCAATCTTGCTATCTGTAAAGGGGAGTTCTTGTTTTTTAATATGTCCATTAATTATTAAATTGTTTTTTATTGGAATCCACTGCTCCTTGGTAACAGTTGAAGTAAATAAGTCTATTTATTCAGTTCCTTGATGTATTTTGCTTCATTTCGCTAAATATCTTTCATATATGTTTTTGTCTTTATGTTTTCTCTGCACTACACTTACTTTAATTGGTCTCACCACAAAATTAATGGACACCCTCTAATTAGTCATGAACCCTCGTATGAAATTCACTCAGTTCGATAGTTAATTACTATTTATTGACATTTAACTTTATATTCATGTCTAATAGATTACATATTCAATAGTTTCATTCAATCGCGACCAAATACAATTTAGCAATTGATTAATTAAATCGGTCTTATCATTCTATCAATCTAGTGTTGCAATAAAAAGTTTAGTTGTTTGCTAAGGAATAATGTAAGCTAAGTAGTAAAATTATCGTTTTCACTCAATATTTATGACAGAAACAGTTTCTGAATAGAGGCAGTACCGCCCCTAGCAGGCTCGTGAACGTTTCATGAGGACGGTATCGGTAGGCTTGGCAATATAGGCACTTGTATATTTCGTATTAACTATTACGAACACAGACATGGATTACTATAGATTGAATGGAGAAAATGTTAAAACTAATTAATTGTCATGCCCTTTGAAAATATTATTACTAATGTTGTTAAAAAAATACAATTATTTAGGATTTTTAAAAAACTTTGCTGTTGTTACATTAAAAAAAATAGATAATGGTAATTTAGCTGTTCCGTAGGTAGTCGATTTTTATTTGTATATCACAAATATGACAATATAATTATTATCCGACATTTTAGAAAACAACAAATTATAAGATGTAAAGACAAATTTACCAACAAAAACCATAATTTACATGTTATTATTGTTTTTCAAAAATTTATAGGCACAGGCGGTTGTGACATCTAATGAAATTTATATGATTATGAAATATGGAGCGTTGACGTTTTTCTCTTATGCTATATGGGGGCAGTGATTTATAAGAAAGTAAGAGTAATTCGCCATTTACAATTGACTGATTCACTTTAATTTCACATACCTAGTGTATAGGAAGTGTTTCATGCAAGTCTCTATTTTCGTGGATCTTTCAGTTTACTAGTTAATAATATAGATACATATTGTACGGCAGGGAGCGACAATAAAGACGGACGAAGAAACTGGGAAGATCGTGATTGCTCGAGTGATGCACGGGGGCGCGGCTGATCGATCCGGCTTGATACACGCCGGCGACGAGGTCATCGAAGTCAATGGCATTAGTGTGGAGAACAAAACACCCGCTGATGTGCTCGCTATACTGGTAAAATAAATATATTGACGAATATAAGACCCTGATAGAGTAGTGAGAAACGTTTGTCGCCATCCTCACCTACCACTCTTCACTTGTACCCCACCAGCATTCCTATACCGACAGCGCAGACCTGGTTACCATTCTATGTTCTTCCATTAAAAACCATTCCATCTTCATCTATTAAAAAAAAGTATCTGGCTTTATCGTTATATATTAATTACCAATTATACATATGTACTTTCAGCAAAGTTCAGAGGGCACGATAACTTTCAAATTGGTGCCATCGTTCGGTAAAGGAGGGCTGCGAGAAAGCAAAGTGAGAGTTCGCGCTCTATTCAACTACAATTCATCTGAAGATCCCTATATACCATGCAAAGAGGCTGGATTGAATTTTAAAAAAGGAGATGTTTTACACATTGTTTCCCAAGATGACGCTTATTGGTAAGTAAATGACAGATTGAACTGATCAAATTATCATATGATTGTTAAGAAACATGAGAAAAAAATAATATTAAAATTAATACTTATTTATTATACTTATTCTGTCACATTATCCTTTGACATTCTTTAACTGCAATTATTTGAAGTGGTATAATTGATTTATATACATATTAAATAGTGTTGCGATAATATCATTAAGTTATATAGTTACTATGTACTTTTGCACAGCGATAATTATATTAAACAAGATAATCTGTTCACTGTAATATTTTCTTACGTTAAGGTGGCAAGCGCGACGCGAAGGTGATAGAGTAATGAGGGCTGGCCTAATTCCATCGAGAGCGTTACAAGAAGGCCGCATCATTCACGAAAGGCAATCCGATCCACAGACAATGGATGGTTAGTTATTTGTAAGACGTCTATACAAACATAAAAGTATGGCTATAGCGATTTTTAATTTTTACAGAATATTCTAACTTGAACTGATAGTATGAAATCACAATGTGAGTGCTAATGCGTTTTTGATCACGATAACATAGCAAGTTTTTTGCAGGATAAATGTTGTCGAATAAGCATTGTCGCCTATGTTTATTATAGAAAAAATGCAAAAAATCTTATACATTATTTACATGTATTATCCAAATTATTATATCCAATCGGTATACATAGGCTGGAATGGAATCGTAAGCGGTATGTAAAAGTATGAATCTATCCCATACTATAACAAAAAATTTCGAAATAAAAAATTCAAAAATTGCATTTTCGAATCTTCTTCACTAACTAAATAGAACGACGTGTTGCATTGTTTTTGCTTAATTTTTTTTGTCATTTTACGAGCCGCGTTTTTTAAAACGAAAATAAATAGAACAGGATAAAAATCATGCTTATTCAAATATTATCACAATATTTTAATATATGTTTATCAAAACATTGTAATATACGAACAGTACTTATATATTGCTTTTGTTGTACGCAGATGTTAGATATTTATTTTAAATTATATTAATTTTCTTAAACATCTTGTGCTAAAATGTGTACCTACATTTATTAATAAAAATCAGACTATTTTAAATATAATAAAACCTTAAAATTGTTATTATACCAAATTTGGTAATAAATTCTTTATAGAACACTAATTTATATTTTAATTAAATTTAAAATTATTTATTGTCATGATCCTTGAATAAAAAGTAATGAAATTGTAAGAACATGTGGTCTCACTGACTTGTTCACTCGAATTCGACCCTGTAGATATAAAATATTATTATTTGGGTGGGAAGATACTTCTTGTCCAACCGTTGAACAGAGCGGAGCTCCCTGCCATATCAAGAGTGAACAAGTATAGTAAACCACGTGGTCATGATATAAAATATATCACAATTATTGTTGATGGAAGTCCTAAAGAAGCTTAAATTCGATATAATTTAATAGTATGATATCTAAAATAAATTAACTGTGAGAATTTGTGCTTCATTTCTATTTATTACCAAGAGGTTTACAACCTTTATATTGCTAAAGAATATATCATATACTTGTAAAGTTAGTATTATGTAGTACCTCATATATCATATTATATATATATATATATATAATTAATAAATTCATTTTATTTTGATACAGGCAAGCCGGCACTCTGCAGTCCCTCCGCTACCAATTCAGACTGTGCTCCGAAAACACCATGCTCACCAACGCCCACAGCCACTGCCCTCCTGCCCTGCAAATCCACACCCAAAGTCAAGAAAATCATATACGACATTACAGAAAATGATGATTTTGATCGTGAAATGATACCAACTTATGAAGAAGTTGCGCGTTTGTATCCAAGGCCTGGCTTAGTTAGACCCATTGTCTTAGTGGGCGCTCCCGGTGTCGGAAGAAACGAACTACGCAGGAGACTTATCGCTACAGATCCCGAAAAATACGTTACACCAGTACCCTGTACGTAAGAATGTAAAAAAAAAAATTATAATAATTTGTCCTAATAATATTATAAATGCGAAAGTTTGTAACAATGGATGGATGTTTGTTAGTCTTTCACAGAATGAAACAAAATATGTAGTGTCTTTACTACAGATAAAATATTTAATGAATACTTTTATTTGTAGATACATCTAGACCGCAAAAACCAAGTGAGCAAAATGGAAAAGAATATATGTTTGTGACTCGAGAGAAAATGGAGCAAGATATTACAGAAGGAAAATTTATAGAACACGGCGAGTATAAAGGAAATCTGTATGGCACATCTGCAGAGAGTGTGGAAACTATTATCAATTCAGGTAAGTGTAATAGCTTTCTGTAAATGTTGTGTGGTTCCGGCGTAAAATGAGCCACCTATTTGTAACGACCCCTCCCCCCCCCCCTACAACAAATAACCCCAACTAAATCATGTAAAATATACAAGAGCTTACACTAACGAATGGTCTAAGAGAAATCTTCAAATTAACTGTTCTAAAGCCTAAATTTCCATGTTTAAATTCCCAAGAATTTAAATCTTTAAATAGTTAAAATACCAATTAAGTGCATTTCTGTATCTAAAATAATACTAATACTTACCTACAATTGTTATAACAACTAAATTCAAATTATATAAATTTTACTATACACTGGTACAGAAATTGGGTCGTGTATCACCTCCATCATTTTTGACATCTGTCACCTCAATGACATCTTGAATAACGTATTGATTTATCGAATTGAACTTTAATTATCTACCGCAACTGTCACCGTCATAAACACTAAGCAAATTTTGTTTATTTGTTTGTTTGGTATAATTTAATATAATATCTTAATATATTTTACTAAATTATCATTATCAGTGACATGAATAATTGATGGTTTACACCAGTAATAACTAGCAGTACCCAGCAATCCTGCAGTTTTATATCCATACTAGTCGCCAAGCTAACTCTCAATTTCAAAAATAAGCTGAAAGCCAAGGGAGTTTACAATCTTTATTGCAATTACTCTTGCAATAATATGTGCATATAAATAATAATATTGATAACTATTTTTAATAAATAATGACCCAGAATGTCTGTTTAGAAAAGATATAAGCCTATCTACCATAGATACCCACAGTCACACTTACATGAACTTATTTACCAACACAATTATTAATGTATTATAAGTATTATATCCACATCACTTGCATCAGTTAAGCCATTTCCTTGTACATTTGGTGTAAAACAAATAAACAAATCCTCACATGTAATCATGGGTAATCAGAACTAGACAAGAGAGTCATTAGTTTAGATGACTGCTTAATTATATGAAGATTACTTCACCATGAGGGTCAAACGTGAACCGGTACTCAAAACCTTCGCTGTAATAGTGTGATAAAATATAATTATTCTATTATTATCATCATCGTCTTGAATGTCATCCATCCACGGTTGAACGCAGGCATTCCCCATAGACTGTTAAACGGAACGGTCTCAAGTTGCTGCATCTACCAACTCCCCACAATGCACTTGAGGTCGCTACTCCAACCAATGGGAGTCGCCCCTCACTGCAATTGCCCATACGGGGTCACAATTCAAGTACTCTTTTTCCTCATCAGTTGTCGGTTCTTCTATGTGATGAGCCCATAGGTGCTTCAGTTTGCTTATTCTTTAGAAAAAAATAAATTTATAGTAAATATTAAACTAGTCTTAATATAAATATTATTAAAAAATAATAGTTAATTCTTATTTTCAAAATCTGAACAACTAGACTAAACAATCTTATATAGGTTGAACCTAAGTTTTCATCAATTTCACTGAATCAAATTGATGAAGTTCTACCAACAACATCTAATTGGATTTTTGTATATAAGCAAAATAGCAGAAGCGTGTATAATATTATTACATAAATTATATTAATGTGGAAATGTGGTTGTATTTAAAGATATACGCATTACCTAAGCTTATATGAACGCTAATATATAAAATTAACAAATACAGTTATTAAATAAAGTAATAAGAGAATTATGTACAAGTGGTTTCTGATAGTAAACATATCAAACAAACAGGCAGTCAAATCATAAAATCTACTATGAACGCAATTATTAGGTAAATGGCAAATACTCGAGTAAATTTTTATCCTTTAATTCCTCCAATTATTTCGATCATCATACAGCGCTTTGCGTCACATGGGTAGATAGAACTTTCGAAAATAATACATAGGCCGTTTGTTACTCACTTATAATATAGCTTTCTATAGGTATAAGAATTTTAAAAATCAGAATAGTTTTTAAATTATCTATTACAAACAAACAATCAAATCTTTATTCTTTATAATTCAGACAACGAGCAGATGAATGTATTGCAGTTTTGTTTGTAAACGTATGTAAACAATCGGAAACATTTTAAATTTGTTTTCCATCTGTTTTTTATATATACATTTATTATTATGTATTAAATGTAAAAAGAAGAAGGAAACAATTATAAATCACACCCGTTTATTCTTAATCATCATTGTAAAACTTAATTTATATTGAAAGTAGATTAATTGATATCATTCTATGTATACAACAGTATAACAGTACATTGTCGATTCTAAGGTCGAGTCTGCGTGTTGAGTCCACATTGGCAAGCGCTGAAGATGCTTCGAACACCACGACTACGGCCCTACATAGTGTTCATTAAACCACCGCCGCTGGAGAGACTGATCGAAACAAGAACCGCCGCTAATGCCCGTTCTACTTTCGATAAAGAATCCTCCAGGGCCTTCACGGTTAGTTCGCGTTATATATAATTATTTTATTGGTGTTAATAGTATTGACGATTTGGTCCCGGCAGCAGCAGCAGCAGCAGCAGGCCAGCTCTCCTTTTCCCGTGAGTGTCGTAAGAGTCGACTAAGGGAACTTAATGGTCAAGGGGTGAGCAGTAGTGTCCCTCTTAAAACATCATTGCCTAAGTGCAATTGTCAACTCGCTTGCCAAGCGTGGCAATTACTGGTAATACCCCCCGAGGATGAGGCCTATGTTCAGTAATAGATAGTTAATGGCTGATATCATCATCATCACTTCAGAATATTTTTTATAACCACTAATTTAATGCTTTATATAAAAACAATGCGACCAATAAATAATTATTTTTATCTTCTATGTTATGCGTAAGATACTGGCCATCAATGATAATAAAATTACTACCATTTTTTATCGCTGGCAAAATAGTGTCGCTTTAATTATTGAAATAATAATTACTAACAAAGTCCTCAACTTGTTTCTTTAATAGTTTCTTTCTAAGTGGTGTTGTTATTATTATGTATTTATGTATTGACAATCTATAAAATAAAAAAAAAAATAAAAAATAAATATAAGGAGAAATTAACAAACTCACCGTGTTTGCTGTTTCCGACAATCGTTTCGACTTTATCCGGAAGTCATCTTCAGGTCACAGCGTCTTGCATCGAGTGAGCGAGTGATGAGTTCCTTAATTTCCGGTTATAAATGTTTATAGAAATATAATTAACATGTCCTTATACATACTTATAATTTTTAATAACTTTTATTTATTTTGTTCTACAGGAGGAAGAATTTACAGATATTATAAGGTCATCGAATCGGATCAACTTCTTGTACGGATATATGTTTGATGAAGAAATATTAAATGAGGAGTTGGCGAGTGCTCTTACTCAGCTACTGAAAGCGGCATGGAGAGTTCAGTCCGAGCCTCTCTGGGTCCCTGCCTCTTGGGTCCAGTAAAACACTGGCCCTATTTATTACCCAGTAGGTTGGAACGAGTTTTTTAATGTCGTTATTAAACGGCGTTATATTAAAAACAGTATTGTTCATCAACCAATTTTCTGTCAAAGCATTCAGTTAGTACAAGATAATTAATTTAAATTGAATTACTTAAGTATGTCAATGCGCGGCTGATCATAAACAAGTACTTAATGTTTTTTTTTTTTTTTACAAAATACCGTTAATAATAACATAACTTGATTTAAATAGTTCAAATATTGAACATAAAATTTGTTTTCAAAAAGATATTAGTCCCGCGCTTACATTATATTATTATTTACATGTAATAAATATATTGAAGTCTATATAAATCAAAGTGTTGATGACATTAAAGAGTGTATTTTTTTTATAAGCAAGCAACTGGCTGTGAAAAGGTACTTATTTTAAATTATGTACCATAACACTAAATGACGGTATCACAGCGGCGAGGCGACTGTGTCGTTTATGATGTAATTAACAGGGAATAATCGTGTGGCCACAAGATAATATCTGAGTTTGTAGACAAGTGGCAAACGATTCCATTTCTAAATCGAAAAGAGACACCATTTCCGGCGTCTTATTGATTTTAATACTAGTAGTTGATTCTAGATATAAAAAAAATAGACGTCGTAGTTTATTTATGGTTAAAAAGTAAAAACGTATTTAGAAATGTGATAATTCGCTTGTCCCCGTTCTCTGACTATAATAATAAATCAATATAGCAAGGCATGTATTGAATATGCATACATTTGAGTGACATTTAAAATAAATAAATTTGCACAATTATAGCATTCCTTTTTCTTTTTTTTTTTTTCGTTAATTTTCAACAGCAAATTTCAAATATTCTTGGTGTATTTGGTTTAGAAATACTACCTATATTCTTATATACATATATGTTTTGTCGTGATATGTCTTTCTATTCTATATGTTAATTGTGTTTATTGCAAAATCGGAAAAATTTGATCTCATTTTATTGTAATTAACCATCAGTTATATCTATCTCCATATAAATTATTTTATTAATTGTTTATTATCTAGTCAAATGCTTTAGTAGAGAGACTATGAATGTATAGTATTATGAAATGCTACACTAACATCTAGTCATTTTGAAATTGGAAATTCGAAAATACCTAAATCATGTTAAACATTTTATCGATGTAGCTATGGGATAAGTGTACTGTAATAGGCGAATATGAATTTTAGTATTATTGTAATGGAAGGGCTGTATGTGTTTTAGAACATTTAGTAAATTTCGAACAGGAAAATAAAAACCCTGGTCATATTGCGAATATTTTACTAATTTATCGAATACTAATTTATCTTACTGGCAACAATAACTCAGTGTCTGTTCTGTATTTTTTATTTGCTGATTATTATTATTTGAAAGTGAGCACTCAAGGCAGGGTTTCTATTTGCCTGATGGAGTTTTACGTTTATAATTGTTATATGTGTTTATAAAATAGAGAACGTGCAACTTTCATCAAAATGATCTGTACCAATCAATATAGACGAATAAAAGTTATTTGGTATTTATTGGAAATTTATTAGACTAACATTGCTCATACTAACTTGCTTTTTCATTTCATTTAATAAATTGTTATTGATAGTTATTTAGTGTAATGTTATATACACATTTTAAAGTAAGTATTACTTGTATATTCGTTATTAGTGTTCCTTACCAGTACATACAGATATTGTAGGTAATCTATAAAGGATCTAACATTGTCACATCATAACATCTAACATGTGTCATTAGCCAAGTGCTGTTGAAGATAGTTATGTAAACCAAACAAAACTTAGAATTTCTACATTTTAAGGAATTTTCGTTTAATAGAAGTTCCTTATATACTTAGTTAGTTTTCACTGTATATTTGGGGTCGGTGTAATATATTTTCTACTTCCATTCAATTCTATTTGCAAATTAGATTTGTTTGAATCGTACATATTTCTATCGATGTTTTCATTGTTAAATTATAGTAATTCATACGATATTATAGAATCATTTCTAAAGGGAATATTAAATCACATATATATCGATAGACCAATAAAATTAAAATACTTTTATTTACAGTAGTTCATAACAACCCAACTTATGATGAATGAGAGCTCAAAGAAGATATAGTTTTCAGTCTTCGGTACTACATTTTAACATTGTCGCGACATGGGCATATAATTTTTTTTTTCCTGGCATGGAAAGATTTTAGTAAATAACGATTCTATTTATAAATATCAAATAGTATGGAACACTAATTACGTGTTAACAATTTGAACATTTCTTTCGAGGATTCTTCTAAAAGGATGTTCTTATTAGAAAATGCATTTATTACAATAAGACTTCAGTATACTTAAGTAACAGAATAGCTATTACATGTATATAGTGTTTTTCTTGTAAATCATATGAATTTATTTAGCCCAATATTATAGGAAGCCTATGAACATATTAATTATGTTTATGTGTTCATTTTTAATGGTTATGTTACCGAATTTTATAATTATAATATTAATTATCATATTAACAAGTAATCGAGTATTACAAGGCAAATTGGCTGCGTAGTAGCGACACCCAATTTTTTAATAAATTGAGATATTTAATCACAAAAAGTAGCAATATCGTTTGTAACAAAACTTACATTGAATCAACACGGGAGAAAAACTCAAAATGACATCAAAAGCAAAGTGAATTACCAAAGTTGATTAGGGATTGGCCAAAATATAGCGTATAATACAAAAATACAGATTATTTTTTCACTTTTAAAGTTAAAAATTTAGTCTCTCAAAATATAATTACATCACTGGATTCATAACAAGCTCATAAGAAACCCAGACAAATTTTTCGACGTATGATTTTATTAAATTGATTAATTGTATTACGAGAATTATTCATTTATATACGAGAAGACTCCTTTTCATAATATTCTAATAAAAACATTAGAATCTATAAATTATTTACTGGGGTTGCTACCATGCAGCAGGCCTTCATGCACCAACGTTAGTTGCATTGGTATAAAACCAATGGCTACTTGTGCCTTCGTACATTCGAAAGTGAGTGAATATTAATTATAATGTAAGCATTAGTTACATTAACCAAGAGAACAAAACTAAATCTTTCACTAAGATAAAGGTGCATGGAAAACATGTTTATCTATAAATTATCTTCCTTCGTGCCACAAATCCACGTCGATCAAAGAGAAAACCGATAATTCCATACAGTAGGCTGTGGCTTGATTGTAATGGCATAATAATGAAGGAAATTTTATATGATTCGATCATCAATTAGATCGAAATGTAGCAATTATTAATAATTTATTTTTATTTATAAATAAAAATTGTATAACAATTGATAAAAATGCGTAAAATTGAATTAGGCAATATCCCAGATTAAAAAAGTTGCTTCATTTAAAAACGATGTTCTGCTAAACCTATATTCGTATTAAGCACAGCATTTTGCTGTTTGCAGTTTTTTAGGATGGGCAGTATATATTCCTATCCTAACCTAGCTATACCTATGTGCATTGAGTCGTAGTTGTGATAAAACATAAGGAAGAATTATGGAGTGTGCACTCAGCTTCATATAGATCATAATTATGAGTGACCGATAATATCATAAAGGACACAAATGTATTTTTATGTTTGCTACCAAAATATTGTTTTTATCCATTGGTTACTAAATATGAGTCATTATGAAGGATACCTTTTTACATAATTGCTGACTTTTGATGTTCGAAGTATATTAGATGTTAACATAAATTTTAAACTGCTTCCTACATAATATTCATTTATGAACTAATGAAGTTGACTGTACCTAAAGGGGAAATATTATTGGACGTCACGTATTTAGGAAAATAACTTGCAGTTGATTCCACTCTCGAATCACTAAAACGTTTGTCGTGACAAAACTAAATTGCTTTTATTTTAAATATTTAGAACACAATATGCCACTTATGTGCTGTACTTATTATATATATCGAGATTATCATGATGTTAAAAATTGTCTAACATATGAGTGAGCGTGACAAAATAAAAATATTATTTTGAAAAATTCGAAAATGACTATGCTTAAATTAATACAAATTTGAGACAACTTTTTTATAAATCGTTTCGGCTACATGTTAATGTAGCCTAAAATTCCGTATCTTGGACATAACAGCCCAAGATACAGGCGTACTTACATACACATACACTACAAGTATTTGCTTTTTTAGACAATCCGGTACAAATAGAAATTAACTTCGCTGGAGTGATGATAGCGATGTTTGTAGTGTTAGAAAAATAAGTCACATCAATAGACGCGATTCTAGAAGTTCTGGTCATCTCCTTAGATGATTGTGGCTGGTTTCTCATAATATAGGGGAATCTTGCTTAAAGTTCGAGCAAATGATACGAGTGGTTGGCATATAAATGAAATAAATATAAAATGACTAATAATTAAAATTTATTAATAATAGACCCAATAATGGACACCATAAGTCTGAATATACACAATCGTTTAGATCCTATGTAAATATTTTTAAGTTAAAACTATTATTGGAGTCAAAATGTAAAGATTACCGTTTTGGATTAGAATGCTTATAAAGCATGGTCTGCATTTATAGGTATTGCTCATATTCTTAGCCGAATTTAAATAAATAATGTTATACCTAGTTTCATTTTCAATCTTATATAAAATATATCTATTCATGTAAAATATATTAGGTAGTGATGCATAATTTGTTACAGTAATGTTGTCATATGAGTGCTACTTTTTGTGTAGTTTTTGTGGGCCTAATGTACATATTTGTGACATATTTATATTCACTGCATCTACTACATATCCCTGTGCACCATAAGGCGTTACATTTATGTACGTTTCTTTTGCTACATCTAAAATTGGTACGGAAATATGGCGCCTAGAAGCATAGTTGTTTAAGTTTATAAGATTGTTAAGCCTTTCAAATCACTTATCGTAGCTGTATCTGTCGTGAAACAATAAGTTTACAGTACGTACATATATGATACATGCAATTTATTTGCTCGTATATGTTTCATGTACAGTATAATCTTGTTTATGTAAATTTTAAAACTAATTATCATATATTTCTAAAATAATTGCTATTAGAAAAATCTACAACTAAAAATAATTCTATTTGCTGTATTAAATACTTTGATTACATTTCAAGTTAACATTCTAGTATTGTGCAAATTTTTTGCATTTAAACATCTTATATTAATCATATACTTGTACCTAATCTTAAATTTCCAACTGGTATTGAAATGTAATAATTGTAAACAAATTAATTCAAAATTTTCAGTGACAGCTTAATAAGAATATTACTGCATGATTTATATTTTAGTTTGCTATGCCCATCTTTGTCTCGATGAATCAGTCTATTAAAAATTGTTCGATTATCTTTGGAAATTGATAAATAATTGCGACGTTCTCCCACTTCGGTAAGCTAAGGTATCAACTATAGATTAAGGACTTTCTACAGTATGAACGCTCTTGAAGCGTTCATAGACGGAGCTAACAAAGAAATTTTGTTGACAAGTTAGCAAAGACTCATCTATGCAGTATATAAATAATTCGAGTACAATAATAATTTACTCATTTAGTTTCCAAATACTACAAAGTTGATGATCTATAGCAATAAATTAATCTAGAAATTATTATTTTATTATTCTAAATGCTTACGCAAAATGCGTTGTGTTGTATGTTTATTCCTTCCTTGAATGTTTTAGCTAATTAAATTTATCAATGTGAAATCTTTATGTTTTGTGTACCTATACATAGATATTTGTGCACTGAGATGAACACATTTGCCCTTAAGAATGAATGCTATGTAACTAATAAATTAAGCAATCCTACCTACCATATAATATAAAAAAAATATTAAAAAATATACCATAGTATAAAAAAAGGTATTTAATACTTTTTCTATCATCTTACTGAAAATTGAAGCATAACTAAAATAATTATTTTCCCAATAAATTTAAATTCATAATGTATGTATTGTATTGACATCAGTCATTTTAAGTACCTACCTATTGAGCTGTTTAATAAATTGATTGGAATTATGAACGACTTTTTAATAATAAACCTTTTCATTACCTTGTAAAGGTACATAATAATTACGTCAACCACTATAGACCTATTCCGAAATCTTTGCTACGGATATGATCGTAAACGTGACGTCTTGAGCACCATGTAGGTTTATATATTAAAAGATATTGAGGTATAGAAAGCCTGACCTATTTCAGAAAACCGGCATTTTCAGTAACAACCTATATTGGAATCAGGAAATACCCGGATTTTCGGTACTATCAGTAGTTTTTTAACTACATATAAAATGATATTACAAAATGTATTATAAGAATCATCATCATTTTAGCCGTTATCTGTCCATTGCTGAACATAAGCCTTCCCAATAAGAGGAGTTTTGCCAATAGTTGCCATGCTTGGCAGGCGGGTTTTTTTAATGGATGATAATCGAACGTGTATACCGATAGCGATGAGAGATGATTGGTGAAGGTGAAAAGGCAGGTTAGTTAGCCCATCGTGACGAATTCAACGATAAATTAGTCACGATGGTTTCCAGGGGAAACCGCGTGGAGGTCGACCAGATAAGGTATTTGATAGCAATGGGGACTAACCTCCCCATTATTAACAATCTTTCCCCCCTGGCAGGCAAGTTGGCAACCTTGGCCTTTAGTGATATGTTAAGAGGGACGCTGCTGCCTATTGCTCTTCCATTAAGTCCCTTTAGTCGCCTTTTTCGACACCCACAGGAAATGAAGGGGTGGCCTATTCTATCCCGGGACCACACGGACAACAAACAAGAATATGTATACGTATATTTATTTTTAAACCACATATTTATATAAATAACATATAACTTAGCGATATATCTATGATACAAACAGATTGTTGTCCAATTTAGACACTAGTTGTAAAAATAAGCGGGGCGTTTTCGTAAAATGGTAAAGTGCACTGCCCAGTTTATATGCTCATTCATTATGGAGGACGGGAAATATTATTTCCTGGAACGCCAAAATAAAAGCTCCAGCACTATTGTCTTACGCTGGCGGAATATCAATGATAGATGAAGATGAGGTCAGGTTAGTAGTCCCATCATGACGAATTTGCCTCTTAAATTGATAATATTTAAGAAAGAAATTCTACTTTTTTAACATCAAATTATTTTCATGTTTAAAATTAGTCTCCCGTTTGCGCAGCTATTTAAAACTACACGCTTTATATTTTTGTATTTAGTAAGTAGATATATATAATATATATTTGAATAATTATTAATAGATAGATAGGCTAGGTGTCTAAGATTAAGACTTTTACATTGTCTTTGGATTTTATGAAACAAACTATTATCTATGATGAAATCCAGAAATGACAAGTAGGCAATATGAATTTATAATTAGGACATTATCTAGTTACCTACTCTTGTTTTCATAAATCATTAACTAAGCTTGCTTAGATAAAAAGTTTATAATTTAAAATTGTGATGGATTTTATAGATATTTCAAGCACAATTTTAACAATTTGCGTAATTCTAATAGCGAGTAGTAAAAGATCTGAAAAGGATTTAAAGTTATCATTGAATCCTGTAGAACTTCTAGATCTCATAATAGAAGAACAGATGAAACAGAATACGGCGCCAGCGAAACATCACAAATGTAAACTCAAATTTGATAAACACTTATTAGACACCGAGGAAATGGAAATAACTACAAGTAAGTACCTATGTGTATACATGTTACTATAATATTATGTACTGTTTTAAGTCAGCACAGAACAAAAAAATTAAGGCATTCATTTCATTTGCCTGCTCAGAAAACCTCGAGTCCATTTTTTTAAACTATTTTTCGTAGTTATCCAGATATTCGATTGAATCAATGGAGAATTCGGATTGAAGTCCTCAGTTAACGATTATTGATAACGGAGGCTAATGGCATATTATGTTACAATTATGGAGCTTCATTGCTAGCAATATACACTATCAGCCCTACATTCACGTGCTCCTGCTTGGCAAACATTCTAATTACCTAATATTTAATTAATTTAGCACATTGAAGCGACTAAACTAACCTGTCATCTCTGGAGGGAAGGAATTGTTAGTAATGAGGAGGTTAGTCCTCATTGCTATCAATATACCCTATCAGGTCGACCTCCGCGCGGTTCCCCCTGGAAACTATCGTGACTAATTTATCGTTGAGTTCGTCACGATGGGCTGACTGACATGCCTTTTCATCATCACCTATCACCTCTCGCTGGAACCTTGCCAGTGTATACAGATAGCGCAGGCGGGGTTACCATGTCAATTTCATTCATTAAAAAAATCTGTCATCTCTTACTAGTATCTCGCCAGCGACAACCGATAGCGCCGGTGGGTTTTCCATTCAATTATAATGATAAAAAATAATGTATACCGAGTAATACATACTCCACGGTGGCCATCTAATACTTATCTACATTGATTTATTCCACAATGTCCACAGTTAAAAACTGTCACGATGAAGACGCACTAAAAACTCGAAAAATTTGGAGTCGTTGGAGTAAATGGAGCCATTGCTCAGTATCGTGTGGTGAGGGCACCATATCTCGAATCAAATTATGCGTGGCGGGACGCTGCGCCCCAGGGGAACGCGAAGAGCAACACCGCCCCTGCAACCGAGCCCCATGCGCTGTGTTCGTAAATACCACCCCCGATATTTCTGAAGAATTGCTCGATTTCGAACAATAAAATTATTTTATTTTAGTGTTGAGTACTTAAAATAATTATATAATTCTAATTAAATAATTCAAATTAATAATAATTAATTAAATTAGTAAAAGCAAAAGTATATATGTATGTTTGTTACTCTATCACGCAAAAACTATAGAATAAATTTTAATGAAATTTTACAGTAATATGACCTATACATTAGAATAACACATCAGCTATAATTTATAAAAATATTGTATGAATTGTGTCAAGTAAGTACGAAAAAATTCTGTCATCTGCGTGCTATTCTGGCGTGCGCTACAAAAACCGTTAGAGTTACTTATACGTATATAATGTATGATGGAAATATTAATCTTAAATAGTCCTAGGAAAAGTCCGCGATGCTATCGCGGACTTTATCTATCTCTTATGTGTAAGCTATTATCGCCACAACAGTGAAGCATAAATAAAATAAAAATTGTTACTTTATTTCTAATGCACACTTGGTAGTAACAAATTGTTCCTTATAACAAAATACAGACTTTTATCGCTTCTAGTATTCAAAGTAGATAAACTTTGCCTTTCACACTACATCATTTGGACAAATATTCTAATAGTTACGACGACAACAAACCGAGTTCACGATAGTCTAGTTTGGTCCGGTCTCAAAATAACTGTCTGTCTGTGACACCTTCACGAGTAAACTGTATTTTGATGAATTTTGGTATAAGGACAGATAGGATTTTGGAGAAGAAAATAAGCTACTCGAAGTACTAATCCTGCGCAGACGTAGTAGCGGGCACCAGCTAATAATAATTTATTCATCAAAAGCTAGCACACAAATACAAACAATCTAATAGAAAACACAAACACTCCATATTATAAATGTACTCCACAAACCGTGTTAGAAAACGCGACGCACATATTTCGCCCGAGCCATACTTACTGATAGGATCATACATTACAAAAAAAAGCATAATCCTACAAAATAAAACGAATAAAATAATTTACTTGATGGACATAACCTCCAGCAAGCAATATCTGAAAAAATAAGCAAATAAGAAAATAAAAAAAAAATAGAAAATGGGGCAGTATTTTGTTTGTACACATGCACTTGTCATAATCGTACCGATAAATTATGCATGGCAACAGTTATCAAAATACTTTGATATTTGACAAAATACTTTAGTAAATTCCTGAAAGGCGTGTAATAAAGTATTTATATATAAATAGTGTGATTTGGTGAGAAGCATTTAATTATTAATAAACTTAAATAAATGATTAATTTGAATGTAATTGCGTATAAAGTGTAGTGTGTGAATTTGTAATTGTGTAAGATTTTAATTTAATTGTAAGTAAAACTACATGTTTTTGAAAATAATTTTAAGGGCTTTTACCTTCTTCAAGTACCTATATCTATTTTTAACTGTACTGGATGGTAATGGAATTGTAACCCCACCTGCGCTTACGGGACACCAGTGAGAGATGATAGGTTAAAATGAAAAAGGCAGGTGAGTTAGTCTATCGAATACCTAGACTTGAAATTCAGCACGATGGTTTCCAGGGAGGCCCAGTGGAGGTCGACTTGATAGTAATGGAATGTTTATGTTTAATAATGGGACTGGTAGTCCCCATTACCAACAATCCCTTCCCTCCCCCCCCTCCTCAAGTATATCAGCCGATCGTACCCTAATTTCTCAAATAAAGTTTTATCTACTTTCCCTAGTCACGGAATAAGAGGCATTAATGGATATCAATAATTTACAGAGATGTTCAAACATTTCTGATTTGGGTTCAGCTAATATAGATTGAATAAGACCAATATTTAATTTATTTAGGGTAAAGTGGCGTAGGAATTCTTCTCTTTCCTTCGAGTTTATATGACAAATTATTTAATGTTAAAAAATACGAGACAAATTATTTTTTTAAGAAACACAACTAACGAAATTAAAATAAACTTGTACAAATACAAATGTCTTTATTGAAAATCACAGGTCAAATGAAGGTATTACATCAGTTAAATAGTATCTCCATGTTCTGCTATATAAGCATACAATATATGGAACAATTATAAATAAACGACATGCATTATTTAACAGTATATAAAACATAACATTTAAAATTATATAGTGAAACAAAATAAATTAATATGAGACATTATTTTTTACTAATGATGACTATTTATCTTTATCATTGATATATTCGTTTAGGCTATAATAACATTTATTAATTAACATATCATGAAGGTTCTTTTTAAAAACACTTGCCTCAGTTAAATCTTGTATACGTTTTGGTAATTTATTATAAATTATTACAGCTTTACAAAATATACTGTCTTTCATCAGTTTTGTTTTAGATGGTACCTATACCTAACTATCTATATCTATACACTGGTTAGTTGTTTCTTACAAAACTACGACTAATTTGCCGCTATCCTCCTTACGAAAAAGGATTTTGCCATTTGTAACCCAACAAAGTTTTTTATTTCTCGGCCTTGGCAAATTCACGGGCCACGTAAAATAGTCTGCAACTGGGTAAATAATAATAATTTCGATGGTAGTCGCAAACATAAAATTCTGAAATCTGAACATCCATAGGTAGGTATATCTGATAACTTAGCATCGGTTTTTTCTCTCCAGGAAGTAGGGATGCTTATAAAGATATAATTTAGACTTTTCGGATGAACAGCAATCGCGTCATTTCATTTCACATCATTGATCAGAGCAAAAGGAAATGTTATTGTCAATTGAACGCTCAATCTTTTTGTGATCGTTTAAATCTGGAGAGGAGCCGTAAAATATTTTATTTATTGAAATCAATGTATATGATTCTATGCGTAGACTTAAATGAATCGTCTGCGCACCGGATACTTGACTCGGGCAGTAGAATAAGATGCGCCCGTAGGCACGTTGAACTTAGGTAGTAGATTAGCTCCGCCTCTTAATTTATGCACCGATATGCAATTGTCCAATTGCAAGTTATAGATTGTTGCAGTGAACATGTTTATTAATTAGATTGTAAAAAATATAATTGTTTCGCTCGCACAAAGAGATGTCCTTGTCACACTTGCGACTGAGCCTCCTTATTGTTTCTATATTCCTGGTACTGCAACCACTATTTTTCGGGCGAATTTAATATACTTGTTTCACTCACACATAAGGCTGTCCTTGTCGCACATGGGACAATATATCTTACTGTTTTTGTATTCCTGGTACTGCAACCACTATTTAGATGAAATAATTTTTTTTTTAAGATTATTACGGCTTCGGATGTTTCCTTTTTTGCCTATCTTTATAGTATCTATTACCCGTTCTGCTTGAAAAATTTATATAATTAGCTGACCCCGTAAACGTTGTTTTACCACTTATTGCGAAATATAAAAATCGCGATAAAAAAACAGGGATTGATCGTAAAACGATGAAAATTTAAAGTTGTGTGTATTTTTAATGCTTAATCTTTTAATATAATAAAATAAAAATAGAAAAATTTGTTAAAAAAATAAAAAAAAAATTTTGGGGAGGGTCACCCTTATCGTTGAGGGGTATGAAAAATAGATGTTGGCCGATTCTCAGAACTACCCAATATGCACACAAAATTTCATAAATATCGGTAAAGCCTTTTCGGAGGAGTTTGGTAACAAACACCGTGACACGAGAATTTTATATATAAGATAATTACAGTGTGTTTAATAGTGTGGATTTAAATCATACAAAGAGATGTCCTTGTCACACTTGCGTCTATCCTGGGGGAAAACGTTTTTAATAATGGGGACTAGCAGTCTCATTGTTAACAATATACACTATCAGGTCGACTTTTATGTGATTCTCCCCGGAAATCATCGTGATTAATTCCCAATAACCTAGCCTGACCTGACCTCATCATTCATTGGTGTCCCAACAGCGTTACCAGGAGGGAAAGGATTATCAGTAATGGGGACTAATGGTCCCATTACTAGCAAGCCCTGTCAGGTCGACATCGACCCGGTTGCCCCTGGAAACCATTGTAACTAATACTTGTTGCATTCGTCACGATGAGCTAACAAACCTGCTTTCATGCTGATCTATTATCCCTCATTGGTGCCCCGCTAGTGTATACCGACAGCGCAGAGGGGGTAAATATTCCATTATCATTCATTAAAAAAACAGCGTTACCAGGGGGGGAGAAGGGATTGTTAATTATGCGGACCAATCCCATTGCTAACTGACCTGCCCTTTCATACTCACCTATCACCCCTCACTAGTGCCCCGCCAGTGAATAACATTAGCACAGGCGAAGTTACCATTCCATTACCATCCAGTGAAAAACAAAACACTCTAGTCCTCACGAATGGCAAGGCATGAAGGAATACCATTTCGTTATCATCCATTAAAAAAAAGACAGCGTTACCTTCCCATTTTCATACATCCATAATAAAATCTCAACACCCAATTTAGGGGGGAAAGGGATTGTTAGCAATGGGATCAAATAACCCCATTACTAGCAATATACTCTGTCAGGTCGACCTCCACGTGGTTCCCTCTGGAAACCATCGTAGCTAATTCTAGTTCAATTCATCAGGATGGGCTAACTGACTTGCTTTCATCCTCATCAGTCATCTATCACTGGTGCCCCGCCAGTATATACCGATAGCGCAGATGGGGTTACCATACCATTATCACCCATTAAAAAAACTACCAATTTAGAGTATGTAGTTCATTGTTTTTTATTTATTTTGACCCAACAAAAATTAACCTGAGACTGTATTTATGTATAGCAACATGCCAATCACTGTACCAAGCCCCTTGCAATACTGGAGATCTTTATACTAATTCAGTGAAGACGATTATCCCATTGTATTTGGTACTACGAATTGTTTTCAACGAACACTAACATTTCCAGTGAGCTTACACCTTTTGAAGGTAAACAGATTTTTTTCACTGAAATGTTATTGTTTCGACTGATTGTGTTTGTGTATCGGCATCGGTGACATTGTATGAGTGTACGAGTTACGGATAGTCCAGAAATGGAAATTATCAAAGTGACAGTTTTTGCAATAGTTGCCGATATATGTTGCCTTTCATTTGCTGAGTGTGATTGTATGCGTCTTGTATATCTATTTAAAATTTTTGTCTAGTCTATTGCTTTATGAAATCATATTACTTATATTTTCAGCCATAAAAGAATCGGATAATTCTAAGAATATTGGACAATCTATTATTAAAGATGAGAAAACTTTGCCGACGAATGGAACAGAAACAGGAGTGATTGATGCAAATATATTAAATTCTCTATGGAGTAATCGTTTACCTTTTCAAGTAAGTAATATGTGTCTTATGTCCTGCAGTGGACGGATAATGGCTGAAATGAAAGTTTCCAAAACAGTGACTATGTGTACAGTGTAACTATAAACTAGTGAACTATCTATTTATCTCTCTATCTATCTATCGCTCTTGTCGGTGGAGCTCTTGCCACTCACTACATTACTTACTTTATAGCTAGTTATTATATAAAATGAAAATTTTAATTAATCATTCTTTATATCCATTCAAATACGATAGATGTTTTGAACTGTAAAGAAGTCACAAATTGACATAATACAAATATGCATCTAGCTACCTAGGTACCTCTTTTTTAATATAATTAATTTTTCTTATAATTCATTTTCGCTTTTGCGGCTTTCACCTATTAAAAATGAGACTTGTTTCAGCAACAACAATATGTGCACGATTTCAGTGCAAACCACGTAAAAATACCACCACGCCTAACGCGACTGACGAAGGCACTCTTGGGTGACTTTGATCCTTTTTTTCAAAAGGTACTTCTATTCATTTACTTTATCCTATTCTTACTTCTTCGTACAGTAAGTTATTTATTTTTCCTTTTTTTTTATATCAGAGTTATTTCGAGCCTTTTGAAAATAGACCGAAACCAGTGACTTTGGTAGCATTCAGGAAAAATGGTTTACTCTCACGAAGGAGCATAAAGGTGAGTGCAAATATATGTACATACATATATCTATCACGCCTATCTCCCATATATATATAAGTAGAAGCGATGGAACGCCAAATGCTTCAATTCAAATAAGCCTCCTTCACTTACTCCACATTAATTAATCTATTCATATACGCTCGCTGGTTATGGGTACTTTTAATTTGGTCCTTTTTCAGCACGTGCCCAATTGATAGACATAGGTCCGTCTAGGGCGACCAAAGGTGAGAGTTATAAAGAAAATTCTTGACCAATCGTAACTAATTTAAATACATGAGAGAGTTGCAGTTACTTTTTATACCTAATAGTAACGTAGATAAAGCCTTAATTATTTTTCTATATTTTTTATGGAAAATTGTAACTTTTGCCTATTAACATGAGCATATTTGTATTTATACTATATCAAAATACCTATCTAGTTTAGGAATAATATTTCTTTCGTGAAATTATAAAAAAAAAAACACGTATGTTACAAGAGGTAGTGGTTAGTGAAAATGAATCTTATCTACTTGTACAAATATCATTTTGTTTTATGTAGGTAGATATTTATTTATCTATTTTGTTACCTTCGCCATAGACAAAAATACGTATTATTTATTGTAGTAAATACTTTCTCTATAACTTGACTGCACGAGTTCGGCTCGCACTTGACTACGAGTAATTATCATTAGTATTTAGGTATTTTGTTTTATCCATACGAAGGTGGTTGACAGTAAATCATCAGAAGTTGCAGAGCTCCAATCTCCATACAATGACGTAAGCAGCTTCTGGCTCGACGAACCTGGCCAATCTTAAATTTCAAAAAGTGTACTAGATACTTAAATATTTTTTTCTGTATTAGTTATGTTACATACAATAATCATTTCTAAGAAATAAAGTTATTTTCAAATGTCTTTATTTATATTTCTTGTTGCCACGTTGTAAATCCTCAATAGAATTGTTAATCAACAGACTTCAATAAAGGAGGAGATTATATTCAAATTGGTTATATTTTTTTTATATGTTTGTTATCTCATAACCGTGTCATTTATAAAATTCTTTTTCATCTGAAGGACTTAAATACTTTGTGGTTGGTCCCATATAAATATTATAAGCGATTTTTATAATAGTAGTACTCAGTAGTTCTTAAATTAGTATGACTGAATGTTTTTTTTTTTATAGATAAAAGCTAATACATATTTTTTTAATCAAAACAATACGTGTTTTTTTTTCAGTGTCGCAAATAATTAGGTACATTTAAAACTTCCCAGATTATGTCAATTATTAGAATTGAGAATTTTTTTTTTAAATATAATCTTATAATATAATTTCTTCTATATATTGAGTATAAAACGTACATTATGGTAACCCTATTTACGCACACATGAATAAAAACAAGTTGACGTGTATTTGGCAAAGCATTTATATGGAAAGACTATCTATATATAGATAATCTAAGAGAATAGTGTAGGTATAATAAGAAGAAAACACGTAATAAAGGTAATCATAATTAACTGACAAGGAAACATAATGTAGAAAATTTAAAAGTAGAATATTTGGAATTAATTGAACTAATTTTTATAATAAAGACCAGTCCCGTACAATTTGGATTTCTCTATTGGTAATAAAGGTATTCGGGAACGTAAATATTTTTGTATAAGAATACGCAAAAATACAGGTACTGTTACCTATTGGATTAAAGGGATTATTAGTAATGCGGACTACCAGTCTCATTGCTAGCACTATACCCTATCTTGTCGACCTTCACGTGGTAAATCGTGCTGGTTTCCTGGTATATTCATTACGATGGACTAATTGAACTGCCTTTTCATCTCATCTGTCATCCCTCACTGGCGCCGCGCTTGTGTATACCGTTGGCGCAGGCGGGGTTACCATTTCATTGTCATCCATTAAAAATCACCCCTCACTAGTTCGCCAGCATATGCCAACAGCGACCGGGTTCACCGTTTCGTTTTCACCCATTTTTTTTTATTGGATGTAAATGGAGTGGTAACCCCGCCTGCGCTAATGGGATACGCTGACGGGGCACCAGTAAAGGGTGATCGATGAGGATGAAAACAGGCCAGTTAGCCCATCATGATTAATTCATCAGGAATTAATCATGATAGTTTCCAGGGGGAACCACGAGGAGGTCGACCTGGTTAAGTATATTGCTAGAAATGGGAGTCTCCATTACTAACAATCCCTTCCCCCCCCCCGTTTTCACCCATTAAAATCTTATTATTACTTATTCTACACAAATGTGCTATCGTTGGATCGAGCAATAAAATATGAGAATGTAATAAATATAAAACTGGTAATGCACTGCAATGTTGCAATTTCAGTTATACTTTGAATTATTTCTACTTGTATTATATTGTCACAACAATGTTAGCTGTGCTGCCTATTCGGCAGAAGATTCAGATGAAGACTTAAAACAAGCGTTATTACTAGTGGAAATACTTAAATCAGGTGGGTAATCTTAACAAACATTTTTCAGAAATAATAATAATAATAATATAGAATTTTCTTATATAATCGTAATTGTTATTATTCTTTTTTTTTATATTACTTTGGTAGCAAACAAGCATATGACGCGCCTAATGGTAAACGGGGTTATTGTTGCCTATGGATGCCTGTAACACCAGGCTGTCAAGCGTGCGTTGGTGACCTTTAAGATACCTTAATATGTCCTTTTTGAAGAACTCCATGTCTCGGAAAGTCTCGGTAGGAAGATCATTTCACAACCTAAGTGTTCACAGAAGGGAGCTCCTTTGAAACCACACTGTGCATGAGCGTTCTGGTTTTAAGGTGTGAGGATGGATTCCCTGTCGATGGCGAGCGATGCGATGGTGATAGGTGGCTATTGTAATAAATAGTAAACAATCTGTAACTATACATTCGCATGGTTACTTCCGTCTTACTTGCTTTTTCAATCGACTTCAAAACAGGAGAAAACTCAAATCTGTAAAAGTTTTTTCGGTACCTATTAATTCCGTCAAATATAAAGCGATTTGGAAAATTCGTTTCTATCTGACAGATTATACTCTTAGAAATATTATCAAAATCGAATTAGCAGTTTTAAGTTTACATACATTTTTTGCATTTTTTAATATCTCTGTTGTATATATATCCGTATATATATAAAACTGTTGAGGTTCTCGACAAATAATTCACGACAACTTTCAAAATCCTGCAGAAGATTTTTTAAAAAATGACGATTTAAAATGCTTGTAAACAAGTCTATTTGTATAGTACGTTATACTAAGTCTATGATTTGTATAAAGATGATTTGAATTTTGAATTTTCTGTGACATTCATTGTACTGTTTATGTCTATAGGCCATAGTTCCCATTTCCTATCAGGTGGGTCAAATTGACTGACACACCAAGTTGGTTCCATAAGTGCACTAGTCCTAATTATCGCCGGATATTGATCATCGATGATGATATTTTAGTACAATATAATAAATTATTTTTCTAAGAGTACGGAAAGTTGTTACGTGAAAAAAACGAGGCTGATAAGAACACTGAAAATGTAGATGGTTTAACATGTGCTACTACCAATGAAGCAAGGACGGACGCTACTGTACCGCGGTTAATGCAGTGGACAGGTGATGGCAGTATTGGTAAAGTATTTAATATTTTTTATTATTTAAACCAAAACAAGCAGTATGTATCGTGCGGAAGCCGAACCTGCCACCATTGGAAGGTAAAGCGGTGTGTTAAATCATTAGACCGTCAAGGTCGTCAAATACAACACAGCAACATATTAAAACAAAAAAATATTAATTTTTAATTTGATCTCTAACTATTACTAACTGGCTTGTTAGTAATGGGAAGTCGATGGGTTAACTGACATGCCTTTTCATTCTCACCTATCATCCCTCAATGATGCCCAGCCAGCGTATACCGTTAGCGCAAGCGAGGTTACCATTCCATTACCATCTGGTGAAATAAAAACATCTTAGTTCTCAAGAATGGCAATGCATGAAGGGTATCATTGGCGCCACAGTATACTCTTTACATCATTGTACATGTCTATAGACGACAGTTACCACTTTACATCAGGTGAACCGTTTTAAGTGTTGTCGTTCTAAATTGTATAAAAGAAATTGTCCCTCACTTTTTCGCAGGTGTGACAGAGGAAAAATTGTGGCCGACAAACGCAAATTTGGAAATGTCTACATCAATGCCCGGGACTACATCCACTCCATTTTCAATGCTTACACATGGACCGCTATTGCCTTATAACCCTAACTTCCGGAGACGGATCAGTAAGAATCTTTGAATACCTATCATACCCATAATAGGCACTCACAAATATATTAAATCCCTCTAGAAACTAAGTACCAAGCTCGCCACTTGTACAAAGGGAGACTTTGTACAAAAGTCGATTGCTTGGGTACCTCTGTCCCATTCATGTTTCTACCGTGAAGCAGTTGTGTTTGCATGGCTGTGTTTCGGTTTGAAGGGTGGGATATGGCATGAATTTACAGGGTACAGAGGAATAACATCTGAGTCCTCAGGAATGGCAACGCAAGGGGGGTATCATGGGCGAAACAGTATACTCTGTTATGTCTATGGTACTGCTCATGTCTATAGGCAACGGTTATTACTTTCCATCAGGTGAGCTGTCAGCTTGTTTGCCATTCTAAGTTGTATAAAAAAAAAAGTTTTATTGTGCAATAAACAATAAATAAAGTAAATAACCCATCATGGTTAATTCTTAATGAGTTCATGGCGCAACTGTCTTGCTTACATCCTCAATTATCATCTCTCACTGGTACTCCGCCAGCGTATATGAAGTTACACTATTTCTTACATTATTGGCCATTAAAAAATCATATACCTACATTTTAAACAGCAGTTAAATAACGAGAGGCAATTTTGTTGCTGTGCTAAAAGGAATATTTTTGAAACACCTAGATATTGTCGGTGGCAGGCTTTAGGGGTTTAAAAATGGAGACAATGTAACAGGCACTTTTATATGTTCCCCCCACACTGGTGTCGCAAGTGTCTTATATGCTTCAGTAACCGCACTTTATTACTTTATGTTGTACTCTAGCAGGTACTATATGAGACCAGTATGTAACGAAATGGATATAGTTAGAAACTAAACAACTGTTCCATCGGAGTGGGATCGATATATGAAAATATATTATGAATATTTCATATCCACTATTCTAAATTGATCACGTGAACGCCCCTCTCATCGCACATTCATCATCATTATGGTTTGTATACTTGTCATGTCTTGTAATTATTGACCTAATTATAAAATAGAAAGGCTGCGTCGATAATTTATCGTATCACGCAAGGACATGAAGATATACAATTATGCGATTAGTTTTTTATGAGGTTAACTGCCGCACTAAGAGTAAATTAACATTTAGTAATTCTTTAGAATAGATTGGAATGTTCGAGTCAGTAACCGATTTATTAAGACTTGTTATTGGCAATTACCAATTTCATTAATACGTCCACAATTTTAATTGTCCTTAAATACTATCTTATTATTGTTAATTTAACAAACTTCTCTAAATGTGGCAGTTACAATGAAAAACAAGCCGACGACTCACCTGAAAGGTCTAATCATCGCCTATAGACATGAAACAGCATCACGCGCATCACAGAATAAAAACACCGTAACACCCATCGTTCGTACCACTCTTACTGTGGTGTATTATTGACGGAAATTAAAAGCGACTTCATACTTGCAATTCTTTTTGTTTTGACTTTTTTAATTAAACTAAAATCAACATAGTATTCTATTTTTGATCTCTTTAATTCTTCTATCTACTGGAAAATATAAAAACATTGTGAAGGAACCATAAAAAGACAATTTTTCAAGCAAATATATTTTTTTTTAATAGAAGATAATTATCTAATATTATATAAATTTAAATAAAATACATATATAATAATTATGTAAATAAAATTATTAATATTTACAAATAGAGAAGCTCAGAGCGACCCCTTTTAGAAATAAATATGTGGTACCTACTAGTAGAATAATGAGTAAATTTTATAGGTACAAATGCGACATGTTTATGAGATAATCAATATACCTGAGCGTTTACGTATTCATTTTGTGCAAAGGTGGTAATATATAGATGTATATATACCTACCTATTCAATACTATTGAATATTATTGAAACAAACGCTAATTTGGTTTGTATCGATGTATTTTTTACAGATCTCCCATTGGGAAAGCATGGTAAGTTTAATTTTGTTCCTACTATACTTACTCATTACCCATGCTAACAATTATTTTAAGTTCATTAAGGTTTCTATTTATTGCTTTGCGATTACTACTACACTACGTTCATTCATCTAGTTAGCAACTTTTAAAATTGCGACGCAATTTTATATTTGAGTAGGTAGTAGTAACTTGTAACTAAGAGTAAAGTTTAAATATTTGATATCTTATTTCCATCTCATATTTTCGCCTAAATGCTAACTCCTAACATTAATAATAAGTATTGTATTGTAAAATCTTTATTGTACATAATTTACGATGGACACATTAAAAGATTTAATATACGATGGCGGGCTTATCCCATAGAGGGATCTCTTACAGGCAATCTTTGAGAAGCTGAAAGAAAACTATAGAATGTTCAAGGGTAAAAACCGTATAGCTAAAATTTTATATATTATATATAATACAATAAAATGTACATCATACATGTAATATACATGTACATATTAAAATAATAGTAATATATACATAAATAATATCCGATTCGTAGATACGTATTGGAAAAATGAATTGCCATTAAATTACAGAAGAATGCCGAAACAGAAAGGTATGTTAATGTGCATCTATTATTTTACAATCATAATTATTTCTAATTAAATTGTAGTTAATACATATTTATTGTTTATATTTTCCTTTGTATATTTACAGACAGACGACAGTTAAGATTTGATTACGAGGACCCATTTGGTGGGCATCCAGAACAGACAGGTATAATTTTGTAAACGAAACAGATTATGTATTGATCTTATAAGTATAAAGAACATAGGTCTGAGTATAAAAATAATTTCTGGATGTAGTGACTATTCATATAAAAGCAATTTGTTTGGCTAGTTCTTTTGACACCGTTCAACTGTCTAAACTAATATAAAGTATACAGTATCTTAAAAGCCACCTTCCCAGTATGCACTAAAACAATAAACTATAAAAGGACTCTTCTCTGTAACCACGCTAGGATCTGAGGTATAAATATTTACTTTGTAGGCCGCGCACCCAAGTGCGCGCTGCACTATCAATATAAGTATTTGTAGCAGGCGACGGCATGTTGCAATATTGTAAGTAATTAATCAATGAAGCGTATGTAGCTATGACGTATGCAGGTGCATAGTGCCTTCTTACTCTTGTAAAGGTGGCAGTAAGAAATATCGGCCAATTAGCAACAAGTAGGTGTTTAGCCATTTGTAACGTAAACAGATAATATTATGTTTATCTCACTCACAGCGGAAGTGTGTGCTTTTCTAATTGTTGAATGAAATGCCTAGCACTTTCTGTTATCCTAGTAGCTGCAACTCGCACTCAAGAATTTAATTATTTGAAGAATTTGAATTATTTTAAGAATTTCAATTATTTTAACATATTTCAAATACTCAATCATGACTTAACGCGATATAAAAGCCTTTATAGGTTCGAGTCCCGATTGTGTATATAAAATATGTGAAAACACCGCGAAAGTTTAAAATAAATGTTTTATAGATACTTTTGTAATATCCATATTGAATATGGTCCAAGGAGGAAATAAGATTGATTATTAATAATGGAACCTAATGCCCTTTGCTAGCAATATACGGTCAGGTTGTCCTCCACGCGGTCCCCTTGGAAACCGTCGTGGTTAATTAATTATTGTTGAACGATGAACCAAATGACCAGACTTCATTCTTATTTATTGTCCATTCATTGGTGCCACGCCAGTATACACACAGTATTAGGGATAAGGAATTGTTAGTAATGGTGTTTAACAGGTCTATTGTTAGTAATTAACATAACCTATTAGATCGTCCTCCACACGTCCGTATTGCACAGGATTCAAACGGGATAGTCATTAGTAATAGGGCCTGACAGCCCTATTACTAGCAATATACTCTATCAGGTCGACCTCCACGCTGTCATGTTCCCTCTAGACATATACCCCTAGTATCCAAGTTAATTCTTGTTGAATTGGTTCCGATGGAGGAACTGACTCGCATTCTATCGTCTCTCACTAGTGCCCCGCTAACATATATATCAACATCGCAATCGGGGTTACCGTTCTATTTTTACCCATTAAAATTAATAAAAAAAAAAAAATACAATACTCAGCAACGACAATGCAACATTATTATCTAGCAGGCGTTTGCTTGGGTACCTCTGTCCCATTCGTGTTTCAACCGTGTAGCAATTTGTTCATTCACTGTATAGGTTTCAAATTTAAAAACTACTATTTAATGCAAATTAGTATTGTATTAATAAACTAAACTTATTAGGAGTTTATTCAAACCGTGTAATTTTTCTTATTTAGAGAATTTTTATACCCCTCATAGTTTCTAAACAGTGTGATTTGAATACTAATAGTGGAAATTACACGTACATAATCAGCCTTAACATGTTAAACCGTTTAAATGGATAAGAATTAATATCATGATACAAATATACAACCACTACTATTCAATTCCACCCGTACTTGAAAACAAAAACTGTTATTGTGGATTGACTATTATTTTTTGTGAGTAATAATGAGTGCTATTCATACTATTTTATATATCGTTAATAGTTTTCGCAGCGCACGCAAAATAAATAACTTTTATAGGTAATATTTTGATACCTTGGGTTACACTGCTCCAATTTAGGTAGGTCAAATTTTTTTTTTTAAATAAATCCCATGTTACTCGGTGAAGATGTAGCTTTCTAGCAGTCAAAGAATTTTTCAAAATCGGTCTAGCGTTTTAGTTAAATCATAAACAAAAATATCAAATCTTTCCACTATATAATATTAGTTTAGATAATGGTGAAATATTAGAGATAATGATATTTATTCTTGTTTTTATTGTTATCGTAGCGAAACCGGCTACGTACCAGGATGTATGGACAACAGTCTCAACTATTGTGGAGTCATCGACGACTTCAATTAATCCAAAACGTCCAACAACTTTAAGTACAACTACTGAGATTAACTTACCAGAAACGAATCCATCTACACAAGACATTGTAACAGTTTCAACCTCAAGATACATTAATAATACTATTAAAAAAATGACATGTAAGTTCATTACTTGTTTACAGGGTTTCAACAAATCTTTTTCAACAAACTTAAAAAAAGTCAAGTTCTCATTTAGTTTATTTTTTTTTTTTTTTTGTTTATTTATAAATGATGGAGTTTTGAGGAAGAACAGAACAAGAGATTTGAATTATTTTTTTTTTACTGAAAGGATATACAGATTGGCCACCATACAATTTTTATCAAAATCGGTCCAGTACATTAATTTTTTGACCAAATTAACTGGTTTTGTCTCAATAGAAGTCGGTTTTCACATCTACTTGTTATAAATAATACCTAAAACTATACGTATGGTGCAAATCTCACATAATATATATGTATTTTAGCATTATCCACTCCGTATAAAGTGAAGTTAAGAATTACAAAAACAACGAAAGAATTTAATACAGAAAAAAGTATCTTTAAAAATCCAATTATAGATCAAGTAGCTGCAGAGTTAATCAGTGAATTAAAAGGAGACCAACTATTATTTACTTCTAAGACGAAAGGGAAAAATACAAGGAAAACAAGAAAGCCTTTATATTTACTAAAAAACAAAGAAATATATGAGGAACGGCCCTCCACCTACCGACAAAAGACTACACTAAAAGTGCACTTGGCTGGCAGTTCTAGATATCCTATACCATTTCCTGATAATCACGCTTTTTGTCATACTAATCCATACAATCCGCTCTGTAGAACTTTCATATAAGTTTTAGTTCTTAGATAATTGTCATAATCAGAGGCTGATTATCCCCCTAAGACAAACTAGGCACGTGCCTAGGGGCGCGAGATTGCGCGCATAGAATTTTTAAACAAAAAAATATATTTAATTGTCACTAAGTACTTATGCATGTTTACACAATAAGATACAACTTATCCAAACATTGGCATAGTCTTATGAATGTGTGTGTATCAAAGGCAGTCAGCAATTGCATCGCTCAACCATGACAGATAAGAGATTAAATTCGTTAGCAATAATTAACATTTAATCAAACTTCGATCAATCAATACTAAAACTATTACGATGTTATTGACAATTTCGCAATGCAACAATGAAGATACATTTTATTTTTGGATAATTGAATGTTAATCACACTTGTATCAATTTTAAAATAAACGATTCATAACTTTAGTCATCAACGACTGCGCTCTGGACGTTTAATCCGCCTCTGATTATAATACTGATTTTTGATTAGACTAAACAATGTACAACATGATAATACCTATATATTTAATAAAATAATCAACGATCCTCCCTCTACGGTATCGTACATATGCATATTTACCAATGAACTTGATTTCAAAATATGTATCTACTTACGCATTAAAGCCTAAGGTCTCGCCGGTGAATTTTGTAGATAATTGAAACTTCGTTTAAATAAACGTACGATAACATAATGCACCTAAGTGGCCTGCTCTGTTAGTAAGGATTGCGAGGTCGCAACCCTAACTTGGGATTTTTTATAGGTGTTCAGCTGGGATTTAATCTACTCTAAAGCTATTTCAAGTCAGCTAATACTACTGAATAGTAAATAATACCTACTACTTCTACTTGAAAATATTTTAATGTGTAATCCTGCATTTAAGAATTCTAAATAATTAGAGGTTGAAAAAATACAAATTAATTTTAATAGTAGAAAATTTACAGACATTTCATTCATTTATAGCAGAAAGATGTGGAATCGAATCCCATCAGATAAGTTTCAGTTTGTAACTATTGTATTGTACAGTCTTCAGTAATTTTTTTGCCAACAGGGATAGTGTAATAAGAAAGTGTTAACTACAGCCGATTCTTAAAAAAAAAAGGTTATAATGAGCTATAGTTGTTTAGCGTAGACAGTACAGTATAGTACAGAGCGTAATTTGTACGCCCTTTCAGATATATCCAGATTTACAACATTTTGCGTTGTAAATATCTGGAAATATCAGTACCTTTGAAATAGTTGTAATTTATAATGAATTGAAATATAGTTAATAGCGAGATTGTAATAATTAAGATTTGGACATCAGTGCTAATACTCATAAGATGTGAACTATTTATGAGGAAAGGTGACTAATAGGAATGGGAATTGTAATTGAGGATATATAATTTAAAAACAATTAAATTTTCTCACTTTTATTACGTTAAGAAACCTAATTTTGACAATTTTCCATTACGATGTTTTAAAATAGCATCCTTATACTATATTGAATATTTTAAATTCAGTTCCCAAAAACATGCACAAAGATAATTATCATATTCATTTAGTAATATTGAGGTAGTTATTAGTTTCAAAACTTATACCAATTATAAATGGTTCTCTAAAAATAACAGTAAAATTCAAAGTAAAATTTTGGTGGAATATGTATGTTAAAAACATCCAGTATGAACAGTTACTTGCAAAAAAAAACCGAAAATCAATTGTACATTGGACCTTAATAAGTTTGAGAAGTAACAATAATAGCTTCTCGATATCTAAATGCGAGTGTCGCGTGAGGTGAATCCGACCCGGCGCGTACGTGTGTATGTGTGCGTCGTGCACATGCGTAGGCTGCCCCTTAAAATCTATTATCACAGGGCGCGACGCGACGTGCGGGCCTACACAAACACCGAGCCGGTTCACCTCGTATCGGCGACACTGCCTTCGTCCGCTACGTGCCTCTGCACTCTTACAAGTTCCAGTAACGTACATAAATACATACGTACATTAAACACTATTTAACTGCAAGAAACTTTAATTATATTGAAGGGTGTAACGTACGAACAACAGAATAAGTGCTCCATTTCCCCACTAAATAAAAGTTTAACAATAAATTGAAATTAATTCAAATAAAAAATACATAGGTATCATGGTCTGATAAAAATAACTTCAATAATGAATTATCTAATTTGTAAATAAATCGGTCACATTAGATTTCTACTACCTATTTTCAAATACAATCATGCACAAAATAAATGAAATAAAATTCGGTCGTTCACACGTCTAATACACAAAAGTGGTTACACACATGAGAAAGTAATATTATAATGTAAATAACAGTAGATCGTCAAACAAGAATGATAAAGTATATTATTAGCGAGAATGACATGTAAGTAATGGGCGCGGGGGCGCGACGGCAGGGGTGTAGTTCAGTCTCGTGGCCGCGCGCCGCCCGCGCCTACCCTCAACTTAACACTACTTCACAACGATACAATTAATCAACTAAAACTATTTCTGCATCCTAAACACGTTCCAAATCAATGTACCTCTCTTGCTTATATTTGGGAGGAATAAACAACATGCTTTATATGTACATCTCTGTGGTAGTGAAAGTAACTGTTTATCATACTCCATTAGATTGCCGATGCAAGCGGAATCTGCCGGTCGCGGTGCAGCGCAACAGGCGGCGACGGCTACGTCCGCCAATGACATCGCTCGCCACCGCACTGCTGCACTTCACACACGACGATACTACTTCTTGTCCAGCATAATATTGAATATTTATTATCGCGTGAAAATGTTACACCAACATGAATTCATATATATATATTCAACACACAAATTCAAACGTTAAATATGTAAGTATATACGGTAAAACCTCAATAATTTAAATACACGGTAACATAAAACCTCAAATTATTACTAGTACCTAGTACTTTACGTTTCGATTGCAAGAGCTCTAGGAAAATTAACAATTATCGGAGAATAAATAATATAGTAGTTAGCAAAATTGGTTATCTGCCCGTCTGTTTAAAAAATATTCCGTGTAATTTAAGCACGGTTTTGTATTCACGGTCAGAGTCACAATCTACAATTTAGTTTAGCAATAGGAAAGAGCAAAGATTAATATTTATAAACATGCCATTTTTATGACTTGCCAAACTGTTATTAAATCTTCAAAAACATGTAAACGAAACTGTTGTAAAGTAAAAATGTGGATGTATAACATTTTATAGGTTTAGTCTGGTTTAAACACTTAATACTACGTACACTTATGTACTTTTTATAACTGGAACTTTATTATAGTTTTTCTTGAACTTAAACTTTTAGAGGTTCTACTGTATCATAATTTATCGATACATATTACCTTAAACAGAGACAAATTGTTCGTAATATACAAATAACTGCTAACATCGTGATTGCAAATTATTCTTCATCGTTTTTTTAGGTCATAAGACCATTAAAGATAATTACAAGTCCTTATCACATAATAACATTAAAATACATTGTCCAAATTATATTTGAATATACATTATGATATCTGACTCTAAATTTCAGCACTCTTAGGTGTTATTTATTAAAGTATGGAATGTTACATTATAAGTGTCAACAGACTTAGAGTCAAATATCTTGTAAAACATTTTCAATATGGTGCGGCTTGAGCAGCGAGCTCATAATAGAACCGCCCACCAGGTGTAAGGGGGTTCCATGAACTCGCTGTACTTCCGAGATGATACTTTTTGATATTATTATCACTACAGATAATTACAAACAAATATATTTTTTCTTTCGTTATCTTAAGTTGGTCAATGCAATATATTGCGGTTATGTTATTAGTGTTCCAACTATTGTCAGTAGTTGCTCGTTATAAGTTAGTTCAACTACGTGGTAGTAAATTGAAATGCCACCGGGCGTCAGTCTTGTAAGGACTAAAAGACTGCAAACTGCAATAGATGCGGTGTTTCATTGCCAGCCAAGTATAATTTGTAAAATTCCAACAATTACACTGCTCAGATATCATTCAATGCATTTATTTTGAGGCACTCTAACACACTATATTAAGTGACGGAGTGTATTAGTTATTAACGCACATACATGGTGTCATATCGGCAGGAGCGAGAATAGACACAGCAATTTTATAGTTTGGCACAATATAGTATGAAATCATGTCTTAATTACACTTAACAGCGTAATTAATTTATATTCTAGGTGTCGCTAATTTCATACAGTAGTGAAAAATCTAATCATTTCATTTTACAAATTGATTATAAAGATTTTTTAGGTTAAAATTAATTTCAAACGCATGAAAATTATTTCACATATATATAATTCATAGTTTATTTATTAAATATACTATACTATATATACAACAGTTATATTTGCCAAATATAATAAAAATTTGTGCATATTCTGAGGTAGTCGCCTATTTCATAGCGTTATAGATTATATGACATCACCGACTTAAAATAGTGTGTTTTCGATAATGATAAGGAGTTCATCATATGGACGTGTAATAATGTCCGAATTCTGAACAGCATAGCGAATAATGGATTTGAAAGCCAATAACCGCATATTACGCATATATATCGAAAGCTAATATAAAACTTTCCGTAGCGTGTTTGGAAACAGCACTATTTTTATATTAAAACCATAACATTTATACATTTAAAATATGCAAGTATATATTATAGTAAAACGGTCAATGAAATATTGTTATTAATATATCGAACATATAACGAAGTCATATTTTTGGGTCATAAATAGCACATTAACTTGGCTTTCAATAGTAAAACGGTACAATCTCGGTAAGTTTTTTTTTTTTCTAATTGGAACCTATCCTATTATTTTAATCAATTTTTTACGGTTCTTTAATACCAAAAGCGTATAAATAAGCCTTTGAGCATAGGCCTGAAATGTTATTAAGGGCTTTTTTTAAGTTGCACTTCCGGTTATATAAAATTGATTAGAACGGAAAATATATAATTACCCCTAAGTGTTTCATAGTAAAAACTGCCCTTGATACAATAGTAATAAACAACTTTCTAATATTTGACAAATGACAACCAATAAATTTTAATTATGTTTTTGATAAACTCATGACTTGATAAAGAAATAAGTAAACATTTATAGATCGTAATATTTTTTTAATTATATGTTCATATACTTTATATTGCATCAATTTAAGGAATAATGACCACGACAAATAAGTATGTTAATGTAATAAAGGTACCCCTCATTGATATGACTAATCAATAGTTAAACGTATTTGTGAATAGTCGACATCAGCCTCATATTATTTTGTTCATTTGTATAGTTACTCTCATGTCAAATATTAGCTTACAAACAAAACTTTCAATGCATTATTGTAGTATATACGCATTTTGCCCGATCGGTTAGTGAAGTTATGGAACCGTCACAACAAATGAAATGCCAATAAGTGAGATTAATTTTCAATAATATGTGGAAGCAATACAAAACTGTTGATGGCCAATTGATCAGACCACAGGTGTTTAAAAATTATGAGAAATTACAGATCATAGCTGTGCAAATCCAATTATAATAAAATGGATATGTATTTGGAAAATAGCATTTTAAAATTCAAGATTCGCAAATATACAAACACTTGATGTGCAAATATTTACACAAAAGGGTCATAATTATCAAAGAGACAGATATGAAATGAAAATTATTTTAATGCATTTGGGACAAATTATTTGGGTTTTTAATGTTATAAAATAACGGGTTTGTATTATGCAGATGAGCACGCGCCACCAGCCGCCACGCAATGGCTTTGTGGGCCGCACGTCCTGCACTTGGTACAGTTCGTGACCTTCAAGGCGTGCTGCGCACTCGCATTTCTACTATATAATTATGCCCAACATCGCCTATAACTTAATTTATAATTTTATTATAATCTAACCTAAAATTGAGAAAATGGAAATAAGAATGATTTAACATTCTTAGTAACATTTTTGCCAAAACTTCCATATATTATTATCACAATTATAAATATAAATATCTAAGTTTTTTTTTCTTTAATTTTGATATTACTCACTTAATCTTAATCTCTCATATTTAATTATCTCACTTGGCACAAGTATAACGCAAATCGTACAATAAAACATATCACGATAGAACCGACCAATACGCGACGCTTTCATTCGCACCATTAACGCTACGATATCGCCTTAATTTTCAAAATCACCGTTAAGAAAACATTATAAAGCTAACAAAGACAAAATTACAAAAAAACGAATCAACAAATGTCACTTACAAATTAAAACTCCTTACACTCCAACAATTACTATTATATCAAAAATATTTATCCACAGAATGGATATTATCATTTCCGTAATGGCGAGAGCGCTTGCGAGTGCCTCGTGGCTGCCCGGCGCGAGAGACCGCGGGCGCCGACGCGGCCGCGCCCTCTGGTCTAGTCAAGGCTCGTCACAACACTGTGCCAATTCGACAAGCGATCGGCGTTCACTCTTTGGATTAGTTACTTAACACCCAACACATAAGTTGATTCTAGAAAACCATTGTACAACACGTTTTCTTCAGCATGCATGCAGAAATTCCATGTATCGTTTTAAAGAAAATATTCTTACAATATACTCGCCAAGCATCCGTTATTCCATTGAGCCTCCTCGATAAAGCAAAGTCGTGTGCATTATCCGTTCCTACTGTTGGTTTATATCCCACACACACACCCTTTCAAAAATTATATTTAACAGCAGTGTAGTGATCTCAACAGATTAATCTATTACTTTATAACAAAACAAAATATGCAATCTTCTCGTTTGTATATAATGGTCAGATACTATAGCTATTGTTATCAACATGTGTATATGTATAGAGAACGTAATCGTTAACTATTGCATTCTATGACAACTCTTTACAATGTAGTAGCATAACATGGTAGGAAAACAATTATAACAATTAAATATATTCACGGCAATAAATTCATATAACTGTCACTATCGTTAAAAAAAATTGTGTATATGAATAATATATATAATATTCAAATATCAATCATCATCAACATAGTTAATCCCGGGATAAAATATGGATTTATCAATAGTATTTAATTACAATTCACTACAATAATATAATTATGTCAACAATAACATTTGGACACATGCTGTCAACACAACAGCCTGCCTGCGCAGTGTTCGGTAGACGGGGAGCGGGCGTGTCCAGTCTGTACAACGTAGGTGCGCCGGCTACTCTAACTGTGCTAATAGAGATATAACGCGCTACTGGCCTGTGAGATAGGGGCGGCGGCCTCGGGATCGAGCACGCTGCCGAGGGCGGAGGCTGGCCGAGGCTGACTGTGTGGCGAGGGCTAGGGTGAGGTGGTGATCGGGGCGCGCGGGGTAGAGGGGTATCGGAGGCCGTTTACTGCTGTGCGGGCGGCGGCTGAGCAGCGCGGCGGCGGCCCGGCGCACTAGCCTGCGCCACCATAGCACGGATACGCCGTTGGGCAGACTGCAACATTAACATACCAATGTTAAAACTGTGGACATCACAACATTAACTGGGATATATAAGACGAATTTGGTAATATTTGCAGATTGATGTAAACATTAACAATTTGCACGCCGACATCGCACACGACGGCCAATAAGTAATAAGATTTTCGATTATGTAGAACTAACATTATATTTTTTTGTAGTTTCAATAGTGTTCTTTACGGCGTCGGTGTGCAAAAGGTATAAATATATGTTTTTAAAAACCGCTTGACACAACAGTTTTTTTAAATGTATCCAGTTGGATTTAACTTATATGTATTGTTAAGACTTGTTACATTCCAACAATACATACTTAGTGAAAACAAAGAAAAATAAATATTTAATAACAGCAGTGGTGACACAGTAATATTGTTCAAATAGTAACCACATCTATACTGATAATATTAATATCTAAGTTATCAAAAAATTTACATAAATAGAGCATTTTATATTTAAAACTAAATGATAAACCGGCTCAATGCTATTGTCGATTAACAATATGCAATATTTTCCAATAACCAAGATTGGACTTTTGTACCTTTATTTATATATTAATACTTTTGCGCACATCTAAATATATCTACAGGACGGATTTAATGCCTGAGGCATTCTCTACAGTTCACCTCTATCTATACTGTTAATTGACTTTTCTGTCATTGTATATATTTATATGTTTCCGGTGTAATAAATTAATAATAAATAAATATCTTGAATTTCATGTTGACTACAGTTTAAATATAGCATGGGAAATATACAGAATACAATTCTATGCAAGTAATTAAATTAAAAAAAAAATTAGTTATGTCCAATTATAAAATCGTGGAATAATCCCGTATCTTTAAGAAACAAGTTCTCGGCAGTGTTTAGATAGCACGGCGCACATTGGTGATAATTTACAACTCCTGATAACTATTATTAGTAGGTATGTAGCGGAACAAATACAATTTATGTACCTACTATCTACCATGTTGTCTCTGTGGATATAGTTATAAAAAGGAACGAACTAAATATAAAAATAAGGCAAATGTGTCTAAGTGTCGTGTTAGTTAGGGAGGCAAAATTTTTATCATCGTATATTATCCCATAGTAATGAATTTTGAGTTACTTTTTCAACAAATTTTTATTTGAAATGCGGCAGTGAAATGAATATAAACAAAATAAAGTTTTGAAAAAGTGCTTTAGAAATAAATTTTATTTAAATAATCTATAATTTAAATAAACATTATTAAACCGACTAAAAAATATTTAATCACTTAAGATCTTTCCACAAAAAGAATTTAAAACACTATGTGAACAAAAATAAAAAAAGAAAAAACAGTATTAATTAGTAGGTGTAACAATGTTTAAATCTATATATTTGTTATAATAAAATTTGTTAGTTTAAACACCTTTTTAATAACAAGGGCCTTCTATTCTTTGACATAAACAGATGTTGGATACGCTTTTGTAGACACATCTAAATATGTATTGAACACCAGTCTATAGCAAGTTTTACTTGTTTGTGGTAAGACAGATTAGGATTTAGATAGACAACTTTTTTATTGTTATTTTTTGTTCAAATATACTCAATTACAAATATTTTTGAAGTCATTTCGTTATTATTCTTGCGCCTAATTAAAATATCTTTTATTTTAAGAGCGGTACTAATGAGAAATGGATAAACTGCAAATTCTTTAATATACTTTTAACAACCGTTGGTATTTTACATTTTGGGAATTATTTAAATTCTGATTATTTTTACGTTTTGAAGTGCATTTAGTTTTATTATTTTCTACAAGAATTGGTAAAAAGAATATCTCCAAATAAAGTTTTCAACATTTTAACTGAAAGTTATGTGAATTTTTGCTATTTTTGCAACTTCAATGATTCACTTGTACATATTTCAATATGCACACATTATACGCACAGTAGTGTAACAATCTTTTTTATCTCTTTATTGCTATTGCCTTGCCCAGTCTGTCAGTACGTGAATACGTTATACTATGGTAGGAATCGATTGTCTATTGACGTGGTTTATTACTAACTTCTTACAATTTCCTAGACAACAAACTAATTTTACTTTTTAATTAAATGTTGTTTTCTAAATTTAACATATGGATTTTAAAAGACAATTTTGTTATTCACGATTGACTCCATACCATAGGCGTAGTACATCTTATTCACGTACTGGTAGACTCGGCAATGTAATCACAATAACGAGATAAAAAAATAATAATTATACAGTGAGTAAGTGTGCGTATAATATAAATGTAAAAATGTGTAAATGTGAAACGTTGTGTACAAATGGATCATGATGATTTTTAATTAGTGGGCGTTGAAACCTTTATTTGGTTTAAATTAGATACTTCTTTTTACCAATTCTTGTCCAAAATATTAAAACTAACTGCACTTCAAAATGTAAAAATAATCAAAACTTATTTTGTTCATAATTCCCACCAAATCCTTTTCCCGCTTATTTAGGGTGAATGGCCTACTTGTCTATCTAACTCTACGTTCAAGTTTTTGTTTTTATTTTTTTTTTATATTCATCATTGAAATGACATTAAGACTTGAGAGTCTTGAGAACCACTGGGTAAAAAATTACCCAGACTAATATTCAACATTGTTATGAGTTTATATGAAAAATCAGAAAATTGTAGTAATAGGGCAATAAGACATTTTTAGAACTGATATGTTTGATTAAACGAGAATTGAGTCCAATGAAATTTTATAAGTAGGTATTAGCCCAATATAGAAAATACTTAATTAGAATCGATCGAGCAAATTATGCGACAAAACAGTCATGAGATAATTAGCACCAGTGGTCATATCTGTGAACTATTTCAGTTCGTAGGGCTTTTTCTGGTTGGTATTAATGATCGAAGCCCGATCCATTAATTATTAAATAAAAATTCTACGTTATTAAACCACTCGAGAACGTCTGGACCATTTGATTTTTTATTTGATCCGATTACATATAAATAATGCATATTTGTATTATTCAATGTTCAAAATTCATTCAAATAGAATGGAATTCAATGAGTTATTATGGACATATAATAGCGCTTCATATAGACAGTCTCGTTATCTAATAAACATCAGTCAAGCGAACTATTTGTATTATTTTGTTATACGTATTTTTGATACTTATTAGGAACAATTATGTTGAATTTAATTTATTTTCTCACTTTCTTTTTTATTAAAAATATAGCTATAAAAATTGGCTTGTCATTTCAACAGTTAAAGGATTATTTGATGATAATGTATAATATATAAATACGACATTTATAAAAAAAAAATACGGGTTTTAATCAATATACTATACTACGTAGAATTATATAACCTACATATTATTAAAATAAATTATTTACTTATAAAAAAATGGCTAGAGAAAAAAGGTGTCATTTCAACAGTTAAAGGATGGTTTGATGTTTATAAAAATATATAAATACAACGTTTATGAAAAAAATAATAACTTTTTATTTCTCACAATCATCACATCCACAACAACCTTTCAGTACAATGTTATCAGATGAAAAAGACCGTCAGATGTAGTTACAAAGTCCATAATAAACGGTAATAAAAGGCACAGCAAAAATTAAACGACCGTATAAAATTAAGGGTTTTATTATCAGAACATTCGCTATGTTACATATTACTTTATGGTACATAATAGGGAAGTAGAACTCACCTATAGAGAGTTGCATCAAAGGTACAAATGGCCAGTATATGTAGGGCCATTTCACTGGCTCACATAGAACAATCGAATCCTTATACAGGTTCTCTCTTCACATGTCTTATCCGGCCTCAGATGGTCGCTACAAAATGTAAAGTTCTCAATTATTCCACAGTGAGTTTTATAAGAAAATTAATCTTAATAAATTCGCATTGCGCCAGCTAATATTAAAATTAAATATACTTATCTTAGTGATAACTCCCGTCACATCTTCTTAACCTATGTATTAGATATAACTAATGGACCTTTGTAACTACATAATGTATTATTGTTATTTCAAATCTCACACACAACTCTGACATAACACACATTTTATAAAAGAATAAAATAAATAAAAACAAATATTCGCATTTGCAATTACTACTTACACTAAAGAGTCGACATGCTTTTATCTATTAATAGCACATAGAAAAAATTGTTGTAAACTTGAAACTCGACATAGTTATCCTCAGGTTAAGGTGACTTTGAAAGAAGAAAAAAGCCCAACTCGGAAAGAGGAATTAAAGGGCTATTTATAGGAATTTAAATATAAAGTTTTTGCAATTTATTCAAAAACTACTAACTACGATTAAAAGAGCTTATAAATATATAAGAAAAGAGTATAGTTAAAGCAATTCTGCATATTTTGGCATTTGTTTCAATACTCTAGATGAAAAACCGACTGATTAAATTATGACAATTTATAAGTAGTTTTTACGTTTTTTTTCTTTTTTACAACACAGGGGGCAAACGAGCATGCGGCTCACCTGATGGTAAGTGACTACCGCCGTTATGTTTATGTTTTATACAGTGCAGGGAGCAACACCATATTTTCAGTCAACATTATTTTTAAAGTATTTTGTAATTTCTTAAATTTCTGTTAAAAAATCAAATACTATTATGTAGCAAAATCATTAGGCTTTATAATGACATTTTTCTAAAATTCTTTATAAAATATAAATAAAAAAAAAAAAAAATAATTAATCTCAATATTTTTTCATTTTATAAAACCAATATCTAAAATAACATTATTTCTTTGGCTCGCTAATTAGTTTGAACTTTGTATTGTATCTAACAAATCAATAAACACGTTTTATAATAAAATATACGTAAAAAATATAAGCGTTTTTATAAATTTACTTAATTCGCAAATTACATTTAAAAAAATATATTTTTTAAATGTTATGTAAATTATAAATATAATTAATAATAATGCTTGTATGATTATTTATTGGGTACACAAAATTTAATGAAAAAATAAAATCGGAAAAATAAAATCTCTATCTATATTTCAGAAATATAGGAAATACTCGTACTATCATCATATCAGCGTCCCTCTTATAACATCTCTAAAAGCCTAACTGCGGTTGCCAACTCACCTACCAAGTCTGGCAACTACTAGCAAAACTTCCCGTATGAGAAAGGCCTATATTCAGCAATGGACACAGTTAATGGCTGAAATGAAATTATATCTACTTAATTTTAATTTATTTTATTTGATTTTTTGACAAATGATTTGAGCGCTCTCTATCTCAGCCCACGGCATGTAACAGTCTAAAATATTGTGTAAGATTTTTTTATCGTCTTTCAATTGAGACTCAACAAATATGTATCAATTTCAATATATGGATTGATATAAGTTTAAAAGGCTAGATAAAAATGTAACAAGAAAAATACAGGAGGGCATCAAAAGCATTGGTAATTTTTTTTATATAGAAAGTAAAAAAAATTATATATCAAAATGCGCAGAATTATTTCGAATACAATTTCCGCTTTCAATGTTTTTTAATTTGTTAAAGTTTTAAAATTATTTGGCAAAAACGATTTTTTTTTTATTTTTAAATCCTTTAACCTCTCGTTCAGAAGTCATTTTGGCTCAACTATTCCAAGTTTTTTTTTTTTTTTTTTTTTTTTTTTTTTTTTTTATAGAACTTAGAATGGCAAACAAGCTGACGGCCCACCTGATGGAAAGTGGTAACCGTCGCCTATAGACATGAGCAGTACCATGGACATAACAGAGTATACTGTTTCGCCCATGATACCCCCCATGCGTTGCCATTCCTGAGGACTCAGGTGTTATTCCTCTGTACCCAGTAAATTCACGCCATATCCCACCCTTCAAACCGAAACACAGCCATGCAAACACAACTGCTTCACGGTTGAAACACGAATGGGAAAATTGCAGCATTTTTCCTTTTCTGTTTCCTTGTTAATCGGTCTATTAATAGATTTTCGATATTACTTATTCATCTAGTTATGAATATAAAACAAGACAATTCATCATAGTGTATGTGCTGCGTAAACTAATAAGTGCACTCTAAACAAGAACAAGAATTATGCAGCAATGTTTATAACAATATTGAGTATATTTAATACACTATGATGACTGATGTAAAACTAACAATGAGGGGTCGCATAAGCGTCATGTCATACCTGGACGCTGTAAAACGGTCCCACGATGTGCACGGTCGTGTCGTGGTCTTGCTGCTGACCAGTTTGTTGCTGCGGCTGCTCTGGCAGCTTGATCAGGGAGCCGGTCACGCGCTGTAGCTCCCGTACATTCTGACCACCCTTGCCGATGATCCGCCCAACTTGAGACGAAGCGACAACTATTTCGACAGTCAGTCGGACGTCATCAGATCCCGACATGAAACCTTCTTCCCTCATTTTCTCGAAGATCAAATACTGCGCCTGGAAATATCAAAGTAGATATTTTAAACAGATTAATAAAATAATTACACAGGTTCAAATGTTAAGATAAAAATAACATTCAGATCAATACAAACAGTCATGAATACAAATGTTTGTATTGCGCAGAAATCGATCCCGCGCCATCGGAGAATGAGACACATCGTCTCATTCTCATTAGTTTAACCACTAGACCATCGAGGTCATCAAAAAGTAATCACAAATACCAAAGCGGTCAATATTTACTTACAAAAATACGTCTGTTTTATCAACTTTCGGTACTTAGTTTAATTCAGTGATTCTCAACCTTTTTTTTTTGTTGCGGCACATATTTAACGATTTCAAAATTTGGCGGCACACAAAGAAAAAGATAAAAATTATTCACTTACTACAACACACTGCATAAATAGTTTATGACAAAAATTTTAAATATTTGCAAAATTTGGCGGCACACAAAAGTGCCGCCGCACAGGGGTTGAGAATCACTGGTTTAATTAATCATAATATACATAAATCTGTTGTTTGATTCGAAGTTAAATTGGGCACTAAGTTTCTAATAAGAAATAATAAGTCATAACTAAATGTTTTGGCAATTTCAAAATTGTAGCATCATTATCTAAGCCATTATTTATACACTACTGAACATAAGTCTCCCACATAGACTGCTGTAAGGAACGGTCCCGAGCTACCTATATACACTTACTCCCAGCAATGCATTTGAGGCCGTCATCTAGTGAGGGGAGGGGGTCGTCCTACGCGTTTTCCCGTACAAGATCGCCACTCAAGAACCTGTCTTCCTTATTAATTGTTGGTTCTTCGAGCTATATAATTAACCCATTGCCACAGCTTATTAATCCTTAGAACTTTGTCAGTGGCATTGGGTTCTTTTGCTTATATCTTTACTTTTGTAGCATACAAAAATGTAATAGTTTCGTACCTTCCACTGGGCTTCAGGACTACCGACGATTGTGACCTTCCGCTCTTGCTGCGCGTTGTTCTGGCTCTCGGCCTGTTTGTCCTGTTCCAGCGGCGCGATCTTCACAGACGCGTTACTGAACCGAATTATGTTACGGATGTGGGAGCCTTTAGTACCGATGATAGCGCCTACCGCATTGTTGGGTATATATAAGTAAGTAGTTTCCTGTAACAATAAAAATGTTATTTTAACATTGTTAGCTTATTGATCCTCACATGTAAGCAAAATATGGAGTAAAAAACTAATTTATGATGTAAATATCTGATTGAAAAATAATTAAAATAGACCATTTCTAGATGGCAAATAACTATGAAACTCTGGGGGGAAGGGATTGTTAGTAATGAGGTCTAAGTGACCCATTCCTAGCAATATACACCCTATCATCAGGTAGACTCCCCCCCCCCCCCCCCCCGCCGAAATCAACGTGATTAATTCCAATGGAATTCGTCACGATGGGCTATTTGACCTGCTTTTTTTTATGCAACTTAGAATGGCAAACAAGCTGACGGCACACCTGATGGAAAGTGGTAAACGTCGCCTATAGATATGTGCACTACCATGGTCATAACAGAGTATATTGTATCGGCCATGATACTCCCATTTCGTTACCATTCCTGAGGACTCAGGTGTTATTTTTCTGTACCCTGTAATTTCACTGCCATATCCCACCCTTCAAACTGAAACACAGCTGTGCAAATCGTCACTTTACATCCCTCACCAGTGTTACCGATAACGCAGATGGAGTCACCATTATATTCTAAGTTTGTTCTTTAGGAACACAACTGTGAAATTCGAAATTAAATAATTGTGAAATGAAGTAAAATCCAATCACCTGCGAATCACCAGCACCCTGTTGCGCTCCACTCTGACCGGCCAGTGGCGCATAGATGGGCGGCGGGAATGGCGGCGGAGCTCCGCAGAAGCCGCGGCCTGTTGACATCATTGCCATCGGGTGTAACCCCGGGAACATTATGCTTTGCGGTGCCAACACCTAATGAACAAAAACAAATTTATATTATACCATATTTCCGTAGCTGTGTATTACTACTTATTATTTTGTATACGTGTAATCAGTATAAAAATTAAAACCTAACAAAAATAATGATAACAGTAAATTATCGTATATGACATTTCGGTTATTCTTATTCATCACAATTCACATTATCTGAACTGGGAAATCTAATGATACTTATTATGAATAAATACTTTTTAACCTATCGTTTTTTAACGCATTCCATACTAATTACGCTGAGTTCGTATTAATTCTTTACCTGTGTATCTATAACACATCCGAATGCGTTTCGTGTATGTGTAAGCTTAGATTTTTTCATAGTGGAATAATTATTTCGTCAAGCACTATGTAATGTAACACCGTTTCGGTAGTAAATATCGCAATTGTACTGACGCTGGTTTTTGTGTCTGCGATTTTTGCTGGTAATTTAAGTCAAGTTTTCAGTAATATACGATTGTTTAAAATCAAATTCAGTCATATTATTAACAAGCATCCATTTAAGTAATTGTTAATACTTTGTACAAAATTTTACTTTAAAACTAACCAACGCTAATGTGGAGCGGTCAGTGACATTTACGAACGACTTTTATCGTGGATCGCATTAATGTATCTATAATAAATAATCGACCGTTAAATACTACCTACCCTTATAGCTAATCTCTTGGAAATATTTAAGTACAATAATAATTGCATTAATGCTATAACGTCAACAGTTTTACTAAAAAAATTAATGGGATTAATTTTGAAAATTTTAATCTCGCTTTCTCATACAACAAAATGTAAATGATTTTATGATGTTAAGATAGGTGAGATATTTATGATAATTTAATATCAATATAATATTTAAAAGTATTATAAATTCAATAAATCAATAATAAGAATGTTTTAAGAATAAAAATACTACACCATGTAAATAGCAAGAACTTTATAAGGCCACAGTAGACAAGTTGAACGTGCGAAAATTTGACAAAATTCTATCGAATGGCAATACTCAAGATTGTTACATTCTTTTCAAAGATATTATGTATTCACTACGATAATGTCCAAAATTAATATTTAGTAATATTCTGTTGTCAGTAAAATTAGTCGATGAATAAATATTTTCTATATACTAAAATTATGAAAGTACCTATATTATGTAAATTAAAATACAGATTTGACTATATATTTATTTCTTTTATCTACATCCTAGTATTTTGGTAATCCTAAAACTATTTTGTAGAATTTACCGCCTACGTACCACATGATTTGATTCTATATAAGTATTTTATATCTTTACTTACAACCTATAATTAATTAGAATCATCGTAATCATGTTTCCCGGTAAGGCATAAAATCTATAAACTCAAACATGCTTTTTCGGATCTACTAAAAAACTGCCTAACCAATGTACCACATGCATTTGGATTTTTTTTTATTATGCATTTGGATTTATTAAAATTATTTAGTATATCACAATAAAAATCATATCAATCAATCATAGTATATCACATAAATCACAATAAAAATTGCTAGCACATAATCAAAAACTATTTGTAAAGAGGCAATGAATTAAACATACCTGCAAGTCATTTTCATAACTCTGGCGCAATTTAGCTGATATTTGTGACTCCGCTTTAGCCATATTTTCAATTGATCCTTTAACGGTGATAATCCGCTCTAAATTGAAGCTGTTAATATCATTGATTGAAGATACTGTAATCTTGGTATCAGTTTCTTGCATGATTCTTTTGATGGTATTCCCACCTTTACCAATAATTCTTCCTATTAAATTATTATGAGCCAAAATCTTAAGACAGATATCACTGAAATAAAAAAAAGGCTAATTATTTTCACTGTGAAAAGAAGTGTAACATGTAAAACTTAGATATGTTATTTAATCAAGTGAATATATCAGTTTCAAGTGTTACGTTAAGAGTATGCACAAATATTCGATACAAAATGCATATATGAATATATATATCATACGATAAGGTCAACTATAAGGTTTTTCCCATTAGATTTTTTTTTCAGAACTATATTTTAATCTTAATAGTAATATATAGCTGTAAAAATAAAAATGAGACAAGTTATAAAGATATTTGAATGATTCTATATTTATTACTCAATTACGTTTAAATTGTTGAATATGTGCTAACTTTAAAAGGCCCGGGCAATCGAAGCCAAAATATTATATAATTCGTCACAATCAATGCGTTAGATTCTAGTCGTTACATGGCACCTAAATTATGAATTCAAGTAGGATTACTATAAATATCATTTGTTGGAATTCATGTACCTTAATTTGTAAGTGCGCCAATGTAAATAAAATTTACAGGACAACAATCTACAAACCAATGCACAATGACAATATCCAGCTATTAGTAAAACATTTGTATGTAAAATACCATAAAGTTTTACAATATTCCCCCTCTATATACACCTTTATTACATACTAGCTATTTGCTATTTTCGGAGAGAATTTAGATAAAAATTATCGTACGTGTTAATCCAGGAGAATAAATATTACTTAGTTAACACTAATACTAAATTTCGTTATGATTAGTTCAGTTATTTAAGCGTAATTGAGTGACAAATATCTTTTATAAATTTGATTAAGATGTTCCTAAAAAATATGTAATAAAACACCATTTATATACAGAAAGTAGATGAAGCAATCTTACCCTTTATTAGTGTTATTTGCCTCCTGTTGCATGACCTCCAGTATTCTTTTACACGCATTGGTACAGTTCTCGGGGTTGCCGTAAATTGTTATGGCTTTTTCGAGGGAGCCCACATTGTCTTTGCGATGTACGTCAACACGAGCGCGGCTTTGCTGTGTAATAAGACGTATAGTGCTGCCTTGTCGACCTATGATCGCTCCGACCATATCGCTTTGTACCAATAACCGTAATGGAAAATCGGTGGGTCGCGAGCCGCCGCCGGTTGCACCGCCACCCCCACGGCCGCCGCCTGGCCTGCCACGCCGCCCGCCCCGGGCGTTTTGCTCTGCGGCTTCCACTTTCATTCGGCTGCCCTCTATTTCACACCCATTCAAGCCATTGATAGCTCTGTAACAAACAAAATAAGTATTGAGTCTGTTGTCGTCAATTAATTAATCGCCCCGTTCACCGCACATTAAACAATGCAAATATTGTTATATTAAGAATTCTTTCAACTTACATATTAGAGACAATAAGTATTTTTACTTTTTCTACTATATCATTACTCATTACTATTTGGTAAACAATTATTATATTAGTTCAATTATTAATTCAAAAGATATAAAAATACTACAGTAACCAAGTACACGAGAAAAAAAGACAGAAAAAATACATGCAAAAATCAATATAAAAAAAGGGATAAAAAAGTAATAGTTAAGAAAGCAGAATGATTTAACAATACACACGTTTTTGCATTGCAAATATCAGAGAAGAGTTTCAAGATTCATAATAGATTTTAGTTTAAGTTCATACTGGTTCTTGTATGTTAATTTACTATGACATTAAAGTTTTGAAATAGGTTAAAACATTTCCAATCTACCCGATTAGTTTTCATATAAATCACAATCTGACTGGCACCTGTTGAGTTTAAAAAATGGGTAGCTCACCGTCTGTAAAGCCTCTCCCACACTAGGACACAGGACCGTACGCATCATTAATTTGTGAATTTCTTGTAATTTTTGAATTACGCAGACGACGTTTACGAGTCTGAACTGCACTTGTGAATATACACCAGTGTCTAAGTCCGTGTGTAGAGAAGTGACAAAATCTAGAAATTTTTAAACTGTACTGTACACCTAAAAATTAACAATCTACCACCACACTCACCAAGAATTACGCGACATAAGATGATGAAATTACCGGACACACTGTCGTCCGGGAACGTCAATATCTTATGCGGCAGGCAATATCCCTGTTTTTACAATTTTTATTCATCTTTTACTTTATTTAAATATAAAAGTATTACTAGAGATCCAAATCAAATATATAATCATTATCTAGATCCTAAACGAAATAGAAGGTATATCTCGTGCATACCGCAGTTTGTACTGACAAAAGTAGCACGTAAAACATATGGGGACATATTCAGGAATTTTCTTTTCGACTACAACCTCTTTAACCTAACAAAAAAAAAAAAAAAAAAACAGTTATACGTATAATATTTTTTTAGACCAAACAAGTAGTTTCTTGCAAGAATCTCAATTGTAATAGAAGCTGCAAATGTAGTCGTTGTTTTTGCGAATTCACCAGTGCGCTTCGTGAGATGCGCATATTCATGCAATATTAGTTTCCCATTGATGTAATATACCAACATCATTATAATACATGTTTGAAAAATGAAAATATAAGCGTCAAAAAGGGCGGTAGAGGATTAATACCTACAATACCATCACCTTGTATAGAACTAGTAAAAGTTCAATAAAAAACATACTAAACAAAAGTTTTGGCGTGTGGTGCAAAAAGTGGTTTGTGATAATTTCATTTTAGAATTTATGACTTAAAACAATACGGGTTTGTTTGCATTAAATTTGGTCAAAATGAGATCGTGGTTCGTCTTAAATTATATGAAGTGCATAGTTAAGATAGTATGCCATGAGTCTTCCAATCAGCTAATTGATTTAATGGCTATTGTGATCTCGTGAAGTGTAGAAATGTATTGAATGTTGAAATCTAATGCCATGGAGAGTAAGATAGATGTTAATGACAATCATATAATTATTAATTTGAATAATTGTTATATGAATGAAATACACTAGTATTAAGTAGGCAGTAGGCCAGATTTTGTTTTTTCTCTGAAGTAACTTTTTACTTTGTGAAACTTTATTAATTTCATGGGACATGTCATTTCAGGATTCGGATCCGATCCCGTCATATTTTGCATTCAAATTTATAAAATAAGTGCATAGGTAATTAGAAGCAGCATTAAAATGTTAAGCCATTGATATATTATGGCTACAAATCTGCTAGAGGGGCGACAATTTCATATACTTAATACAATATCCACATGAATATTAATATTCGATTTTGAATTTTATATATGTATAATAGACAAATGTAACAGGCAACTTGTAAAGACTATTTTAGACAGTATCCAAGTAACAAATTTATATAAAACTTATCACTTCATTTTCTTCATGCAATATACCGATTGAAGGTAAAGTTTAAATAATGACAAACATGTAAAAATATTTGTAACTATGGATTACTCATGCTCTGTTAATCAACGATAAATTTACGAAAAAACCAAAGTACAACACGTTTAAGTGCGATTCATCATGCTGTTAAAACGGACGTCTGTTTTACAATACAACCTGAAAATTATAGTGAAGCAAGAAGAACATACTGTATATTAGAATAATATTCACGCAATCATGCAAAGATCATAAAGGAAAGGGTGAGACAGAAGAAGCGACAGTCCAAGCACCCTGCTGATGGTCGTGGAACAAACAATGCAATACGTCCCGATGTGCCATCAAACAGTCAGTATACTCACAGCTGCGCCTGCTCCGGCGTCTCGAACGTTATGTACACCGCTTGGGTGTTGGCATCACGCGAGGTCGCTTTGTCGCAATGCTGCACGTTGCCATACTGTGCGAGTTGGTGCTCGATGTTGTCGAAGCGAAAATGCAGGGGCAGACCACTGATGAGTACCACCTTTGATGATCGGCTGTGAGAAGCGACATAACCACTTATAGACAATGTGCCAAATTACCTTATTTTCGATGACAATGGAGACATAGTTTATAAGAAACAGAAATTAACACGCGATCATTTAAGTAGACTAATGTCTAAAGTTAATAACAGACATATTTAAAAACAAATTAGAATCCAAGCTCTGTAGATATATTAATTCTATTTTTTTCCTTTTCTTTCGATTACGCCAGCAGGAGAGGGGTATCTAATAAGATATGCATGTCATATGTTTATCTGTTTTATAATTACCCGTAACCTGAACGGCTTTATACATTTGATAATATATAAGAGATATTTTTATTACACAAAAAATTTTCTTGCAGTATACGTATATAAGTAGTACTTGCATAAATTAAGTTTGATACCTAATCCTCGTTAATCAATTCGGAACGATTTTTTTTATAAATTAAATAATATTTGCGTATGCGCGAACTAAAGAGGCGCAGTTTCAAATCCAAAGAGCCGCATGTAGCTCGCGAGCTGCAGGTTGCCGACCCTTGGTTTAGACCTTATTGTCGCTTTCGCTTTGTGCGAGTGAGATGAACGATTACGTCATCATGGCTCTCTATCTAGAATTTAAATAATGAAATAAATAACGTTTGTAATATTGTCTAATATGATATTCTGCCAACGTTATTTTGAAATTACCTATTTAAAAATGTTGCCTGTCTTAAAAAGGATTATAATACCTATTTCAAATATACAAAAAAAAAACACTATATTTTTATAAATGTTAATTAAAAAAATTATTATATATACTAATAAACTGTTTCTATCAAATTATTGACATGGTCATTTAATACATAAAAACTAAAACTTATTTCATATATTACTCAGATATTTGTCCGATACTGTATACGCGTAAAGTAATGCCATTGACCGTTGGCAGAGTACGCACGCAGTCAACACGCGAGAGCCCCCACCATTGTGTACCCCGTAGCCTGATAGTGAAGAGATCACACAAAATAGGGTTCTAACGGCCTTTTGTGAAACTTTTTGACACCTGTACTTTTTAGAGTAATTCGACCCGATGAATACGACTCTGTCCGGTGACATCCCCTCCGCCGCCGCCCCCCCCCCCCCTTCTCCCTTAAGAGTGTGCCTAACTGCGGTTCTTTTTTAAATTTATTCAAGAAGTATTGGAGGTAATAGTATAATATATAATCTTAATTTCTCTACATTTATACATAGATTATTTTAATAAGATAAACCGGTAGATTTTTTTTTATCCGAGAGGATATGCTTACAGATTGGTCCCATAGAAATTGTGTTAACTCAGTAGTTTTTAAATCAAAATAATTGGTTTTGGCATAATTGAAGTCAGATTTATCTTGTGGAACTTTATATTATTTACATAATTAAATGCATCTAGAGTAATTCGTTACTTGGATGTTTTACTACAAACAACGACCGTTTTTCAGAAAATTGAGAGCAATTGTAATATTTTTGTAAAAAAAAAAAATAATTTTCATGCATTTCGGGCAGGAGTATTTAACATAATAATGTATTATGATAATCATCATATCAGCCATTAAATATCAGGGGTTGCCAGTAGTTGCCACGCTTGGCAGACGAGTTGGCAACCGCAAAGGAAGAGAAGAAGAGGACGAATGGATGGAATGGAGTACTGTGCAGAATAGTTTTCAAGAGTTGTTGAATTACCCTAAAAAGTAAAGGTGCAAAAAGTTTTACAAAATGTCGTTAGACGTAAAAAGGAAAGCGAATTTGGTTTTCCACTAGTCTTCGTCATATTGTAACAGTTACGTTACATTTGAACTGACACGCATATGAACCCGAACTACTCTTTCTCAAATTACATGAAATCGAACGGTTTTTTTTTTAGTTGTCTAAATATGAGACTGCCTTATGTTTCTATAATTGAAATTAAATATAAATTTTGATTGCTCGCACTTTGGTCTAGGTATTATAAAATCGATGACTAATCAGTAGAACTGTACAACCGGATGGATACGGACAGTAAATAAAAGCTGAAACCCGCGCGCCGGGCGGTACAAGCCGCACGTATTATTCGCTACAAAATGGCGGGCGGCAAGATGACATCATCAGCTGTGACACCCCGCTCAACTTCTTCACACCCGCAGTCTTCCAACGTTGCTCGCGCTCTCCCCTTCCCTATCAACCGCCCGCGCCATTCACAACTCCGTTCCGTTGCACACGCTCGTTGCATGACCCCCTCTCGACTCGTAGTGAGTGTACCTACTTACTATCTCACTTCGCATACAACAATGAACATACATACTATCTCTCTTTATACAACCGCTAGATGAGTGCATGTATGCATAGTGTAGCAGTGTCCATCATGTAGGTCAACTTCGCTGTTTACGCATTTGTTCTTATCAATTTCAGATAAAACCATAGTTGTAAATTATATGAAATATATCAACACAATAAGAATTAATATATTCTTACCTTCACAAATAACAGCAATGTACAGGTAAGAAGTTTTATCAACATACACTATACATATATTAACCAGTATGACATTTAGCTACTTACTATTACTAATTAATGTATTAAAAGCTTTAAACTTTTATGTTTCACAATGTAATTCGGAAACTCATTCATTCATTATATAGTTGACAGCATTACTATCTAAATACTAATACTATCAGATTTTGTATATGTTAAATAAATAGATATTATAAAAAAATCAATAATGATTAGGTATAACAGATTTGTGTATCAATATTACATATGGCAACAATTAAGAACTCTCGAGATATAGATAAATCGCCGTCACAAGTATTGCAAAAGTTTTTTAGTAGTCACGTTCACTATTTAAGTTTTATGTAGGTTTCTATTAGCAATTGTATTTATTGATTTATATAGATAGGTTATGTAAGTATATTTGCTTTTATTTACCTACTTGGAAGGGGAATTCAAAGTAAATATTATAAGGGTTGCATTTTGTACAAATGTAAACTACTAAAACCAGATCTGTCCTTGAGTACACCGGATTTTGTAATACGATTACATTACACAATAGGTTACGCGGTAACTTGGTACAATGGGTACCCTAAATAGGTACACATAGTGTTTTATACGCGTGAGGGACTGGCTGCATGCAGTTCAAGGAGGTAAATTATTTTATGTATTGACTAACATTACATCTTTCAATTCACCCTACAATTATAAATGGGCGGAGCATCTAGCGATATCACGCCAATAACTTGTTTTATCTAGGACGGCTAGTACTTTTATATAATTCGACTGCCTAAGATTGTGTATTTTGTACACCGTTGACTATACAAATTGACTATAATGTATTTGAAATAATCATTTTTCCAATCTCTAAAGCTCTTATAAAATTATTATGTACTAACTTTTACTCCGTTTTCGTGCGCGTGAGTGGGATATTTAAACTCATGTCCTTCTACAACTCATATAGTGCATGTAAATTTAATAGTTATTGGTTAAGTGTTTAGGGTGCAAATTTCATAATATTATTAAAGATTTATTTACATAGACGACCTGACATAGGTTGCCCTGTAATTTTAATAATTTGTGTACGTTTATATGAATTTTTAAGGAGCTATTGGTAATGTGAAAATAAAATAAACATCAGAATAAGTATTTTTAAATAATTGTTGCATTTCTTATAAATTCACTGAAAATTGACAATAGAGTAATTTTGTTGTTACAGTTAAGTAAATGTAAAAAGATACATATTATATATAGGCGTATGCAACCTTTTCGACATAATTATATAAATAAATATATAAATAATACAGTACGCAGTAAGAACACGTTATTTATAGTGATCCCTCATCTTAGTAAAAAAAAATAAAAAAGCAATGACTTTCACGAGTTGCACGTGTCTTGAACAAAAGTCTCAAAATATTGTCCTACTAGCGACTCGACCCGACTTCCTACGGGTAGACAGATAAAATTAGTATTTTAAATTGTTACTTTAAGCAATAGAAGATAACAACAGTTGTTATCTTCTATTGCTGTTTAAAGGAAGGAGTAAACATTCACGCCGCGGTACTTATCTTTTTTTTTTTATAGCCGCATAACTAACCGATTCAGGGGGGAAAGGGATTGTTAGTAATGGAGTCCGAGAATCCCATTGCTAGCAATATACCCCAACCAGGTCGACCTCCTCGCGGTTCCCCTTGTAAACTATCATGGTTAATTCCTGATGAATTCATCATGATGGGCTAACCTGGCCTATTTTCATTCTCACCTATCACCCTTCACTGGTGCTCCGCCAGCGTATCCGGTTAGCGCAGGCGGTGTTACCATTCCATTATCATCCATTAAAAAAAAAAAAAAAACTGATTCAAATAATTTGAAGAGAAATTTATTTGTACATAATCAACCTTGTTTATAAATTAATTTGAATGAGGATAAATATTATGATACGAATGTAATCTTTATATCTATAAAATTTTGGACATAATTATTGAGACTTAACTGTAATAGTTATATAATTAGAGCCTCACGGAATTTTTTGTAGACAATGATAAATACTATAAACATGTAGATTAATTACTTTATAAAAATAATTTTTAAAATTTTTTAATTTTAAAATAATAATATAGATAAATGAATGATACTTTGTGGAACAAATCTCCCTCTATATACATTTTACATAGAGTGATTCTCAAGGAAAGTTTTAGTATATAATTTGTTAAGTTTTGTATATACTGGCTAAAGTATAACGATATTTGTTGGAGGTGTCGAAAAAAAAATAAGTCGCCTGGGAGATTGGTCATAAATGCAAGACTTGATACTTAACAAAAGTAGAGTTTATTAGATTGGTACAGGAACACGGAATAGATGGCGGCGGACAAGACGACTGAAATCAGGAGAGTTAATAATTTTTGTATGCATAGATATTGTTGCTTTTGAGATGTAGATCTGTCGAACCCTGAGCACCTTGTTTTCTGTGTATAGTTTGTCAGTGGGAAACCTGAAAGGTTTTTGTACCAAAACTTGCAATAATTGCAA